CTTCTAATAATAATAATAATAATAATAATAATAATAATAATATATAATATATATATATATATATATATATATATACTACTTTTTTTAGGTTACAATGCTTATATAAGAACAGTGTTAGCTTAATCTGGAGTCGAGATAATTCTAACTTAGCCTGCTTGGGTAGTGATCCGGAAAGTGTTGCTGTCTCTCCAAGCCAGCATCGCAATGATACCACTATGAAGATCTATCCGTTTTATTCCTGGCGCGTTTACATATTACACCTCTCCATATGGACCTGTGTTGCAGCAGCATATACCCAGCCAGGCGAAAACGAGGCTCATTCCGCATGTCCCTTTAAAACCGTCAACTACATAACCCATACTCTGCCTCAACAATGTCTGCGGGCTAGTTGGGCAACGCCTGTGTTCACGCAATCTTCCACTCCGGAGAGGCCAACAGCGAGCACAACAGCGAGCACAACCCTGGGTGAGACCGATCCGGGACCCTCAGACGCAGCTGCCTCTTTCGGAGACCGCAACAATCCAATCCTTTCTTTCGAAGAATGGAAGGAACTGATGCTCCGCCAGCGTGGCCAAGATCCCCAAGAGCTGCAACGGCGGCCGCCTGGTCCCGCGCGACACCACAGCGACCATGTAGTCGATCTAAGCCTCGATAGTCTCGGCGACGACGCGGAGATCCCTCTTAATTTTGAAGTTCTCTCGGACTCACGCGATGAACCTTCAAACCCACCTATTCAACCACAGGCTAGCGACGAGCCTGTCAAGGTGCTCTATGACGATGGAAAAACGCAGTATTATCGCAGCAAAGATGCCGGCAAGACATGCAAAGAACGATTCTCTTACTCGTCATTTGATGCTGGCGCGACCGTTTTGAAGACGAGTCCGGGGACAAAAAATGCAAAGGCGATTCTTTTAGAGAACAAGGATTCCTACATGCTCTTTGAGTGTCAAGCCGAAGAGAAATATGCCATTGTTGAACTAAGCGATGACATTTTAGTTGACACGGTTGTGTTAGCAAACTTCGAGTTCTTTTCTAGCATGGTCCGACACTTTCGTGTGAGTGTTAGTGATCGATATCCTGTCAAGGCTGACAAGTGGCGCTTTTTGGGTACTTTTGAGGCCAAAAACTCGAGGGATATTCAACCCTTTCTGGTCGATAATCCGCAAATCTGGGCGAAGTATGTGCGGGTCGAGTTCATAACTCATTATGGAAACGAGTACTTTTGTCCGGTGTCTCTACTCCGTGTCCACGGTACGCGAATGATGGAATCGTGGAAGGAAACAGAACCTGGTGCCGAAGAGGAAGATTTCAGTGGCGCCACCAACTTACGGAGACTGGAGGGTGCTCCACCAAACGATGAGAGCGGCGCAGCTATAATTGGCGAATATGGCTTGTCTCCATTACCTGATGTCCTTCTCTTCTCGGAGATGCTGCTTGATGAGACATGTCCAGCATTCCCGGCAACAGCTGGACATCCGAGCACCATTACTGCTCGCGAGCCAAGTATGGACGCATCTGGCCGCCGACAGAGGACAGACTCCTCAGATGTTCCACGGGTTTTAGTGCCGGACCCAAACCAGGACTCAGCAAGCACCTCCCTGCGACCTCGTGGAGACACTCCGGCCTCCATTGATGGGGAGACGCCAACATTGGTTGTTGAAGAGCAAGCCCGGAGTGCAAATGTCTCATCTAACTTCGCTTCCGAGACGACTAGTTCTTCATCACAGCTCAAGGCACCCGAGATACCAGCCACTCATTCCAAAGACAGAACCACCACTGCTGTGGCAAATTCACCAGCCCCGCCCATCGTTCAGGATAGCTTCTTTAAAACCATAACGAAGCGTCTCCAACTCTTGGAGGCTAACGTAACCTGGACTCTCAAGTACGTCGAGGACCAGTCCAAGTATTTCCAAGAAGCCTTTGTACGAATCGAAGAACGAAGGCTGTTCAAGCTCGAGGATCTCATGGAGTCTTTCAATCGCACCGTACGGGCAGAGTTAGATAGTCTCCAGCAACAGTACGACCAGATCTGGCAATCGACAGTCATCGCCCTAGAGACCCAGAGGGAGCACTCTCAGAGCGAACTTGTCGCGCTTTCGTCAAGATTGAATGTTCTCGCTGACGAGGTTGTGTTCCAGAAACGCATGTCAATCGGGCAGTCCGTACTACTCCTGTCATGCTTAGTATTGATCATCTTCTCTCGTTCTATAGCGAATGCCTCAACCCCGCTTCTCTGGCAGTCTCAAGCCGACGCACCATTTCTGGACAAGGACAGTCTATCGAGAATGCTCACCCGTGTCAATCGACCAAACTTAGGCTTGGGCAGCCCCTTGCGTCCACAACAAACCCCGCCCACTGAATCTGGCGGCCCAGTCGGTTGTCATAATGATGCCTTCGAGGACGGCGTGCCATGTCGGTGTGCTTCGGAAAAGGGGGAGCTGCTTTGCCAATCTCAGCCGTTTACGGCAACGAGGCGGGAATATCCTCCGTCACCCCAGAGCCAACCTTGGGAAGGCCGAGGCGACTTGTGTCAAGGGCTGCCCAAACAATCTAGGATAAAGTCGCAAGTGGATGATGAAACTGCTGTACCATTTTCTACGAGTCGCTCGCGAAAGCCTCTTCCCCCTCTGCCCGAATGAACGGCATATCGCCAACGTGATTATCCGGCAATGCGGATCATCTCTCATAGTACTGAATTAGGACAGGAATGCAGCTCTGCCAGTTACCACCGTCCTGGGCTACTACGAGCCTAGATCAACATTCATGGCCTGTCATTCGGCCTTAAACTATGCGACAAATATTTGGAGCCTACCTCTGGGTATAGGCGGAGGCAAAAAAAGGAGAAAAAAAAAGAAGAAATAAAAGAAAAGAAAAAAAAATCGAGGCATTAGGCAGTCAATCCCACGAAGAAAGAATCGTTATCCCTTGACCCCAGCTACCTAGTAGCGCTGGTCGTGGGGATGCTGGATGGAAGCGTCATACTCATACTCCTCGAGGGCTGCTAGTCTCGTACCGCGATCATACTGTGAACGCCGGCGGCGTTGTTCGTCACGAAAGTGTTGGCCTGCGTTTGGGGTGAAAAGGCCTAGGCCGTCTAAGTTAACACCCGCATGGCCGGATTTTTGCCTCCTCCCGGGTACATACCAACGTGCTCGGCGTTCTCACAGCTCCTTTTCATCTTGGACTGGTTATCGGGTTTCGGGAATGGCTCCTCCTGGCCAGCTAGCTCAGGTTTCGGACCATTGGAGGTAAAAAACAGCTTCGGATGTTTAGTTTCAAAGACAGCTTCCTGGTTCCTTTCTTTACTTACCTTGGGCCGATAGTGAGGTGGCTCCAGCATCACGGAGCTATTTCGAAACTTCTGGACGAGACAATCTTTTCCCTGGATGGCTAGGGTGGGTTAGAGGGATAAGCAGGTCATTGGCCTCCCAGCAAAGTGTCCTTGTATCCACATACTCGCATATGATATTTCCGCAACCTTGTCGCTCTTGAAACAATTCCTTTTATAGATATTAGTGTGTGCATCTCAGGGAGGCTTTGCTAACAGAGTTTACCATCGTTGGTTCCCGCGAGCCTTCATAAACTACGGATTGTAAGTTGCAAGAAAATGATCAGGTCCATGTCAACTGGGTCACGCACGTCAATGATGTCAAGAGGCTATTTCGCGAGTTAGGTCTGGATGAGCCGAAGGCGAGATTCAAAGCCGGCTGAACCACTTACATCAACAAAATTTATAAACGCATATCCCACGCTGTACAGTTCGGCGATGGTTAGGAAGCTTTCCCCTTGGTGGCGCTGGGCGAGCAGACTTACTTGCAGTCATTTGCAAAATCAATCCTCAAATACATGAAGTCGTACTTCCCCCAGCTCGACTCATCGACAATCCGTTTAAGCATAGCCTGGTCAACCTTGTTTGGGATGTTTCGAAGCATGATCTATCGAAGTATGTTAGGCGGGGGAATTTTCTTGGGTCGGGGCATCGAAACTTGCCGTCGTTCGAACATCTGTTCCTTCTCTGATCCGGTTAATATCGACGTGGTTATGGTGGCTTGAGGTGGTGTAATGAGACCCTCTAATGCTACGCAAAGCATTTTGACGTCGAAAGCCTGATCTCTCATTGTTATGCGTATGCTGACGTGTCTCGAGCCCCCCACGCGATCGATGACGAGGTACCATTTCCGACCCGACCGCACGCGCCGCAAAGGCGGGGAGGGGAGCAAGGTCGGAATCGAGTGGAAGACTAGGACTCATTGGATAGGCCAATGCTTCAGGAGATCTTACGACCGAATACATGCTTCCCGGAGACCGCAGCGAGTCTGGCGACATGGGCAACCGCTCAACCTGTTGCTGAATTCCACCCACCTGCTTATACCCTGGGCCATCCGCTCGACTGGGTGATTCTTCACTGATGCAGGAGATCTCACCCACGTACCCTTCTCGGTGAATCATCTGATCCGCAGGGATTTGAAGAAACCTATTGGAAGGTGTAGTAAGGTCCTGGGAATGCGCGGTCGCCTCGATTTGCACCCCCTTCAGATGTTATGGATTAGCGCTGCTTCAAGCAAAATATCCATGGGCCTCCGTACCTCTATGGCCATTCCGGTAAGTCTTGTCACCGCTCTATGCGCCGCTCCAGCGTCACAATATTCAACGATGACCCTGAATACTCCGCCCCGGAAGGGGGCTAGCTGCTTCATCGAGAAGATTTCCGAATGGGAATGGAGCAACTGACAAATGGCGGCCTCCGCACCGTGGTCGTCAAGCTTCACACCAGACTGTACGGTTGCGACGACCATTATTTGACCTTCTGGCAACGCTGTACAGCTTGGAGGCGGGTTCGCATTTGTGATGCCGGACACATACTGAACATTCCAATTCATGTGCGAGCGGTAGGAATTTGCAAATACGAAACACGCATCCCGAATGTCCGTGAAGTAGACAGACGTGAATGTCCCAAGGGCTTGCGAGACCCTTGTGCCCTTGCACTGGAATCCGAGCTGGCGCAGAGTCTGTAACAATACCGTCAATCTTGAGATGCTAGAGAGACTTTTGGCCAGAAGCACTTACTTCCATAAACACATCGACATCTGCTGGGATGACGGTGCTGCTAGATGATGTGAAAAGGAGGTGACGGGAGACCCCAAGCTCGGCACTCGATAACTGTGAAGTCATCGCGGCGTAGGGCGACATGAGGGGGGCATATGATCCACCTAGAGCGTCGTGGCGGCTGTTAACGAGAAAGCTCGAACTCGGCTGGAAACAAGAGGCCGTTGGTGACAGCTTTCGAGCATCACGCTGCGATTCAGAGGCTTGTTTATCGATGACTGCCATTGGCATACAAGCCAAAGCGCTGGGTGGTTCGATGGGGGTCCCGGCTTGTGTTGAACCAGGTGCATTCGAGATGCAGGGGGGAGTCTTGGGAATTTGGGGATCGGCCGTTCGCGCCTCTTGATGGCCTCCCATGGAGAGACAAGGCTGGGGAGAATTAGGGGCAGGTAGGGCGGTATCAGGGCTGTCACCTTTGAGCCCCAGACCCGTTTTGCTCCACGGATTTGGGCTCGTCATTGGAGATGCTGAAATTTTCTTGCCGGGCCCGAACTACTTGGAAGTTCTCAATCGATAAGCCTTTTTTTTTTGTCTTTGCGGGGAGAGAAAGAAGCGTTGAGCTGGAAGGGGTGGGAGAGGGAAGCTGAAGCCGTGCTGGGAGGATGGCTTGAATTGCCCCAATCCTGGGAGCGCCGAGGTGAAATATCTAGAAGGTGCGACCATCGACGGTTTCGAACTTTTGGCTTGAACGCACCTTCCCGCCCGGACGGGTCTCTTGTTAAATGTGGTATTGATCTTATCATCTATCTCCCATGTAGCTACGGTTACGATGGCGGCTCCAAGAGAACAGGCACCAAACGTCGACACATGGTTTGGTCGTCTAGTCATACTTTTTCTAATTTCTTCTTTTCTCCTTACACATTGGGCCAACATCCTTTACGATTCTTCACATCGCCCTTGGCTGGGTAGCAGAGGGTAACTGACTCCGAAAATCCTCATCTCCACGACTGCAGCTAGTGACTGAGTGTGGAGGTGTGGTTATGCTGAACCTCGAGACTCGGAGGTGACGATGAGTACCACGCACTCTACTCATTTAAACAAGAAGTGATTTGATGTTCCTTCCAATCACTGGCAGGAGGAGTTGTTTATGAATTACACTTTTTGATAGGGGATTATATTATAATCAAAGTTTCACGGTAAATAAGAAACGCAAGAAATAATAGAATTCTCCCAGAATGCGCTCTCTCAAGGCTTGCATCGTGGGGATGAGGGCATCGGCATCAGAAAGGAATGCCAACTGAATGATCTATGTACCCAGATATGGAATACCAGAGTCTCGGTAGCCAATAACCAATAAACGGCTTAAACGAGACCATGACTATGCTCGCTGCAACTGGCTCATTGGTCTCTGATTGATCCTTTGTCGATCGATGAGTGTCTGCAGTTGGAGTTGAGACTTGGGTAGTGGGAGAGCCGTCGACCACTTAGTCAGCATTCCTCTCTTTAATCATACTCCTTGACGTTTCGACGGGAGGGCGAATTTCAACTCTCCTTACTGCTCGCTTCGATTTCACTGGTACATATGAATGATCTTTATCTGGGTGTTAGGGTTCGATCTGATTGCTGTCTAGTGGAGTCATGGCCAAACCACTCCCGCGCAGAACCCTCGTCTATGAGGATTATGGCTCTGCAGTTGACCAGGTTCGTCTCCGAGACCTTTTTCTGCATTCTGACCTAACATTGCTTTCTCCCGTAGATTATATCCCCCTCTTCAGACTCTGAGTTTATTGATCAGTTAATCCACGTCCTCAAGGATGCCGCGAGCACCGAGCGGACGGCCACGCTCCTACAAAGTCTGGGGGAATACTCAGACGACAGGGAGGCCGATATTGAGAGGATAGGATTGACCCGCCATGAAGAGTTCCTTCGATCCGTCAATCAACTGCAATCGATCCGTGAGGAAACAGTTCTCCTGACCGACGAAATCCTCAAATTGAATCAGTCCATCCAGTCCAGTACGGAGATACTAGCGGAACAGAAACAGGCACTTGTCAACACAAGGGCTATTCGACAGAATATCACAGATGCTTCCGACGCGTTGCGAGGCTCTTTAAACATTCTTCATGCTGTCAACCAGACCCATGATCTAATTAGAAAGAAGAAATACTACGCCGCCCTCAAGTCTTTAGATGATCTTCAGAACGAGCACATTATTCCCACTGTCCAAAACAAATATGCAACCCAGCAGAGGCTGGCTGATATCATCCAGAAATCCATCCCGGCGTCCCAGAAAGTTATCTCAGAGGCAGTGATGACGGATCTGAATACTTGGCTCTTCCGAATAAGAGAGACATCGCAATTTCTCGGAGAGGTCGCCTTTTACCACACAGAACTGCGGAGAACAAGACAACGAAAGCGTGTAGAGGACGACAAGTTTATGGCAAACTTCAAGCTCAACTCTGCTATCGAACTTGTATCAGATGAGGCAGAGGAGTTTGATGTGCTTGATAACGACGAACTTCAGGTTGACTTCACGCCTCTATTCGAATGTCTTCATATATACGAAGCCCTCGGACAGATCGATAAGTTTCGTGCGGAATATTCTGCCACCAGGCGACAACAGAAGGACCTACTGCTCCCTGTTGCTGTTAGTTTACTGGAAGACGACGAGCTATCCCTTAGTAGTCTACTGGAGGGCATCACTGGATTTGCTATCATCGAAAAGGCAACCATGCGCCGTGCACCGCAGTTACGGTCCGCAGTTGATGTATTTCAAGCCCTTTTCTCTCCCTGCCAACCTTATTCTATCACTCCCCTTCCCCTGAACTCAATCCGTCACGTGGACTATAGCTTCACTTCTGGGATAGGTACTAATACTTGCTATGCCTAGGTCGAGGAGCTCTGGGATTCGATGTGCCAAGCTGCCGTGAACCTTACCTCGAAGGCACTGAATGATGTTACAGACGCCGAGGTGCTATTGAAAATCAAGGGGTTTATCTCCCTATTCATCCAGACAATGGAGGTAAGAGCCAGGCGAACTTTTCGAAGATTGGATCATTCACGCCTCATCGTTCTTTTTTGAAGTGGGAAGCTATGTTCACTCGGCAGATCTAACGCCACTATTTCATAGGGCTGGGGATACTCAGTGGCAATGCTTGACAACTTTCTCCTTACCTTATTCAACAAATACGCGGAGCTCCTTAAGCGGAGGTTTAGTGAGGATTTCCAGGAGGTATGTCTATATTCATGAGGCCCGGAGATTGAATGTGTGCGTAGCTTACTGATTGACTCGATGTGCTCTGGTAGATCGTCTCTACGGATGATTACATGCCTATGACTATCCAATCACCAGAGGAATACGAAAAAGTAGTGAATGTCAGCTGGTTCAGCCCGGAGAAACCAACGCATGAATTAAGGTAAGTCTGTGGCGTTGCTTCTCCCTGGTTTCCCTGCCTAACAGAGCGTCATTTACAGTTTTCCCTGTGTCCTGCCGTTCTCTCAGATGTACCCGCTATGCTGCATTGATATCCGCAACTTCCTCAACCAGTTTTATTTCTTCTCAGATGATCATTTCCAACACCCGAACGTCATTGACGAAACCCTTCGAAAGGTAGAGTCAAATATGGCCCCCGGCTACCCTAGATGTATGCATCGTCTCGTCGGAACGCTAATCGCAAAGTTAGGCTCTTGACGAGCTTCTTGTCGACAAAGTTTGCAAGTCTCTCGTTGAACGACTCAGCTCGCAGTATCTGGGGCAGATTGTCCAGATTTTAATCAACCTGGAGCATTTCGAAATTGCCTGCCACGAGTTAGAGCAACTCCTCATCCGAGCACGTTCATCTACATCGGCAGGCGGCCCAGTGACTTTGGAAGCTACTGAGCAATTTCGTAGTAACAAAAAGACAGCCGAGAAGCGCATTTTCGAGCTTGTTAACTCGAAGATCGATGACCTCGTGGATACTGCCGAATATGACTGGTATGACATGTCAACGAAGTTGTATCAAAAAACGAAATTGTATGGAGGAATGCTAACGCGCCTTCCCCAGGTTGGCGGCTACCGTTGCCTCAGAAACAAGCAATTACATGCAAACCTTGACGACTTATCTGGCAAATATCATGAATTCAACCCTCCTTGGGTTGCCTCGGGAGATCAAGGAATTGATTTACTTTGACGCCCTTAGCCACGCTGCCAACAAAATCCTCGTACGTCTAGAATCTCTTGCATTTATTTGGTTCTCCATGTGCTCACAAGGCAGGCTCTCCCGTTATCACCTGAAGTAAAACACATCAATCCGAACGGCGTGGCTGCATTGGCGAATGACGTCCAGTACCTCACAGGCTTTGTCGACCGCTTAGAAAATGGTGCCATGTTAAAGGAGAACCTCGACGAGCTGCAGCAAACCATCAACCTAATGCAGTCTGACAATCACGACGAGTTTTTCGATATTTCTACCCGCAACAAGAAGTATGGCCGCGTCGATGCGATGAATGGACCAATTCTACTTGAAAAGTATGGAAACGTCACGTTCGTTTTCTTCTTTATCTTCTGGGTATCTGTTTTGGCTGACTTCGCGCATCCACTTCTTAGGCTCACCTCGACGGTACAAGGGTCGAGCCGAACGGCCGCCCTGGCTAGTTTTTCATCTCGCTTCGGTATGAAATAATGTTGCTCTGATGAAGTTGTAGCCACACGCCTACCGCAAGAGGCGGCTGTCGCACCACGTCGAGCTGGTATCTTCAGATTACTTCAACCACGTCTCGATCCCCAACGACGTCGCTGCTTGCTCAGGAATGAGCCAAGGACGCATTCCACAGCGAAAACCTGACCATGGGTCTATTCAAAATCTTCCGAAGATATAGGGCCCTGAAAGCGAGAGGATGAGCGGAATGCATCTATGACCCATAGCTAACGTGGGGGCCTACCTGCTGTGGTTGCATGGTGGAATAGCCATACATCCCTTCAATTTCACCGTACATAGGCGGCTGTGCCTGACCATACGGTGCCGGCGGAGGGGCTTGGACCTGGCCCGGGTACATGCCAGGCTGGCGGTAATCTTGTTCGGGACCGATAGCATGCCCGGCAAGGCCGTAGTCGGTTGGTCCTATCTGATGAGACGATTGTCCATGACTCGGGGGTTGAGTCAGGCCTCCGTGTTGGCCAGGGAGTTGTGACGTCGTAGGAGGTGCAACGGGTATTCCCTGCGCGCCTGCACTCGACTGCGCCGCAGCGCGCTTGGCATGGGATGAGGCCTCCTCACGAGGGACAATATCAATCAAGAAGTCAAACATGTCTGATTTACTGAGGGCCGAAGCAATGTCAGATCGTTGAAGAGTCCGGCGCTTGTTTTCTTCCGCGTGAATCCAAGCTCGCATAGTGAGTTCGGTTATGAATATGTCGCATCCTTTTGCGAAGAGTATTGGCGCTTCCGCAGATATCATCTTGACCTCGGGATCTGCTTTCATAACTTTTTTTATCCTCGCCAGAGGCAGTTGGTGAAGTTTGTAGTCGTGCGTGTCGCTCTCCAGATGGTTGATAGTGTGCTGCCAGTAAGTGGTGAGGATGTCCTTATACTGACCAGTAAGCCCTTGGTGAACCTGTGATTTCGGTACGTTAATCTTGGTGCACTCCAGCTAATACGTGCGATCAAGGACTGTCTAGACGTACGTTCGCCCAAGGCCCAGTGTAAAGATCAGCTGGCGCAAAGCCCTTGGCAGCGAGCTATTAGCAGCGACGTGTCAGCGAAGATAACCTTCAAACGAAGATGCCCAGTGGCAATGCACACTACTTACTGCCGCGCAGGCGCCTGTTTTAGGGAGTGTTAGTCCAACCAAGAAGCGAAGAACCGGAAACTAATCGGCTGAGGAAAGGAATATACCATAGTGGCCGCCCTGGCTGGTGTCATAGACAGCCTGCGGATGGCCGTCTTGAGAATGCGAAGATGGCTGTCCGTGCTGAGGATCCATAGTGCGTAATCCGTCGACGAAAAAAAAAATTATATGTCGAGTCTCGCGTTTCGTGGTGGGAGATCGCGTCCGGAGTCAGATGTGGATGAGTTGGGGTAGAAGTAGAGGGGGAAGCGATGATTGTGAGGCTGCTTTGGGAGACAGTTAAGCACAACATCGAGGGCGGTTGGGCCTCTTGGTTAGTCGCCTTACGTAATCGCACTGCCATATGCACATTTTCCACGACAAATCCTAGCAACATTTTTTTTCCCTCCCTCACTTCATTGTCCACACACCTTATCTTTAGATGTTCTTGAGAATCTCACACGTCCACACGTCCTCACGGCAGCGCCCTACTCTACATCTAAATCTAGCCTTCGCTCATGGACCATATGGGACTATCCAGTAGCCAGGTGGAGGAGCTCCTGCGATCCGCAGAGCATCGACTCGAAGAGAGCCCGGGTGAGCCAGACGCGCTCAAGATTCAGTCAAAGACTTCAAACCCTATTCCAGACATCCCGGGCACTCTCAAGAGGAAACAGATAGACAATATCGGACCCAGAGCCACCTTGGAGTCTACCAAGAGTATCGTAAGTTGTTCGCCATTTCTTTGGAACCGTCAAGTCCTGGCACCGATCGATGATGAGATGCAAATTGCATCTGATGGTGTACCGCGCCCGTCTTGGGTCTGTCATTCACCTCTATCCAATGATGCTTTTATATCATAGTTACTCTGATATGCCTGGACCTGTTGTTACCATTCTCCCTAGCACCATATTCTCACCTTTATCTCTTCCACTATAACGCTAACAGAATGGTTCCAGGACGAGACAGATACTGCAGGCCCCGCATGGTTCGATCTTCCTAAGACAAAACTGACCCCAGAACTTAAACGAGATTTCCAGATCTTGCGTCTTCGGGGCGCCTTGAACCCTAAAGTACACTATAAGAAATCTGCTTCAAAAACTCTCGTACCTCGGTATTGCCACGTGGGCGAGGTCGTCGAAGGCTCCGCAGATTTCTACAGTGCTAGGCTGACAAGGCGAGAGCGCAAGATGACTTTCGCGCAAGAGGTGCTTTCCACCAGCGGCCTGAAAGCTCGGTCCAAGTCAAAGTATTCCACTATACAGGAAAAGAAGATGAGTGGTAGGAAGGCGTACTATAAGACAAAAAGGCGTCAAGCGCGTCATTAGTGCCAGATCTTGTTTTCTGTTTTAAAATTAGTCGTGAGATGTCGTCCGAGTATGGTGCAATCTGCCCGGTTGACTCGATGCATATTCGTTCTCATCATCGTTGGTCTGGTTTCCTGAATGTACTCAATTGTATGGACCAATATTAATACCTGGACCTTGATTATATCTTCGTAGAATTGTTGACCGAGGGCTTCTTTTTTTGGAGATGACAAGAGATCAGCTGAAAGTTGATGTGGGGCATATTTCTCACTTGCAGGGATCTGTCTATTATTGCCGTCCTGGCGTGGTGCTTATGTCAGCGGCCCGACATCCATTCTTGAACTTTTCTGAGATCGAGAAAAATAGAGAGCAAGCTAAAGGGCACTCTGGTCAAGGACTTGGGACCGCATCTGAACAAGACCATAGATGACCCCGAAAATGGCCCTATATCAGTTGGGCCGCGCGCTTAGGCACACGAGAGTACTTCTACCCCTTCGCTCGCGTCTTGAGGAAATCAAAGCCTAATACATACTCTTTAGTCCAATCCTTACCCTCTTGCCGCGCAGGCACTCGTATCGCGGAGTCGCACGGAAGTCCCGAGATTTCACTCTTCCTCGTACGCACCCTTGCTTCATATTTGACAATTGGCCACCTAGCTTACACTCGTCAAGATCTGGAAAGATCGCAGATGCTACCAGTCGCACATCGGAGAGTTCGGTGCAGCCAAGCGAAGCCTACCTCAGATATCCTCGGAGTGTGCAAGCCCTTTACCTCAGACCCTTGCGCCGGGAAGCTGAGTATGGAGTTCCGTCATGCGACCTGCAGTTACGATCCTATAGTGTACGGAGTTTAGAGTTTTTCGCAGATTTCGCCTTACGAGCGGCCTACTACCTCAAACTTCCCGCCTTTGGACCTGTTCCGTTGCCTCGAATCACCGAACGATGGACTGTGCCCCGAAGCAACTTCATTTTCAAGAAGTCCCAAGAAAATTTCGAGAGAATCACCGTTCGGCGGTTAATACAAATTCGCGATGGGAACCCTGAAAGTGTACAAATATGGCTGGCGTTCTTGCAGAAACACGCTTACGCGGGGGTTGGCATGAAGGCAAATCTCTGGGAATTTGGCAAACTTGGTTCGTGTTTGTGTCGCTTTGATCTATTCATTCACTTCTATCAAGATGTTTGCTAACTCTGGGTGTTAAGCGGCCGGTGGCGACGCGGAATCTACCATATCACAGGAGTTGGAGGAGAGGTGGAGTCATCTTGGTCTCGATCGCTCGCTGGGATCTGCGGACGCTGTGGAGGAGTTACTGAGGAGCCGACGATCCAAGACAATGGGATCCTGATTGCCCTTTTTAGGTCACGGCCATAGTAGCATCGCCACACATGCAAAAATTGCGGTTGTAGATATAGTGTATAATACATTTAGCTTGTGAGAATGGACAGTGAACAAATCTGCATTAATACCACCACTTTCAAGTATGTAGATCACCATGTCGCTCGATCCAATGTCGGGACGTCCCGGGTGCATGGCCCATTAGGTGGTGTACTTCGTAGTTTACATTTTGAAGGAGGTTGTGATTAGTCATCCATCCTACGAAAGGCCCGGCGAGGCTCGGCATTCAAGGTAGGTAAGGAGTTTCTTTATTCTTTCTTGTCCTCTTCCACCAGAAGGAATCTCGAAACTTTCCTAGGGACTGTGTAGCTCGTACAAGCCAATCTCCTTGCGTAACTTTCCAGGCCACAAGGATTAACCACATCTCTACTCACTATGTTTTCGAGAAGCACAAGGCTGGCCCGGCCGGCCTATGCATTTTCCAGAATATGCACACGCTCTCTCAGTAGCCATCGGGTGATCTTCTCTGGCATCCAGCCCACAGGAACACCTCATCTTGGTAACTATATTGGTGCAGTTCGGCGCTGGGTGGCTCTTCAAGATGAGCCCGCCGAGCAGTCTGATTTGTTGTACTCTGTAGTCGACCTTCATGCAATGACTTTACCGTCTGCCCCCGAGGACCTTCGACGAAATCGAAGGGAATCCGTGGCGTCTCTCTTGGCCGCGGGAATTGATCCAAGCCGATCAGCGCTCTTTTACCAATCCTCGGTAAGCCCGTGTCAAATGACTAACATAATATCGCGGCGGTATACCGCTAACATATTTGTAAAACAGGTTCCTGCTCATTCAGAGTTGATGTGGATACTGGGTTGTAACGCGTCGATGGGTTACTTATCTCGTATGACGCAGTGGAAGGTTGGCTGCGCTGAGTTTCTTTCCAGGTGGCCAAGGCTAATACACGCATAGTCCAAACTGTCCATGTCCCCCTCCGCCACGGTCTTAGATGAAGGTGTGAAGTCGGCGCTGAAACTGGGCCTCTTTTCATATCCCGTCCTGCAGGCAGCGGATGTTCTAGTGTACAGGTACTTCCACCCTTGAGCCGCTATGATTCATCTGGGAACGGTCAGCTAAGCAGCCCTGTGCAAGGGCAACGCATGTTCCGGTTGGAGATGACCAGCGTCAACACCTCGAGTTCGCAAGGGAATGTGCCAATGGCTTCAACAGCATCTACGGCAAGCTTTTAGTTCCGCCTACGACCCTTACATGTTAGTGGAACAAGATTTTTTTTTTTTTTTTTTTGGGCCGCCACCCGCACGCACAAGGCAGCTAACATGACAGACACATTCAGCACCCGACCTTCGTATAATGTCCTTGCAAGATCCTTCTCAAAAGATGTCCAAGTCACATAAAAGCCATTGGTCACGGATCCTCATAACAGACGAGCCCGAGGAGATCAGGAAGAAAATAATGAGCGCGGTGACGGATTCCGATAACTTTGTATCGTACGACCCTGTCGCTCGGCCCGGCGTCTCCAACCTCCTCCAGCTTCTCGCGTACTTTGACGAAGATAACAGAACGCCCGAGAAACTAGCTTTGGCGCTATCCGGCGAAAACGTAAGTCTAGGGGGCTTAAAGCAACGGGTCTCGGAGTCGATTATCGAAGGCCTAGGCGGCATCAGGGATCGCTATCTACGACTTCTTACCGAGGGCGATGGAAAGTTCATCGACCATGTCGCAAGTGAGGGTGCAAAGAAAGCCCGCTTGAGGGCTGCGGAAACAATGGACCTAGTAAGGCAGGCAGTGGGGCTATAAAAGGCATTCCAAGTCCTTATTCCCCTTTCACTCCCCCCCACCCCTCTTTGTAAAATAGCAGCGGCTCTGCAGCTAGGCAGTCCGTGTGTATATCATTTGGGTTGAATAGAGGAATGTCGATTGTAGGAGGTTCTTCTAGATTGCCATACTACTCGTTTCGTGGTTCGTTTCGTTCACCATTTCAGGTGGCATAAGTAAACTTGCTCCCTCTCGAAGCAAGCCAGAACTCTCTTACCACCTGATTGGTCTGGCGGGCTCCTCGGAGGCTGTCCCTTCTTAGAAGCTGAAGATATATATATATATTTGGACCGGGTAACATCTATCCATACCTGATGACTTTTCTTGCGAACGAGAGCTTTGCTTCCTCGGAGATATTCTGACTTGGAAAGCTCGGATGAAGGAGAGCTGCGCGCATCCAGGTCTGTGCCATTGGGTGAAGTGATGTTATCTTCTTGAGGGGTTCGCTAAGTTTATCAAGCTCGCTTCGCGAAGCATTACCTCCTATATTCCTCATGAGCGAGAGCATGATTAGCGGACCCAGCTCTTGCATTACGCGCTGGATTAGCTCCTGGTGATGCTGGTTAGGTGCGCGGTAACCTGCAAAAGTAGCCTGCGAGGTTTGTGTTAGTGCGCCATGTTAACATGCCGGGCACCGATCATCAAATCAACTTACCCAAAACTCTGCTGCAGCTGCCTTAGGGAGAGGTTCTTGGCTGTCAAGGACGGTAAGGGTAAAGGAAAAGAAGAAGGCGAGGGAGTCCTGTGGTTCGAGGAGGAGGACAACACCAGGGTCTTTCACGAAGAGCCTACAACAGAAATCAATAGCGTGCTGAGAGAGCTCAGGATCATAATCGACACCTTCTCCCCATTAGTATGTAGTCCAAAAGTTGAAAAGGGATGAATGTCTCCTACTAGGGAGTTCGCGGACAAGGCGGATGACCCAGTCCAACGTGAGAGGCATAACGTCGCCCCAGCCCTGGGTCCTTGGCGTTGTCGAACTAACAAATGAGCAGGCCATGCCGATGAGGGCTCCGATTCTAGCAGTAGAGAATGGCTGCCGAATCAGATACCCAGAAATCGTGGCAAGGGGGAACACGAAAGGCCCAGGGACCGTCTCCGAGAAGCCAGCTCTGAAGATATTGCAGATGGATTCGATGACTTCACCACTCGAGGGGAACGTAACCTGCAACTCCGTGACTATGGTCAGTATGCGAGAATACACAGAGCGGAAGGGCTCCGTGTCAGGTCGCCGAGTCAAGTTCGTTTTTTCTGTATCTAGATCAACTGGGACGTCTGCGGGCGCCTGCAGACCCTTGCCTAGGTTAACGAGACATCGAAGGACGCGGAGACCAACGTGGAGTGGAATTTCAGCGATGGGAACATCTGCCAGACAGCGGCGCCCGCAGCGACGAAGGCTCGAGTCTACGTCGACGAGCTCGGCGCTCCTAGCGCCTAGAATACACCGCTGGGCATCGGCGGAAAAAATATCTAGCAGTTGATGGATCGTAGCTGCCTGGGCCTCGTCGTTGTCGAAGGCTTGGATGACGGAGCCGATCGCACCAGTGATCCTCTCATTTGCTAGACAATCCAGCTGCGCCTGGTCGACGATCCTTCGATATTCGGCCAAAAAGGTATCAACCTCGCCAATAAGCACAGTCCTACACGAGGAGCAAAGCTTATGTATAGACTTAGATGCCGGCCCGGCCAATAAGGGGTCGCCCAAAACAGAGAATAGCAGATTGAGAGCGTCCGGCAGGCTCGATACGTTTCGCTCGAAGTATTCGGCGAACTTCTCGATAAGTGCGATGCATGACTGTCGGGTTCGCAAAGGTATGCTCTGGTTATCCTGTCGAAGGATGCCGAAGAAGGACGGGGAAAACGTTATGCTCAGATCGTCATCGCACGCCGACTCGCTTGCGATGCAATCGGCAAACGCGCCTAGGCAGAACGCAGCTGCCTCGAGCTCCGCCCAAAGCTGTGATGCCGTAGCTTGTACTGCGAGGTCCACAAACACAGAGACCAGTTTATTTCCCGAGATCGCATACATAGACTGCAAGAGGTCCGCCACATCTTTCCGTGCGTCCATAAAGCCCTCCCGCTCAGTGGAATCCCATTCAGAAATAATTTGAGGGGGCGGAAACACTATTTTTTGACATGCAAAATGTACGGCTTGGGTAGCATATGTTCTACCTTTGGAAGCAAGTGCTTCTTGGCCGTCGCCAAAGTCGGCCATGGACTCGACATATGTGGACCAGAACTCGACTGCTGGAGTAAAGATTCGGTCATCTACTGCGGGAAAGCCCTTCGCAGCCAGAAGACCACAAACCGACTCAAGAAGCTTTTCAGAAAGCGGGTCAGGTTCAGCTGCGAGTAGCGTGTCCATTTGGGAGTCTGCAAGAGCAATCATGAATAGACCAAATTGCAGGTTTTCAAAATCGAAGTCCCCCTGGATCAAACGATCGTAATACCGAATACCAACCTGGCCAACGCTCATGTTCATGAGCAGGCGGATGTGTGGTACTGTTAGGAAGCCATGATGATTGGAGAGGAGCTCGGAAAGTAATTCCATCGAGGAGGCAAATGTAGCGTCATCCGAGGCGACAGCCAGTCCGTTTACAACCCGTGGGATGAGGTTACGGAGATGTTCTAGAAGAGGGTCAGACCGCGGTAGGGAACGGTGAGCAAAGGATGCCCATGGCTGGCAAGGGAATGCCTCTGTTAGCTGATAATCTGTAGCCTGGCTCCGTATCCCCGCGAGCATACGACCTTGTGATTTGAGGGATGATCCCGCACCTGGAGGCATTTGATAGCGCTTCTCCGGAGAGATAACCTAGAACTTGCGTCTCTTTCCGGGTCCAGGCCAAGAGATATTAGGGCTGCTACATCTTCAATCGAGTCACGAATTCCTTCGTAGATGGGTAGACTGAGATATGTTAAATTCACATGCGTGGACAGCGGAGCTGCAGGCGCAAACATACTGATTTGCCGAATTCATATCAACCTTTGCCGCCTCCTCCACAAGGTCGGTTGCGAAAAGCAAACAGGCTTGCATTGCGCGAGGTTCAAGGTTTGGAATGAAGGCTAACGCATCGTCAATGTCGTTGGGGTTGGCGTGTCGTCGCAGTTGAAGGCAACATATAAGATACCGTAAACACGGGTAACAGTGGGTGGGAAAATGAAGAAAAAAGGTAACAAGGGCAGTCGACAGTTTCCTCGTGACAAGTCCACTGGAGGTATCCAATGCCGACTCTGTGAACCAGCCTAGGAGACGTGTGAAGAGCTCGCTTAATTCGTCCCCACCGAGCGAGGAGCTATCATAGAATCATTAGCATTTTGCCAGGCGCAGAGGTCAGGGCTGGGAAGAGATGAAGCCTGTACATCGATCCACCTACCTATCTGTGTTCAGCTTTACAATCAATGTTAATGCGCCAAAGAACCGGACCTTTTCGTCCGGACGAGACAACAGGTCGCGAGCAAGGGCCCAAGCCTGGTCGGACCTCTGTATCCGATGAAGGACGTCCTGGATCTGGGAAACGATGGCCGGGGATACAGGTTCATAGAGAGCATGAATCAACTAAAACCTCAAGCATGCTCAGTTATGATCCTGCGAAGATGATGAGATGACAAAAGGGCAAACTCAAAAACAAATGCTCACGTTTTCGACCTCAGGAAGTGAGGAAGGTTCCTTGATGTAGGCCATGATTGGCGAGTAAGTGTTAGGCGCGTGTCAAGAACGGCCAGTATCAGGCTATGGGGCTGTCGAACGAAGCTTGGCTGCGTTCTTCGATGTGCTCTCTCATCCTCTAAATTCTAGCCGTGTACGAAGTACGAAGTACAAGGAACAGCGGCATTGGAGTTGGATAGGAACTACTTCGTAAACTGCGATCAATTCAATTCTTGCAAGGTGCAGTGTGGACGTAGACATCAATCAATGTAAGGTGGGGGCGGGGTTTTGGTTTTGTTCCACCAAAGATCAATAATGCTCGAACGCCTAAATTATTAATGTGGAGAGAGCGAGAGGAGAGGGGCTAATGAGCCTTCAATTAAGTATTCAATGTTGTCTTGCTGTCTTACAATGAAGGGAAGTAAGTGCCCTTGCCACCAATGATGGAGTAATTTGCAGTAAGTCAAGCTCGGTCGGGTCGTTTGCTTCCTCCTGCGACAAGTGCGTTGACTACTGGGACTGAACTTGTCAAGACAATACAATTGTAATGAATGCATGGCCAAGCCAGACCTCGACTTAATAATCCCGGGACCTTGTCGCTGTCAGGCAACGCAGACATACAAAGGGAGAGAGCCTCCAATTGTCCGGTATCTCTGCTTCCTGCTTCGTACATGCAATTGAAAACGAAGTACAATGGTACTTAGGGACACAGTGCCTATTCTGACGAAATCAAACCCCGCAATTTGCAGCTTCCCTGTGGAAGCATCGACCCTGGTATCATTGCTCCCACATTGGCACTTATGAAGTCCGAAGTAGGAACTCAGTAACTTAACCTGCGATAACCGACCCCCTCTTGGACCATATCTACCGCGCCTTTCTCGTAGGGAAGTCTTCCGGGGCTAACCGTGCATGTGGCCCTCTGTTGCGCGAAAGAGTAGTTTATGTAGGGCCAGGAACCTCTCTCTCTGCCTCCCGCTTACATTTCCTGGCTCGACTCACCTTCTCCCTACTCGACAAAGAGCTTATCGGCTAGATCAACCCCTCCCTCACCGGTGCAGATTTCTGATGTCGCGAGTTCAGCCGCAAGACGTCGCGTCGAAGTTCAGTGCCGTCGATGGCGCTACGGAAAGTGGGAAGGGGACGATGAGCCGTCTCAAGAGCCTTCGAACCTTCATGCGGGAGCATCATGTGGATGTTTACGGTAGGCTTTCCCTCACTTGTCCAGGAGACGCCCGGGGACCATTGGACCGTTATGCTAATCAAAACCATGTCGGAATCCAGTAATCCCATCTGAGGACTGCCATGCGTCTGAGTATATCGCCCGCTGCCATGCCCGTCGCGAATTCATTAGCGGCTTTACTGGCTCTTCTGGATGCGCAGTAGTCACACAACAGAAGGCTATTCTAGCTACCGACGGTCGATATTTTAGCCAAGCCTCTCAGGAGCTGGACGAAAACTGGGAACTTCTCAAACAGGGTACCCAGGAAGGCCTAACCTGGCAGGAGTGGACTGCGACTGAGGCGGCTGGCGGAAAAGTGGTTGCTGTCGACCCTTCTCTCATCTCGGCACCATCTGCGAAGAAATTATCAGAGAGGATTCAACGGAGTGGAGGAGCCGAACTGCTTCCTCTCGAGACGAATCTCGTTGACCTCTGTTGGGGATCTGACCGGCCCGATCCTCCTTCCAATGCTGTGACCACTCTACCCGACAAATTCAGTGGGAAGGATGTCCAGGCGAAATTGTCGGAGTTACGGCGGGAGCTGGCCAAGAAGAACTCGATGGGGTTTGTCGTCTCGGCCTTGGATGAGGTCGCGTGGCTCTTCAACTTGAGGGGCTCTGACATACCCTACAATCCTGTCTTCTTCTCCTACGCCATTGTTACACCCACTACAGCCACTCTTTATATTAACAAGCAACAGCTTGGTGCTAACACACTCGCGTATTTGGAATCAAATGGGGTCTCAATAAAACCGTATAGTGACCTTTTCACAGACGTTAGGAAGCTTTGTGATGCGGCCAAACCACAGGAAACGGCTCCCGGTTCCCCATGCCCTCGGTTTCATATATCCACGAAGGCATCCTGGGCGCTGAAGCTCGCCCTTGGTGGGGATGAGAATGTCGAGGAAGTTCGCAGCCCCATCTCTGACGCGAAGGCCATCAAAAACGACACAGAAATGGATGGTATGCGAGCCTGTCATGTTCGAGACGGTGCTGCGCTCATCGAATTCTTTGCTTGGCTGGAAGATCAGTTGGTAGATCAAAAAGCCGTCCTGGACGAGGTCGACGCTGCTGACAAACTGGAAGAACTGCGCCGTCGGCAGAGGGATTATGTGGGCTTGTCATTCAGCACAATATCCTCAACTGGGGCAAAGTGAGTAAATGTGCCCAAGCCTCTGATTTCATCCCACTTCTGACATGACGCTCCCCAGTGCCGCCATCATCCACTACAGCCCGAAGCGAGGCAGTTGCTCTGTCATTGACCCCAATTCAATCTATCTCTGCGATTCGGGAGCGCAATACCTTGACGGGACTACTGATACAACGCGAACATTCCACTTTGGCACACCCACGGACTTCGAAAAGCGCGCATATACTCTCGTCCTTAAGGGAAATATATCTCTGGACACGGCGATTTTCCCAAAAGGCACGACTGGGTTTGCGCTCGATGCCCTGGCACGGCAACATCTCTGGGTAAGTTGATTCTCGCCTGTTCTTTCATAACAGCTCCCATGATTGCACGTAGGCTTATCTTATTCCAGCGCGAGGGCCTCGACTATCGCCATGGAACCGGCCACGGAGTTGGCTCCTACTTGAACGTACATGAAGGTCCCATCGGAATCGGTACCCGTGTCCAATATACGGAAGTTGCACTGTCGCCAGGAAACGTCGTTTCTATTGAGCCTGGATATTACGAGGAGGGCTCATTCGGCATAAGAATCGAGAATGTCGCAATAGTTACCGAGGTGCAGACGGACAAATCTTTCGGAGACAAACCCTACCTAGGCTTCGAACATGTCACCATGGTTCCTTTCTGCCGAAATTTGCTAGATGTCAGTCTGCTGACAGAACCAGAGAAACAGTGGCTCAACGAGTATAACGCCGCGATTCTTGCGAAAACGGAGGACTTGATTCAGGCAAATCCAAAAGCATTGACTTGGCTTAAGCGGCAAACGCGCCCAGTTTAAGAGTTGTTTGCAGAATCTACATGCGTACAAGCGCGGCCAAGATGAGAGTAGTACTGAAAGATAGCTTAAAGACGATGTTTCCGTCGTTCATGCTCAGCAGATATTTCCAACGAGGCGTCCCAATGACTCTCCGAAGAACTCCCATACTATCGAAACCAAACCTATCGAGTGCCTGGATATACTCGGAAGGTTTCAGACTCCGTTAGCTAGAAGTGTGATTGGAATAAATAACCATCTTCAACGTACCAACATGATTAACCCACATAGACCTATGACTACAACAAGTGCTTTGGAAAAGACGCTCAAGACGACGCCGACACAGAAACCTGATTCGGGGTTAGTATAGAAAGCTGAGGAGCTGGGGCCAACTTTGGGCAACTTCTGTGAAAATGTGAACAACCTGCAAGGCTGCCACTGGCCAGTTGACTGACTGTGGAGGCTCTGACAAGAGGGCGATGGCTTAGGACAGGTCCTATCCCCCCTTTCAACCCTTCTTGCTGGTCACATTTCAATATGGACCTTCCTGGGAGGCAGAGAAATATCCCGATCCCCGGAAGCAGAGGGTGCGCCTTGATAGGTTTAAACAAGCCGCGCCTGAAGACTCGTGGAGGCATTATGGTTGTGATTGGGTGAGGAGAGCTTTTGGATGAAAACGAAGAGCTAAGTCGGGTCGAATATGCTGATTGTGCAGGTAACCTCAAGCTAGGTTGTACTTACATCAACTGATTATCAGAACATCGTCATTCAGATGGGAATGGCTGGCTTTATTAGTATCAATTTCTTTATTCGAGATAGTGTCCTTTATTACAAACGGGGAAACGGCCGCTAGCAAGCAGCAAACCCGAAAAAGAAAGGAAGGAAAGTGAAGAAAGAAAATAAGACAGAAAAAGAAGGGAAAAAAAGAGGGAGAGGGAGGGAGAAAGGGAGAAAAAGGGTATCAAATAATATTATTAAGAGACCAAGGACAATGCTCGAGTTAATCCCAGTGGGATTTGATTTGAGCATGATTGTCTCAACGAAACAGCAGTGAAAAAGTCGATTCCGGAACACCATGCCAATGCCCGCTCCAGACGCCAATATCGAGTCCATCTCTTCTCTCCACCGATAATGCCAAGAGAGGAGTCCATATATACCAAATAAATACCGTCCAGGCTTTTGATACAACTAACCCAATCCGCCCCAAACGCCGCGTATTCTCCTTGCCAACTGAATGTCTTTTTGCATGATAGTTACCCTCTTGGCATGTATCGCACAGAGGTTGGTATCTTCGAAGAGATGGACAAGAAACGCCTCTGCCGCCTCTTGGAGCGCCATTATGGCTTGCGATTGCCACCTTAACTCTTGGTCTCTAGGTACGAACGAGAGCGCAATTTCGCGGACCTTCAGTTGCGTCGGACTCGTTAGCACTTGAGGAAAGAACATGACACTGCGTCTGTCCAGGTTCGCGATCAGGGTGCACTCACTAGTCTTGCGAATGGGAGCTTGAGGAGCAACAGTTTAGTGTTGCTCTGATAATGCCTAATCTCTCGCAGCGCCACAGTTCCAGGTCGATATCTTCTTTTCGCCCTGTATGGTACGGGGTCACCAGCTTGGACGTGTCAGCATACAATACTCGGTCTTGTTCCGAGAGAATTTACTCACGGCGAACCCCACTAGCTCTTGAGCCACCGCGACTTCCAGTGGAGGTCCTGGGGGGCATTGTGGCCGTGCGTCTAATGAGCAAGAACGAGATCACAGGTGTCCTTCCGTGTTCGAAGGACAGAAGTCAGGCGGGAAGAGTCGGCTTTGAACGAATGGAAGGAAATAATCCGGGGCTATGTCAAACAATGCAGGATGGTCTCGAAAAAGGAGAGTCTATGATACATGACAGCGGCACAGGCAGTTGGATTTCTACTTAATAAATGGCTCTGGAATGGACGTGAGGGAGGACGTGACGAGGACGTGACGAGACGCGTTAAGAGCCAATTAAAGGCAATACTACTCTCCCCCAGCCCCACGATTTTTTCTCCCATTCCACACACGCCAAACGGGCTTACAGTACCAATATGGTAAATCGTTCAAAATAGCACAGTGTGATTCCGTCATTGGATAATTGTCTGGTGTTGTGATTATATAATGACAGCAAGAACTGCGCTCAAACTCCTTGCATTCTCATTGTTGCTGCAATTCCTGCCCCACAAGGCTACAGGATGGAGAAGATTCCAGCTGTCATCAATTTGTTCCAGAGCAACATTATAGACGCCACCCTGTCCCCCCAGGCCTTTTAGCCAACACCCATCACCTCATATCCAGCTTCGAAGCGTTTTCTTCTGGCCACAGGCACGATAATACCTATGCAGACGCTTATTTGCCTTACCTGGTAGCTTGGTTAATTCCAAGAATCTCTTCATCCCCGCGATCGATGCTCCGCCATGGATCAAATGATGGGAGACGGCGCAAGGCTCCCTCTGGAGACATGGTTTTGGGAAATGCCTATCTGTACGCGATGGTGGACAACTGCAACCTTACTCACCAGCGCCCTAGTGCAATGCCAGATCCTCACGCCATTCCAGTTATTCTACAGCTTTCGTGCCGTCTTCCATAAATACCAGGTGAGGGACCGTATCGCCCACAACCAGACATTCTAACCTTTCTTCCACAATGATAATCTTGCTAACCCGAACCCGTGGCCATATCTGCAGTATTGGCGCCTTCTCACGACCTTTCTCTACTTCGGGCCTTTTTCCCTTGATTTACTCTTTCACGTTTACTTTCTCCAGCGATATGCACGCCTTCTCGAAGAATCATCAGGAGGCTCGCCGGCACATTTTTCCTGGCTTCTTCTCTACGCGACAGCCAGTCTCCTCTTGATATCACCTTTGGTTTCGATGCCATTCCTCGGACATCCCCTTTCATCCACGTTGGTATACATCTGGTCCCGACGTAACCCCGACACACGCCTGAGCTTCTTGGGCCTGCTTGTTTTTACCGCACCTTACCTTCCCTGGGTTCTCATGGGATTTAGTCTCATCCTGCATGGCACAATACCGAAGGATGAGATTATGGGGGTTTTCATCGGCCATATCTGGTATTTTTTCAATGACGTGTACCCCCCCCTGCACAACGGATCCCGGCCTCTGGACCCCCCAGGCTGGTGGAGAAGGCTTATCGACGGCCGACGTGCTGAAGACGAATCGGCTAATGGTATTGACAATGAATTCGTCGTGGTGGGGGCCCCAGAGGTCGTGCCCCCCGAACTACGGTGACGCAGCTCTCCCTGTTAGGTGTATTTAATCTGCCCCGGACAGGTGATTCATTTGTATGAAGGACGATGCAGCGGGGGGGCGTAGCAAACATGGATGCTCACTGAAGGACGGCGTCTCGGACGGAACTAAGGAACTCAGCGGCACGGCGTTATAGGAACGTCTTTTTGGCTTGAATCGGAATTGGGTCTATACTTCTGTATTTGCATATCCCTTTTTTCTGCTTGCAAATGGTGATTGTGGCTGTCGCATAACCTCTGTCCATGTTTACTTGCCATAGGGTGTGGCGATGGGGAAAGCCGATGAGTTTTACGATGGCATTTGCGAACGTGCAGCGTCTTTGAGTTGCGACTGGCAGCACAAGCAGACCAGTGAGATTATATAATACTGGTAAAAAAACGCAATTGGCGGGGTAGATTGCAACGACCAGAAATGCTGTGATAGTTATCCCGAAGTTCGCGACGTGGTCTCGACTATCTTTTCGATTTTCTGGCCCATCCCAATGAACTAGGAGCTCGGGTTTCTTTAGAGGCGTTGAACACTAAGTCTTACCTAGTTGGCAAAACCCGATCAAAATGAGAGCATATCTTTATGATAATAACCCTGTGAGCGACAACTCAGCTTCACTCAGTCCAACATCGATCCTGTTGTGCGTATCACTGGCTAACTACCGAGTCGAGACAGGGTGATCCGCGACTCGCCCACGATTCTGGGCGTGAGGTAAAAGAGGAGACGCTCACTCAGCTTGGCGTTAAATATTACCATATCGAAAATGTTGATGGGGTGAACCAACTCGCAACGGCGCGAGGATATAAGAATCGCGATGAAGTGACGATATCTCCCGAGGCGATGGGGTCAGTCTACGAAGATAAAGTGAAGATGTTTTTTGACGAGCACATCCACGAAGACGAGGAAATCAGGTATATCCGAGATGGTCGTGGTTACTTCGATGTCCGCGGCGCGGAAGACGAGTGGGTCCGCATTCTCGTCGAGAAGGTGGGTTGTGAGAAGCATTGCTTTTCTCTCAGGTTCATTCGACTGATGCTTACATTAGAATGACCTCTTGATTCTTCCTGCCGGCATCTACCACCGCTTTACGACAGACGATACCAATGTAAGTCCGACGGTGCGGCCCTTTAAATATCCCATCCTAACAGAAACAGTACATCGTGGCTATGAGACTGTTCCAGGACGAGCCGAAATGGACCCCTCTCAACCGAGATGCCACCGTAGACGTGAACCCGCACAGGCAGGATTATGTGGCGCAATATTTGAAATAGCGGAGTCAGGCTTCGTCACGACTACAATTGTAGTTGCCCAGGGGCAGCTTTCTTTCTAAACACAATAGCAACAACCCGAATAAAAATTGGTTCGTGTATTGAAATACGAGCCCGCATTCGATACAAAATACTGCAAAAAGTCACAAAAGAGTAAAGGAGTCATCAGTATACTTTTTAAAATAATAATATATAATACTGAACTTGTATTTTATGATTTTGATATTTAATATTTTAATTTTAACGTTTATTGTTAACCCATTTATTTGATATTTATTACAGAGCATAAATCTCTTGTAATTATGCCTTTGTACGAAGTACTGTTTTCTCAAATTTGACGACGCGGCTTGGCTAAAGTTTCTGTGGCAGGCTTTTTCTTTGTTGTTAGTCATTCAGTTCCCAACTTCTTTGTTACCATTGTGCAGCGGAGCATCTCAGTATCTGTTTCTTAGCCTCTTAACCTGTTCGCTCAAAGCTGTTCTATCAACGTATCACTCGTCAGGCGCCCGGGGGCTATTAGAATATGGATAACTTTACTGAGCAAGAGCCAACGGCGCAGACCGGCGACACAGCCGTGAAATCGAGACTTCAATTGCCTGCAAGCTGCGACCCGCCGCCCGTAGCGAATGGTCCCCGCAGACAGCTGGTGTGGATTGTGAGTTGAACCCCTAGTGCCTGTCCAGCTAGCTTCCCAGAGCTGATGACTTGTAACAACGTAGGTTTTCGGGGGAACAGGCCATATGGGCCGGTCCCTTGTGAAGTGCGCTCTTGCGCGTGGTGATCGGGTAGCCTCTGTTGGGAAGGTTTTCGAAACAAGTCCGGAGCATAGAGTAGGCCGCCAGGAGAACTTTCTCGGGGCTCAATGCGATGTTCGGGCAAGGGATTCCGTCTCTCAAGTTGTGCAGCGGACGCTGAGCTACTTTGGTAAGATTGATGTGGTCGTGAATTGCTCAGGGTATGGTGTGATTGGGGCCTGCGAAGACCAAGATGAATATGAAGTCCGGAACCAGTTCGAAACGAATTTCATGGGGACGCTGCATATCATTCAATCTACGCTGCCATATTTTAGGGAGCAGAATGCGGGCCGCTATCTAATCTTCAGCTCGACTTCTGGGGCACTTGGAGTTCCCGGGCTTGGCCCGTATTGTGCTACCAAATATGCCGTTGAGGGCCTGATCGAAGCGATGCTGTATGAGACCGACTCCTTTAATGTCAAGGCCACACTGGTGGAGCCTGGCCTTGTAAGGAGAGACGAGCCCGACTCTGTTACGAACCCGTTGCCGACTTGGGGCCACTTCCTCATCAACCCTAGTAGCGAGGCTTACGCCCACGCGACATCTCCTGCACTCCACGCAAAACGAATGGTTCAGTGGCTCGGTGATAGGCAGCCTACCAGTGTAGTGAAATGTGCGGAGCTAGTCTGGCAACTCGCACATTGTTCTTACCCACCACTCAGGCTATTGCTGGGCAGCTATGCAATTGAGAGTATAAGGGACAGGCTCCGTTCGGTGACTGAGGAGCTGGAAGATTGGAAACATCTGAATTTCCCAGCAGCGCCCGATACTAGCACAGAGAAGGACGAAAAGGAAATCTCCAAATCCGAGCAGGATGATGATATGGGAGAAACGGGCCAGGAGTTGCACGATTCTACAATCACAGCGTCGTAACAGGAGATTCCGACCGATGTACAATTGGAAGACGACGGAAGGGGTTTTTCCCCCTTTTCTTCTTCTTTTTTTATTTAATTTTTTTTTCTCCACTGGTCTGGGATATTGGGCAGCCTAGCCCGTCAGATGAATGTTAAACTTTATTGTCACCAAGACTCCTGTCGAAAAGTAATATTCGGGAAATGTGGTTCAGAAACAACGGCGGCGGCTAGTGGAAAGGGCATTTTTAGTTTCACCCGTTGCTGTAGTACTTCATACGAAAGAAAGTGTTGCCAGCGATGGAAGAACAAGGCATATTAGGTAATACGAAATCTGTGCTCGAAATAGGCCACAGCCCCCCCTGCCCCTTTCTCCTGGACGCGTCAAGGACACATGCAATCTGCTAATCTTAGGACATGCAGGTGTGGCTTTTGTAGTCTGCTCCCAACACTCTTTCCCTTGACTTCCTACTTCATTAATTTTTCTTCCCCTGGACAAGGTCGTTTTTGGCTTCAACCATTCGTTTTGGACAGACAAAATCTGCTCTGCCCGTCCCTCTTCTTCCCTTTTCTTTTCTTTTCTTTTTTTTTGGGCTTTCTTTTCTCAAGAGGAGTTCTTGAGGTCTAAGGATAAGTTTCACGGCAACGATCCTTCTTCGAATCTCGACAATCTTTGTTGCCCCAGGGAGGAAGTTAGTCCATCGCAATTCGAAGAACCTGTCCCTTATCCTGTTCCCGCCATCCCGCACATAATTCCCCGATCCGCGTCACCGACACGATGACGGACAAGAAGATTGAAGACCCCGAGGCTCGATTGCCCCAGTCAGGCTTCCGGAATGGTTTCGTTGATGAGAAAGAAGGTTTCCTCTCGACCCGGCACAGTCGGCAGCCGCCCAGCCTCGCCATGTCCAAGATCAGCAATAGCCCTGGCCTTTCAATCTTGGCGTACTGTCTGTCGTCTATCAGTATGACCGTTGTCAACAAATACGTCGTGTCTGGCGATGCATGGAATTTGAATCTCTTCTATCTGGCTATACAGGTCGGTATCGAGTTTTACAAGACGATGAAGAGATTTTATAATGGCCATGGTTCTAATGCCAATTGTGTCTAGGCTATCGTCTGCACAGGGACAATCACGGTCTGCAAAAATGTCGGTCTCATTAGGGACTTGGCCCCTTTCGATAAGGATAAAGCGAGGAAATGTACGTGCATTTCAGGTAGTTATTTTGATTGCGTGGTGCTGATCAGCCAATCCCAGGGTTTCCTATTTCCGTCCTGCTCGTCGGAATGATCTACACGGGCACCAAGGCGCTGCAATATCTCTCGGTCCCCGTCTACACCATTTTTAAGAACCTCACCATCATCGTCATCGCCTACGGAGAAGTGCTGTGGTTCGGAGGCAGTGTCAGCCCCCTCGCCCTGCTTTCGTTCGGCCTTATGGTCCTTAGCTCGGTCGTCGCGGCGTGGGCAGATATCCAGAGCGCGCTCAGCGGCAACCCGCTGACAGGGGACGCCGTCAGCGCGATGTCAACCTTGAATGCCGGCTACGCTTGGATGGGTCTCAACGTGTTCTGCTCCGCCTCGTATGTACTGGCGATGAAGAAGGTTATCAAGAAGATGAACTTTAAAGACTGGGACAGTAAGAAATAATCCCGTCCCCTTCCTTATGAGCAAATGTGCTGTCTGGAAGTGCTTCTGTTGCGTCTGTCCAATCGCTGACACTGCAACAGCCATGTACTACAACAACCTACTCACCATTCCTGTCCTGATCGTCTTATCTCTGATCGCCGAAGACTGGTCCCGACCCAATCTGGCGCGCAATTTCCCCGTGGAGACTAGGAACAGTCTTTTCATCGGCATGGTCTACTCCGGGTTTGCAGCAATCTTCATCTCTTACTGCTCTGCCTGGTGCATCCGAGTTACCTCATCGACGACCTATTCAATGGTGGGAGCTCTTAACAAGCTTCCAATTGCGATTAGCGGGCTCATTTTCTTCTCCGCTCCTATCACTGTTGGTAGTGTCTCGGCCATCTTCCTCGGCTTCGTCAGCGGAATCGTATACTCGTGGGCGAGGATTCGGCAGTCCGAGATGGCGAAGATGTCTCTACCAACGAAGCAGCCTGCTATGAGTGCAAGCTCCCTGAGTAATCGGGACGCTGCTAACTCGTGAGCGAAAATCTTCTTATGTCTTGCGGCGGAGTTATCTTGGATTTGGATTGTCAGCCTTGTCGATAGTTCTGCAAAATGCTGTACACCTTATCATCGCCGAATGACTCGAAACGACTTGAGGGTTCCTTTTTTTTTTTATTCTTTTTTTTTTTTTTTTTTATGTTTCTTGTAATATAGATAGACTTTTCGGGGTGAACGAAACGAAGGACGTGGCTGGCTTATGCGATTGGATTGGGTGTTGGCGCCTGCCTTTCCTGGGGAACGTCTTTCTCTCTTCCTACTCGCCCCCTTCTTCCTTATCCTTGCCTTTTTATGCTTGTTATGTTTTGCTTCTAATCGACTAACTATTCGGGCGGAGGGGGTCAGGCCTAGTAGATGGAAGGATGATGACAAGAGGGCATTCTAGACAAGACTCGATGATAAGAACCGACGTAATAATAACGAATGTGTAGCCCAGACACTAAGTCAGCCGAGGCGTGAAGGTTATGTTCATGTTGCTGCCCAGTTTCAGATGCATATTGCCTTCCACCACTCGCTTATCCCAAGATGTGGTCCATGGCTCAGGTTCACTGTGCCTAGTTGGGTTTCAAACCAATCCTTGCTTGATTTCACCTCACGTTTGCCCTCCCCTTCTTAATCTACAGCTCATTGTGATTCTCAGTTCTTTTGTGGCCACCTAAATTCGAGAGCAGTGCTGATGGCTTCTGACTCGGTCACGAGCGACAGAGGCAATGATGTCATGCGGGCGGTCAGACAGGATTCCTGTGTCCCATGGCAGGCAGAGCCGTTGAAATTGAAATTTAGAAGTCCTGTTGTTAGTTAGATACCTGGTTCTAGCCGGCGACCCAGCCAATAAACATCAGCTGATGGGTATATTCCTAACGTGGGTTACCTCAGCGACCAAGAATGGGGTCCCTTGACCACGGGTCCGTGTGATTGGAGCCAGGATGAAGCTCCAGTGCTCCTTTGAGCTCATCAAAGTTGATCAGCTTGAGTTTTTGCCATGAGAAACCGATCGCGCTGTACCTTTGTATGTGCTTCGTAAACCTAAGTCTTGCCTAGAATCTTCCCCGAGGGTTAACTTTTGAAGGCAGGGAGGATATATGTTCATCGCATTCTTTTTTTAATATTTTCTTCTTCTCTTCTCTTTTCCCTTCTGATCCCAACCTTTCTTTTTTTCTCACCGGGGCCAGGAGGTCATGCTCCTTATAGTGCACAGAGGTCCGTTTACGATCTCCGCCCTTCGTCGCCTCGCCGGGTGATGCGATACACATTGTCCCATCTTCCTCCCCATGAGAATTGTATTGACGTCTGGCAATGGACAGTTTTTGAGCGCCTAGCCCCAACTGTGGGTGCTTCGCCGGACGAGCGTAAGTGATACGTCGCCCCTGCCTTTGTGACCTGTTGACTGAGCAAGCATTCAGTAAAGCTTGTCGCCTCCTTCCTCCTATCTTACCCTCTGGCGGCGGTCTTGAAGAGAATTCCAGAGAGCAAGCCCGGGCTGAAGAATCTTTTTATCGTTGCGTATGATGAAACCGAAACACGTTGAATTCTGCCCCTTCCCCTGCCCCCTCCGCTGACACCCCCGGCCTATAGGACCTCAATATTCTACCTTATTGGCCTGTTTGATTTCTGGGATGGCCTACGAACCTTCGGAATCAGTGCGGGTGGTACTTACCTTTTGGCAAGTGGTTTCCGCACTAGCCCTTGGATGCCATGGGCAGGGTTCATTTTCGTTATGGGCCATATGGCCAGCAACCACCTCGCTCATCAGTTTGTGACCAAGCCGTCGGCAATTGATATAACCGGCGCCCAAATGGTCTTAGTGATGAAGTTGAGTGCTTTCTGCTGGAATGTGGCTGATGGTCAGCTTCCGCCCGAGCAATTGTCAGCGTTCCAAAGGGACAGGATGCTACCAGAGCTCCCCGGCCTTCTAGACTTTGCCGGGTATGTGTTATTCTTTCCTTCGCTCTTCGCGGGGCCTTCATTTGACTACGCAGAGTACCGCCGGTGGATCGATACGACCATGTTCCAGGTCCCAACTCAGGTGGAGCCTTCAAAACGTCCGCCGGTTAGGAAAAAGCGGAAGATCCCTCGCAGTGGCGCCCCGGCTGCGGGGAAAGCTGCTACAGGCCTGCTCTGGATAGGGTCGTTCATCTATCTTTCCAAGTGGTATCAGCCAGGCGTCCTCCTTACGCCCGCCTTCATGACTCATAGCTTCATTGGCCGAGTCGTGTTTCTCTACATGGTCGGACTTACAGCCCGACTCAAATACTACGGCGTCTGGACCTTGACTGAGGGTGCATGTATCCTAACGGGGCTTGGCTATAACGGCGTGGACCCGTCCACGGGGAGGGTGTCGTGGGATCGCCTCAAGAATATAGATCCTTGGGGCGTGGAAACGGCACAGAATGCCAGAGGTTACCTTGCGTGTTGGAATATCAACACAAGCAATTGGCTACGGAACTATGTTTACCTGCGTGTCACCCCCCGCGGAAAGAAGCCTGGTTTCCGGGCGAGCCTCATTACATTCGGCACTAGCGCTCTTTGGCATGGTTTCCACCCAGGTTACTACCTAACATTCGTATTTGCCAGTTTCGTGCAAACCGTCTCGAAGAGTAGGTTTTCTACCAGTGCTCTGGTTTATCACTGGCAACCCACCGCTGTATACTAATCCCTTCGATAGACTACCGCCGTTACGTGCGACCGTTCTTCTTGGACCCGGTGACGGGATTGCCGCTGCCTAGGAAGAGGTACTACGACATTTTGTCACTTGTTGTCACTCAACTTACATTCTCATTCGCCACGGCACCATTCCTGGTCCTATCATTCTCCGGCTCGCTCCAGGTGTGGTCTCGCATGTACTTCTACCCCGTACTGGGCATCGCTCTCTCCATGGCTTTCTTTGCCTCCCCTGCGAAGCAGATCCTGAAACAGAAACTGGATCAGAGACAAGCGGTGGCAGGAGTGAAGATGGTCCGTTCCGCTAGCCAAGAGAGCCTGGCCTCAAGAGAGCCAGTCCTGGGGCTTTCATCGGATCCGCAACGCGATCTCTCCGAGATTGTGGAAGAGATCAAGGCGGATATTCAGAAGAGATCCTGATATCACACGACAAATCTGTACATGGCGAACTTGTCTGGAATTATGATAGTACACCACCGGAGGATGATGGATAGGGACCTAGGCCTTAGAGTCTCGCTTGGAGAAACGACTTGCATCACATTACCGAAAGGAATGGCGCTTTTGGTATACCAGATGATTGTTAATTTATATCTTTCTTGCCAATAAATATTGTCATTCTCAAACTATATACGCATGAAGCCGTAAGCTGGTCATTAAAGTCGTATGGCATCTCTATGTCTAGATATACATTATGTACATTGCTTCATAGGCTCACTGAGGATCGTGTTGCAACTACGTCCAGGTGGACATTTCGACGTAGTAATGACAAAGGAAACCGAAGAGGGAAGAGTGTGTGAAGGCCAGGAGGAGAGGGCGTGTGGGCCTGGCATTAAGATTAACTCGACAATTCTTCGGAGTGAAGAGAAGCGATGGGCGTGAGAAGGGGAGAAAAGAAAAAGGGGAACTCGGAAAGGAGCTGGACGGCGTAATAGCCTTCAACAAGAGATGTCGGTGAAAGGGAAGGCGTATGGTGGAGCGCTGGGCGCAGCGGCTGTAAGGTGGGGCGTGAACGCAGACCGGAGGAGCGATTATTTTGGAAGCACAGTTTCAAGAAAGCAGTGATGGGAGGGGTATGCATGCGTTCCTCGGGGGCCGAGTTGTGACACTAAGGGCGGGAGATTACGAGCCCCAGCCTTGACGAACACCAAGGACGATTAAGACGATGACGGCGCTGATGACGAGAAGGCCAACAACGGACATGTAGCGGTTGAGCCGCCGCCACCAGTGCGCTCCTTCATATTGAGCTTCCTCAAATGACTTTGAGCGCCTCGGAAGAGATGAAGTTCGAACGTCGAGGTGACTGGTGCTGCCATCTCCTTCGGCCATTTCCTTCCGGGGATCCGGTGGTAGTGGCAGACAGGCACCTGTCATCCAAGCTATCATACAGGTGTAGAGTTAGTAACGAGACTGACAAAACGATTGCACACGCCAAAGTGAGCACGATTTTCCAAATCACATACCAAAAGGGAAAATAAAGCCCACAATAAACAGAACGACCTGAATGTTCCGTCTGCCCAACATGCCGCTCTCCGCAGACCAAGTCACTGACGGTGGTTCCCAGATGCTATATCGGCTGGCCCGCTGGTCATGGCGAAGATGGGGGGACCAAATGCTGGAAGTCTGCTTCCGCAAACCGCCGCCTAATCGGTGCACGTCGTCCGGCGCCGGGGCCGAAGCTATTTCAGGATCACGCTCCACATCGCGTGGCCGGCGTCGCTGGCTATAGATTTGGGCGGGAAAGTGCTCGGTGGTAGGTGAGCCGCTCCGAAAAGAGCTTGGAGGCCTGCTCTCGGTGTAGTCGGAGAACATGGATTCCGATGAAGGCGCAAGGAACCGTCGCTCACCACTGCCGTAGTATAGCCTGCGAGTAGGTTCGTTAGGTCATGTCGCCTGATACGAAAGGAACAAGAGAATAGAAGCCGAGAAAAAAAAAAAAGAAAAAAAAAAAAAAGAAGAGCCGACATACCTTGCCCATGTAGGGAGTGAGGACGAGGCAAAGCTATTAGCTAGCGAGCTTGAGGAAGAATGAAGGTTCCTGTCGGATGATATGCCGGAAAACAACCCCGAGAGTCGTGTTCGCGAGGGGCGCTGGTGGAGAGCATAAAGCTCAGTAAGCCCGTCACCATGTTCATCCTGTTGCGTGACCTGATGTACATCGCGAGGGCCGTAGCGACTGTGCGATGGTGCTGGACGGTCAAGAGAATCACTGCGGGAGCGGGAATGCGAGATGGAACGCTCGTCAATGGAAGACGAGATGCTGAGCATGTTTCGGCTATGATTGCTGGGGAAGCCACTACTTCGCCGAGGGTGAGATGCGGCCGAACCGACACGGGAACCAGGCTCGCTTCCGCTTTCACTTTCCGAAATGACGGTAGACAATTGAGAACTCCATTGGTGGGGGTGCGCTATCATGGGCGGCCGCGAAGAGCTGGATGTAGATGTTGTAGCGGGCGGCGTTCGTGGGTCTTGCAGGATGCTCGAAAAGGCCTGCGGACCTCCCTGCAGATAGACGGCGGCAGGGGATGAGAGAAGGACGGAATGCGTGGCTTCTTGGCTGAGAACGCTAGAGATGGACTTGAGAGAGGCAGCCCGTCTTAGAGACTCTCGTGATATCGCTCTATAATAGCCCAATCTTTCGGCCGACGGCTTCTTTCGGGGTTGTAGTGGGGGTACAACCAAGCTTTCCTGAGAATATTCTGGGCGTACAGTTCTCTTCTTCACAGTTACAGCTGAAGATGACGCAGGTGAGGATTGAGCATGCACTACGTAGTTCTCGTCGCTACCTGAAGATGGAGGCGGTTCTTGGTAGAGGGAAGGTGATGGCGAGGATGACTGGCTCAGGATGCGGTAATTTGTCGACTCGTCAAACGAGGGCGAAGGGCTCGGTCGAGACTGAGGATTGTACAACGGACTGGACCCGTAGACTTTGTAGTTGGTTGTTTCAGAGGCGGTTGACGTTGATCTTAATGAATCCGAAGAGGAACCCAAAGCGGGAGGAGAGAGCGCGGTTGGGGGAGAGGTTGGGAGGTCAGAAAGATCGGGAAGAGAAATATCGGGCGAAGTAGGCGAGGCGACATGTAGATCCCGTTGTTTTAGGTTGGGCGTCTTTGGTACCTTGCGTAGGCCACCTACCATACGGTAGTTCCAGGGCGATGATGTGCTGGGTGACAGATCATCGGACAGCCAAGCGGGTCTGCGATCAGGCGTGGCAGTAGGAGTCGGTGATGATGCTAGGCTGCAAGGTGAAAAGCTACGATCATGTTCCGGCAATGTGGTCAAGGGCGAGCTCGGCGGCTGTTCATCAGTGAAAGGATCCGAGGCAACCGAATTGGTCGAGAAGGATAAGGGAGGTGACCTGAGATCACGGTCGGGTGGCTGAGAAATTAATGAGAAGGTCTTGTCCGAGTGAATGTTGATAAGGCGCCGCCTCCTTGGCAAGGAATGGGAAGCCGAAGAGGTGGCAGGTTGGCTGGTTTGCGGGTGGTGGGATGGCGCATTAACAGGGCGGATATGAGAGGAGGAATATAACGGAGCATTAATGGCAGGGATATTAGTGGCAAGGCGACCAGAGGGAATATTACTTGTAGAGGCGGAAGGGGCAGCGAGATCTGAAACGTTAGGCCCCGGGGGCGTAGTCGAGGATGATTCCAGCAGCGACGAGTTAGCTGACAGGGCGGATCCTGGACGGAGAGATGTGGAAACCTCTCCTTTCGAAGCGAGGGTGGGCTTTGCAGGGAAATCGACATCGGCGACATTTGACGACAAGCGGCTCGTGCTGCGAGAGGACGGGATCGAGGCACTCGTGGGGACATCGCCATCCTCCAGCCTTGGCGGAGAGTAAGGAACTACACGGATGGCCAAAGTGTTGTTCTGAGACTGCGACCTCTCGTGGAGCGGCCGGCGCTGGGAGCGGTTTCCCGGAGTAGAAGACATTCTCCTCCGAGTCGAAGTCGAACCCCAGACGGCTGCGGTGACACCGCCGCCGTCGAGAGTGTGGAGAGATAAAAACTTTCAAGGTGTGGCGGGACGCTGTGGGGCTGCCAGAGCCATTCCAGCAATATACTAGTTCGAGTGTCAAGCCTCTAGGCGCAAGTCGGCGTGGAATTCAAACCCATTCATGAGTCGAGATGGTGGAGACTCGAACAATAAAAAGAAACAGGAAAATATAACGCGAGGATCGTGGCGGCGATTACTTCGTAGGCAATTGACTTTCGTGACAGAGAGTGAAAAAGAAATGAAAGAGAAAGAAAATAAAATAAAATAAAATAAAACAAAATGAGGTAAAACAAAATAAAGGAATAATAAAAATATAAGAATAAAAATTAAGAGGATGAGAATGAGCGTCGTGCGGCGAACTGTGAGCCGGCTAGTGGGTGCAAATCAAGAGACCAGAGAGCATCGACAAAACTCGTCTTCCGTCCAGGACCGAAGCGGGTATGTAGAACCAATGCTTGCGAAATCGTGAGGTGATGGATCATAGTCTTCGGCGAATCGGTGGTGAGGGCATTGGAAGAAGACACCCCGTCAAATGGCCGGCGAGATGAGGACTAATAACTAATACCTCCCGAGTCGGAAGGGAATTCGAAGCAAGATGGGTCCCGAAACAGAACAGAGATCGAGGAATCCAGGCAGATTTCGCGGAGGCTGAGTGGATAAAAAGGATTTTAAGCTTTCAGTAATGAGTGTGAGTGTACGCAGCTGTACGAAGTATCAAACGAATGTGAGGTCTCGGAATGCCGCTTCAGGGGGCGTCAACCTTAACCCATGATTATTTTTAATATAATATTAGAGATGGTGTGTATAAAGCGACAAAACGTGAAAAAAGAGAGGAGGGGAGCCGTAGGGTTGCCGGAGATGTGGCCATGGGGCCAGGTCGAGGTATAAGAGGCACGGAAATGTTGCAACGGACCACGAACCGAGGGGGGTGGTTGGCATCGAATGCGTGTGGACATCTGCGGAGGTTGATGCCGCCAGACCCAGACCAGATCTCATTCGAGGAGAAGTCTTCTTCGCTTCTGGGGATCCAGCAGTGTACATCACGCGTGCGTACGAAGTAGTGTAAAATGAGGTGCAAACTCCTATTGTTCTGCAGAACCATACTTCGTACTTTTGTACTAGTGTGGTGTACTTTGCAGTCCCAAGGAAACTAGTTCCTTACCTTGCATGCCTTAGACCTGGTTCCGACCGGGGGACGAGATGCGGTGAAGTGGACGAAGTAGTGTCGAGTACGGAGTCGTTGTGGTGTACAAAGGTAGCCTGGTGGAGAGGCAACACCCACCACCGTTGATAGGTCCTTTGATTCATCAATGATCTCACATCCTACTTCTCAGGGGAGTTTGTAGCTCGATCGAAAATCTAACACTCGCTCTACTTGTACGAAGTACCGGTCGTCGATCTGGCAATCGATATACATGAAGTATTACGAAGTAGGTATATCGAATCAGAAGCCAACCATGGTTCGACATGGTCTCTGATATTATTGATATAGATCATTGGTGTGTGCTTTGTTTCTGTTCTCGCTCTCAGTTGGTTCATTGTTTTGTGCTTGGGGGCAAAAACTCAATTGATCAATTGATGTGTGCAAATCTTCAGCACTCATCTCAAAGAATCTCTCAAGTCACTGTTCCCGGCTTCAAGTACCACTACTGGGTGTTCGTACCTTCGTCCTTGTTCCTGCGTTCGCGCCTGCGCCTGCGCCTGCGCCTACGGGGGTAAGGCGCATTAGTCCAATTGCTCTCGTTCCTTCTCCTTTGTAGATTAGCCTCTCCTCAGTGCTACGCTGTGTACTGTACACCCAACATTAGTACCTTCGGACATGAGAATACTTCTAAGAAGTACCTCGAATGAGTCCCTTGTACGAAGCCGGTGCAGTCACAGAGACAAGGCAAGGACAAACCGGACAGGAGCCACCTGTCGTGGTCTACTGTGGGTCACTGAGATCTGCGTTTCGCCGGATTCAAGTTCAGGCCGGACGGCTTCAACTTCTGGGCTCTATGGTCCATAAACCGGATAGAATGCAGCGGGCCAGCAGGCCAGCAGTGTGCCAGACTGATATGGGCGTTCTGCCTCTGTCTTGGGCTAATTTATCCAATCACCGGTCTATTCCACTCCTTTAAAACAATGGATTGAAGCAGATTTGACGAATTCCCTGAACCATTGATTGTATCAGTTGATAATGTAGTGTACAAAGTACCTAGAGGAGGCGACTTGTGCTTTGCTCTCGCGAAGTACCTATAGTACCAAGAACCCGTTAGTAGTCTGTGCTGATCATAGATGATTATCAGAATAGGGGATCAAAGGGATCAACAACAACTCTCAGTCCTGGCTTGCGGGTGTGGGTTCCATCAGGACGAAGAAGTGACGAAGTACTTCGTACTCCGGACCCAATGGTTCGTGCTAAGTACTTGGCACATGCTTTACTTCGAAGACCCAGGTGCGATATCTCGACCGTCAAGTCTCGGACAGACACAGCGGAAACTGTCACTTCGTAGGTATTATAGATAGCATAGAGAGGTACGCCATCGGCCATGGATACTGCGATGTTCAAGCATCATTATAGCACACATCTTAATTACTTCGCAGATCAACGTGTGTGATAGATAAGAGGGAATGGGCTGGGGAGAGAGATGATTCGTTACAGGTGTGTGAGCCCCCAACCCTCTCGACCTCCTCAATTCTACAAATTATAGTGGTTGATTATCATCCATACGATTTTGGTACTCGGCTATGCGTTTCTCCCGTCGATCTTTTCGGAAATCCGAGAACTTGGGAGCGAGCTTCCGATTATTGCATCGATACAAAACCATTTATATTGTCGTCGACGCATTTGATCAGGTTCGGATGTTTCGTCGTTGGGCTCCGTGAAGAAAGTGAGAGTCTCAGAATGGTGAAGATTCATTCCTCAAGGGCTGGCTTGTGAAGAACATGCATGTCTGCCACAGCCTTCTGCGGTGCGGTGGCCCAATGGGTGGGCGAATGCGGCCCCATGCATGTACACTTGTATGAAGGTACCTTCGTACAAGTAAAATAGTCTTGGGTTAGGGTCTGAGGCGTGCTGCTTGCTCTCGAGTCTTGGAGTTGACACCTGGGCTGGCCAATTCTTCCGAAATATTGTGCCCTCGGTGAGGGCGAGTCGATGTCCAATGATCCAGCCTCAATTTCTTGGTCAGAGTTAGGGTCTTCCTTTGTACTTCGTACTTCGTGGGGGATTGGTCAATCGACTTCGCAACAGTGTCCTCGGCGTGGCTGTAGTGGAAGTACTTGACTTCTTCGACTGCCACGTCACAGCGCCCTAATGCAGCATTGAGGGTTTGGGTGGTTATGATCAATTGATCCCTCGAGCTCAGCCCCGTTGAATCTCATCCCAGTTTCGCGTTTTCATCGCGTCCCACGGCCCCTTTTTGGACCACGCGTTGACTGGTTGTGATTAAACCTGTCGAATTCCACCGGCTTGGGAGACAGCGGGAAGCGTAAGATGAGTTCATGAGGACCAATAACCCCCGCGGGAAAGCAGGAGGGAAAGAAAATAACGGAAGAGGGAATATTTGACGAAGAAAATGAGACAAAAAAAAAAAAAGGCTGGCTTGACCCCCCCTGCACCTGACGTCGCGAGGCTTTATCTTCTCAAGCTTCGCACGATTACTGGGGACAGAAACACGTCCGACGCCTGCCCACGGTCGTTTGCAACCTCGCCTCCCTTTCAAAATGGATTATGCCCTAAACCGGCGTGGTGCCCTCTAAACACTCAGCCCCGTCAATGTCAATATTTGACTTCGACGACCTAATTCAATTGTTGTTATTTTCTGCTGAGTAAGCACAAATGTTGTTTCTTCAACTCTGAGACACTCGTAGTTATTTGCAACTTTGAATATTGTCCCGAGGTTGAGTTCAAGGTGTTGCTTTCTCGTTGTCCAGCCCCTCTGTGAATAACTCGACAAACAGTCCAGCTCTTTCCTCTTCTGGTTTAATTGGATGGGTGGCCCTGGCTGGCGATCCGACTGTATCGATGCAATATTATCCTGTTGCAACTTCGTTGGAGTAACGCCCCGCTTACACAGGTACACACACCCACATCGATAGAGTTTGCATTTCACAGGCGATCGGTTTCCCGCACAACGCCCTCTATTTACTTTGATGTCTTGTCTTCCCTCGTCAACTTAGAAGACTCATCGCAGATAACAACCTGAAGTCTCACACACATCTCGCTTTCTGCCATCGCAATGTCTGACTCCGTCGACGGAACCAATGCTCCAGACGCGAATCCTCCCGTCGACGCCCCTCACTCTACTTCTCTCGGCCTTCTCGCTTCTACTTCTTTGCTGGTACATGGATCCCCTCCAACTAAGACAATCCATTCTTGTCAGGTTTCCTGCCTCGTTTGTACTGACACGGTGGTCGCTTGGAGCTGCTCTACACGTTGGTGTATGTCCTCCCCCTATATGCATTCCAAAGTACTAGGCCGTCCCCAACTCTGTCGAGGGATTCGCCACTCGTGATTCGTGCGCGCATCAGGGCAGTTACTGTATCGACCACACTCTGCTCGATTCTCACCTTGGTTGTGCTTTCGCGCCAATATGACGGCGGATTGGCGGCTGCGGTCCGGGCCATGGGCATATGGCCCGTCGGCCTAGCAGAGTCTTTCAGATGCCTCGTACTGGTAGCACTCCTATTTGCCGGGCCCCTCTACGAGTACCTCATTGTAGATGGTCTGTGGGAAGACCTTGTCTCTCTGAGGCCCGTGAAGAGTCTATGGCGCGAATTGACGATGTGGAGGAATATAGTTGTAGTAGGTTTCGCCAGTCCCGCCCTTTCTGAGTCCAGCCTGGTCTGTCAACTGTCAAGCAACACCCGCCTCTGCCAACGACAGCTTCGAGCCGCCTGCCTATACTAGACAGCTACTCACAAGTTCACAGGGACCAGCAACTGAGGAGATCATGTTTCGGTCTGCCGCCGTTCCACTCTTGGTCACGTCTGGAATGTCTCTGGGCAAGATCATATTCGTCACGCCCATCATCTTTGGGCTCGCTCATATCCACCACTTCTACGAGTTCCGCTTGACTCACCCGCATGTGCCGGTTCTTGCCGCCGTTGCGAGGTCGTTACTACAGCTCACGTACACGACTCTTTTCGGCGCCTATGCGACCTTTCTATTTCTAAGGACTGGTAGCCTCCTCTCTATCATTATTGTACATGCATTCTGTAACTCTATGGGTCTGCCAAGGGTCTGGGGTTCCGTCCAGCCCTATTGGTTGAACCCGAACCAGTCCGCGTCGAAGTGGACTCTTTTGTACTACGTCCTCTCGGTGGCGGGCGCTGTCGCATGGTGGCAGCAGTTATGGGCCCTGACAGAGAGCAACAATTCGCCGGTGCAGTGGAATTGATTAGTCCTGTGTGCATACGCCACCATTGTACACCACAGCTGGGGGTAGATCTGGGTTATCACGACTAGGCCGTACAGTATCGTCGTTTGTTTGTAGCAGCTTCTTGCTCCCCATAGAAATATATAGCATGGTCCGTACTGCCAACGCACGTAGATAGCAAATCCGGCCTTTCATGTCGTTGCTACCGAAGATGACGAAGTTCGGGCATTAATATCGAATCCAGGCAACGCACCAGGCATCGAGAATTCACCATCCTCTCTCGCACGTCTCCGCAAACGTAATGAACCAGGGGGGATATCTCTACCCTCCCGATCCATCTCATGTTCTGCTGACGACTGGGTTGACTCACTGGCTACGTCTTGTCCTCGGGCTTTCCCGATTGAGGCATTCACGGCATCCCCTAGGCTATCGTCTGGGCCCCTCGTGTTCTTCTTTCGTGGCCAGAGACTCGGCAATGCAATTTCCTGAAATCGAGGCTCGACGCAGCGTTCGTCGAACCACTTGTGCAGGCGGGCCTCGATGAGCTGCGCAATCTTAGGGACATCCTGAAGTTTAGATCGGCTACCTAGCAGACTGCGGACGGAAAGATCGAGTCGGTAATCGTCTAAGAAGTTGAAGGTCATGGCGGCCGGGGTAGACTGTGCCGCGTTGCTGGGGATGAAAGATATCGATAGAGTGCCGCTAAAGCGAACAACTGAGACCGCCAATGCTACTGGCAGCACGGCCGAGAGCTTCTTGGGATAGTTAAGCAGCAGCTTAGTCTCTAAAGCTAGAGTCAGGACATCGCTCAGGTCGACATCCATACGTGCCTGCAGTCGCGCGCCTTCTCTGGCGGCTGTGCTCGCATCCACGGTCCGCCCATTTCCGAGATCGAGGCCGTCTTCATCCACGGGGATGACCCGGCAATTGCTAAAAATGGGAAAATCCTCTCCCATACTGAGTTCGGTTATCTTGATGTCGTCTAAGAAGCTTGGTCGCTGAGCCCCATTGAGAGCCTTGGTCAATGAACTCAGGATAGCATCGTCGTGCTGCGCATCGCTACGAAATTGCGCTATTGTTTGAGCAAGCAGGACATTAAACCAGTCCAGGCTCTCGGGCTGGTGGCTTTCGACGTTGTAGTAGGTTTTACTTAGAATCGATCCCATTGTCAACGTGGGCGATGTCCGAAGAACGGTGGACTTTTTCCTTTTGAGGGTGCTGCCGTGACTCTGGCCCTGGCCCTGGCCCTGGCCATTCCGCACATTAGCATTCGAAGTCCGCAGGCTTAACAACGACCGTTTGTGGGCGAGAGTCCTCGAACGCCGCTCGGTCGCCCTGAGCGATGCCGTCACATCAGGTGACGGTGGATCCCCAAAAATGAAGAATTTAATGAATGCTGCCAGAATAAGGACGACCGATATCTGGCCAACAATAAGACCTTGGGTGAACGACAGGCTGATATGGATCGTAGGTCAGCGGCGACGAGATGATGCGAGGCAAGATGTATAAGTTGAATGTAGGACCTACGTAGGTTCCGGTCTCACTGGACAGGTGTCAGACGACATGGTCTTCTGGACGTGAGCGATCTCCCGGTCATGTAATGAGCCTTGTTGACTTGGGCAGCTTGGTAAGTGCTAGTTGCAAGGATTGCGCTCCGAATCATTCACCACCTTCCACTTATATCTGAAATGGCGATCAAGACGGCGCCAAAGCAAGATGAGATAATAAGGAGAAGAAGGGAACGGGTTTGCCGGGCCGGGGTGGATGCGGAATCAATTTGGGATCATATCTTAGGCTGATATTTGATCAGTGTACCATACAGGTCTGGACCTGATATTGAACGAATCGAGACATTGGAGCTGGGTTGGGAAATCGCGGAAAGGTCATTCAGAACAATTGAGAGGAGAGCACAATTCTTGTGGGGAAGTCGTCGTCATATTACATAACACGTACTTCGTACTCACAAGCGCGGGAGCCCAAAGCTTCAATGCGATCAGCCGAACCTGCGCTGCGCTGCCCCTCTTGATAAACTACTTCGATAGTGCAATAGATCGAAAGGGTGACGAGGACACCTCGCAACCAAGCACCGCCGCGACTGAGCTCGATGCCTGTTTAATCGAGCCTCCATGAATCCAGCAAACCATCCTCGACTCGCTATAGGTTCTACGACTAACCTGTGTCAACCTGAAGAGGGAAAGAGCATGGGAGTAAAGACACTTGAAGAGTGTCTAGAGCTCCAACCAGCGAATCCGTTATAAAAATCTATGTCCAGGGACGCCAGCATCAACTGGATTGAGCTCTCACCAATTGCACGATATCCCCAACCCATCATTGATCAATCACGTCTACCCTCAACCAGTGCTCCCCATCACCACCCTTCATCGTGAACAGTATATTTTCAACCTCCCTCGCAGTCATCTTCCCCTTTGCTCTTCACACCCCTTCTCCAATCCCCAACTTCCGGCTAACCTCACCCTACCCCCCAAAACCCATCTACACATCGACTAGTAAGGCGCGTGGCGACCACCATCAAAATGGACGTTGCCCAAGCTATATCCGGCTACCTGACAAAGATTGTCACCACTGGCGAGGGCTCCTCAACATCATCATCATCAGCTAAAATGAAGATTCTGTTGTTGGATAAAGAGACAGTCTCCATTGTATCTACAGCAACTACACAGTCTGCCCTCTTAAACCACGAGGTCTATCTCATTGACCGGATCGACAACGCCAACAGGGAGAAGATGCGACATCTGAGGTGTCTCTGCTTAGTGCGCCCCTCCCCAGAGTCTATACAGTTTCTGATTGACGAGCTTCGCGATCCTCGCTACGGAGAATATTACTTATATTTCACAAATGTTGTGAAAAAATCCTCTTTGGAAAGGCTGGCCGAGGCCGATGACAACGAAGTTGTCAAGCTTATCCAGGAGCACTTTGCAGATTACATCGTTGTCAATCCCGATCTCTTCTCCCTCGGCTATTCAGTCCCCCAGCATCGTCTCTGGGGTACTAGCCCGGACACCTGGAATGTCGATGCGCTCCAGAGAAGTACCGAAGGAATATTGGCGGTTTTACTCTCCCTCAAAAAGAAGCCCCTTATCAGATACTCAAAAACGAGCGCAATGGCAAAAAAGCTCGCCACGGAGCTCCGCCATCATATGACTCAAGAGGAACAGCTGTTTGACTTCCGTATGGTAGATACACCCCCGATCCTCTTGATTTTGGACCGGCGAGAGGACCCAGTCACTCCCCTCTTGACGCAATGGACGTATCAGGCTATGGTACACCATCTCCTGGGAATCGATAACGGCCGAGTGGATTTGAGCGATGTCCCTGATATCCGGCCGGAGCTGAAGGAAATCGTATTGTCCCAGGATCAGGATCCTTTTTTCAAGAAAAACATGTTTTTGAATTTCGGTGATCTTGGCGGTAATATCAAGGATTACGTGGAGCAATACCAATCAAAGACCAAGAACAATGCCAACATCGAGTCGATCTCAGACATGAAACGATTCATTGAGGAGTACCCAGAGTTCCGCAAGCTATCGGGGAACGTGAGCAAGCATGTCACGTTGGTTTCGGAGCTAAGTCGGCGCGTTGGAACGGAGAATTTGCTGGAGGTCAGCGAGCTGGAGCAGAGCCTGGCATGCAACGAGAACCATAGCGCTGATCTAAAGGTTAGTGATCGATACCATTTTGCATCGAGGCGGACTACTAACCGAATCTCCACAGACAATCCAAAAGCTTATACAATCCCCCAAGGTCACCGAGGACAGAAAAATCTGCCTCGTTGCCCTCTATGCGCTGCGCTATGAAAAGACGCCTTCCAACGCCCTCTCTATGCTGATTGACCTGCTCGTGGCGGCTGGGAATGTCTCTCCACGCCGGGCTGACCTGGTTTCTCAAGTGCTTGCTTATCGCTCGTCGCTAAGCCAGGCCCAGGCGCAAACTGGAATATCGGACATTTTCGAATCAGCGGGTATCTTCTCGGGCGCGAGGGATCGATTCAAGGGGCTGAAGGGGGTCGAAAACGTGTACACTCAGCATACGCCTGTGTTGGAGAGTACACTGCAATCCCTTATCAAGGGAAGACTAAGGGAACAGCAGTACCCGTTCCTTGAAGGTGGCGGCTCTACGCGAGATAAACCACAGGACATTGTGGTCTTCATGATTGGGGGAGCTACATATGAAGAGGCGAAGACGGTTGCGAGCATCAACGCCTTAACCCCCGGCGTTCGAGTTGTGCTTGGTGGTACGACAATCCATAATGCTGGGTCATTCTTGGATGAGGTTGAAGAGGCAGTTTCATCCTGGCCAGAGCAAAGGAGAACGGGCGGAAGACGATGAGCGTTATCGGGCTGGGAGCCTGGGGGCCTGTAGTATTAATTCAACCCCCCTTCCCCGTCCAGTATTAATATTCCTGTGCCTTTCTTTGTACGACTTGAAACGCAGGGTCGACGACTCGGCAGCCAGCAATGGTTGAAAACCAATTGTGATGACTAAGTTATGGAGTTATGGTCAGGCTTGTTTTTAACTCCGAAGCAATTTTTATCTTCGCATCTCGTTGACGTGACAGTGCGCATCCATTGCGCGCTCCAAGATATTGAGCGTTGAAAAGCTTGGTCGCATGACGACTTAGCCCTCTATCACCACATCGCCTTTACAGACACGGAGATGCGCCCTCTCCAGAGAGTTATCCTGCCGCCACTGCGCATTGGACGGGCGCGGTACTTTAGACCGGCTCGGTCCTTTGCGACCTCCTCGGATACGCTACGCTCGTACGGATGTGCCGTTGATGGGCCTCTGCGAAGACCAAAGCTGACAGAAATTTTCCTACTAGATACGATGTTGTAGTCATTGGAGGTGGGCATGCCGGAGCGGAAGCGTCCGCAGCCGCGGCGAGGTCGGGCGCTCGCACAGCCCTCATCACCCCTTCCGTCGACAACCTCGGGGTTTGCTCTTGCAACCCCAGTTTTGGCGGCATCGGAAAGGGCACCGTCATCCGCGAAATAGACGCCCTGGATGGCTTGGCTGGCCGTATAATAGATAAAGCAGGCGTACAGTTCATGACTCTGAACCGCAATAAAGGCCCTGCCGTCTGGGTACGTTTCCAATAATGCTCGCTTTCAGACTCGGCATTCCTTTGCCAGCTCCCCAAAACAGACTGCTAACAATCATCTCTAATAGGGACCTCGAGCGCAAATCGACCGAAAATTATACCAGCGCCACATGCGCGAAGAGTTGCTATCCTATCCTAATCTTACAGTCCTACCAGCGAGTGTGTCGGACATAATTGTATCCGATGTGGACACAGCAAGCTCGGCAGACTCGGCTTCCAAAAAGATTTCCGGCGTTCGGTTGGAATCCGGGGAGGTGATACCGACGAAGTCTGTAGTGATCACAACGGGCACATTCCTGGGGGGCGAAATTCACATTGGTATGCAGTGCTACCCTGCCGGCCGATTGGGAGAGGCCGCAACGTTCGGGTTGAGCAAATCTCTCAAGGCGGCCGGGTTCAAGCTCGGACGGCTGAAGACAGGCACTCCCCCACGACTCGCGAAGCAGAGCATCAAGTTCCACGTACTAGAGAAACAACTCGGCGACAACCCCCCTACGCCCTTCAGCTACCTCAACGACTCGGTCTCGGTAACCGAACAGTTGACATCTGCCATCACTTATACGAACGACTCGAGTCATGAGGTGGTCCGGAGCAATCTTGACAAGACGATCCATATCAGAGAGACGGTTAAGGGGCCTCGATACTGCCCTTCGCTCGAGTCCAAAATTATCCGTTTCCCACATAGGGATCGTCACATTGTATGGCTTGAGCCGGAGGGCTTCGATAACGACATCATCTATCCCAATGGACTGTCCATGACTATTCCCCCGGAAGCTCAAGAGCAGCTTCTTCGAACAATCCATGGGTTGGAGGATGTCGTCATGCTCCAGCCAGGCTACGGAGTAGAGTACGATTATGTTGACCCTCGAGGACTCAAGTACTCGCTAGAAACGAAAGCCATTGGTGGTCTCTATCTAGCTGGCCAAATCAACGGTACAACCGGGTATGAGGAAGCCGCCGGGCAGGGTATTCTGGCGGGTATTAATGCAGGGCGAGGTGCCCAGGGTCTTCATCCCTTGACTCTCACCAGGGCCGATGGTTTCATTGGTATCATGGTTGATGACCTAGTAACCCGGGGTGTGACGGAACCCTATCGCATGTTTACCACCAGGAGCGAATACAGATTAAGCTCTAGGGCGGACAATGCGGATACCCGTCTAACTGCCAAGGGCCGGGAACATGGCGTTGTCGGTGATAAGAGGTGGCAAAGGTTCACCGATGAACAAAAGCAGATTGCAACCCTCAAATCGGCGTTGGAAAACGTCTTATTAGGCTCACAAGACTGGGCTCGCCTCGGGTTCCGTGTCAACATCGACGGGAGAAAGCGCACTGCACTGGACATGCTTTGTTTGCCGAATGCGCAGATGAAGGATTTCGCGGACCTCGTCCCCGACCTGGCGGGTTACTCGGACCGCATTCAAGCTCGAGTTGCGTTTGAGGCTATATATGCGCCTTACATCGAAAGGCAGCAATCGGAGCGACGCGTCTTCGAAAGGGATGAGAGCATCCGTCTCCCCAGCCGGCTTGACTACGATGAGGTGTTTGGCTTGTCTTCACACGAGCGAGAGATTTTCAAGACAACGCGGCCAGAAACCCTTGCTCAAGCCCGCCGGATGGAAGGTATCACTCCAGCCGGCGCACTTCGGTTGTTGGGTCATATCCAACGCCAGTACAAGGCAGGGCGTCTCGAGGAGGCACTGGCAGGTTGATGATATGTCCGAGTTGCAATAGGGCGAGATTCCCTAGAGATGTGGAGGCGACACCACTCACGAATTGGGATGGCATGCAAAAACTAATACTTTTGAACGTGATATGATATTGTACAATTAGATATTTACGTGCATTCTAGAGCTTTACTGCATTACACAGAGGTATATCGCACATGGTGGTACACAATCAGATCCTTTCCGTTTTCACCTCACTAAATCGTAAAGACTTGGGGAGGAAGGTTGGCCAGTGTTTCACGACTAACCAGTTTTACCCTTGGTCGGCTGGTTCAAGATTTTGACAGCATCCTTGGTGTAGATGTAACTGGCGCCACTCCACACTGTTGTTGCCGCCACAACGTAGCTAATTTTCTAGTTAGACAGGCGCAGGTCATGGGGTCGGGCAGTCACCTGGGTACTTACTGCAGTATTGATAGCGCTGACGACGTGTCGACAGGAAGAACGGGGTTCGCCGTGGCGAGGCCAACGAGGAGTAACTGTAGAGCAGTGTTATATTTACTTATAGTAGTTGGCCTGACCTCCGCTGATGGTAACGAGAAATCCCAGTAGCGGCCAAACGTCTTCGGCTCCGGTAGGGAGATCCAGCGATAGTAGATGGCGGAAATGGCTAGGCCGACATCGCGAAGGAGGATGATGGAAGCAACCCAGACTGTTTAAGATCAGGAGATGTCAGTCGGCGAGTTCCAGCCAAAGGGAAGTGCAGCACATAAGTACCATACCTGGTAGACCACCCTTAATAGCAAGACACACCGTCATGATAGTCATGAGGGTCTTGTCTGCCATCGGGTCAATGACCGTGCCAACAACGGTTCTCTTATTCCACCGTCGCGCTATCCAGCCGTCTAGAAGGTCGGTAAGACCAGCGTAGACAAAGAGACCGAGGGACCACGCATGCTGGTCGTGGAGCAGAAAGTAGCCGACGAAAGGAGCGGCGACTAGCCTCGAGAAGGTTAGAAGGTTGGGAAGTGTGTAGATATCCTCGTGGATAGTCGGCGGCGGCGGGGTGGTAGGCGTGGTACTTGACGGGGCCGTCCTGCGAAGTTCTGCACGTCAGCCAGGTTGGACGGCGCTGTCGTCGTTTCTCCAAGGAGAGCAAAAACCATGCGAGGATTGGCTTACGGCGGAGTAGTAGGAGTAGTAGAGCTAGTAGAGCGTTGCTTGTCGAACATCACTGACGCCGAGGAAAACGCTGAATGGGCTGAGATATGACACAGGACGTTGGAGCGGGTGCCCACCCGGAGAGCAATCGGACAAGTCGTCTGCGGTGCCGGCGCCCGTAGCCCTTTCAGGCCCGCTAAGGCGGCGTGGCGCGCTCTGTGTAGAGAAAGCATTTGCGGTTCGGCGGCAGGCCAGGAAGACTTGCGGTGGGTGGCACTCCAATTTGCGATTGTGAGCCCTTCACGGCTACGGGCAGGACCTCCTGCTGCCTCCTCCGACCATCAACGATCGACCCTGTTCCTGAGACCTCCAAGGAAAAGAAGTAATGGCTGTGACGTGAGATGGCAGGGGTTAGAGGCGCCTTCCGTTCCGCGTGCGGCTCTTTGGGCATCCACTGACAAAGGAACGTCGTCTAGTCGAACACAATGGCAACAATCAGCTGCTCTCCGAGCCGGACGGGAGGTGTCGTGCGGTGGGCGGAATAATTGAAGTATCTACTGCATAGGCTTGGCAAATGGCAGAACAAAATTTCAGTGTTACATTGTACCTTTGTATTACGAAGGTACTTCGCACTCAAACTTCGTCGGTGCTTCCCCACTTGACCAATCATACACGTTTTGGAATAAAACTCAATTTAAGCAAAGCCTCGGACAATCGAATATCGCAGTTTCGTCAGATAAAGCAGAGATGAACGAATGATGCTTGGATACAACGATGATGAACCCTCCGTTTCAATTCAGACCTCGTTTCCCACCAACCGTACACGTTGCGCCTGTCCCGACAACCTGGAAACCTTTATACCCTTTGACGCGAATCAAACCATCTTATAAACCCGTCCCGTTGCCCATTCCTTATCCCAAGACCGCCCATGGTGCTTGCACCCCAATGACCTGTGTTTCCCATGCTAGAACGCCGTTTATAACCATCTCCCCGACGCCAGTCCCGGGCGTTTCGAAGCGACTGTAGATTTACACCCCCCGAAACGAATATGCTGACCCCCTCACGAAGTCCTCGCGGACATTTTTTTCTTCCTCTTATTCGTCTCTCTAAATAGAAATAACAGAAACAGCGAGATATCGCTGGAGATTCATGAACGAGTGTGTATTCCTCTAGAGACTTGTCATGTTAGCATGAATGCCACGGCTTCATGGTTTGGCGAAGGATTACTTTCTCTTTGCTTACCTTGAGCGAGTGGTAGGACCTGGCAACGGCGTAGAATTTGGACGGGCGCTACCCTGCAATGGTGCTTGCTGGGCGCCCATCATTCTTTTTGGCCTTGACCATGGGGGGCTGCTCCAAAGAACGAGTGACAAAACCCAAGTAAATACACATCGTTTGCACACGAAGCCTGGAATGGGCTTCTATTTGGTAGTGTGGCCTCGGCGGTGCCGCGCCCTCACTCTCCCCCTTCCTTTGTCACCGGCACCTATACGGATCCCCCAATGTGGTACATGGGGTGCGGAGTGACGTTCTGAGACATTGATGGGTCGAAGGGCAAGAGCGCGGACTGCGGCGTTGAGTGACCGAACTGGACATTACCCATATGTTGTTGCGGGCTTTGCTGGAACCCATCATCCATGAAGGACGGCATTTGATGCCAGGAGAACTCGGACTGATCGGGGAAAGGCATAGGCGGGGGTAGTGACGACATTGGCAGGGGCCTGTAGTGTTGTTGCACGTTTCCGGGCATGTTATTCTGACTTGGCATTTGGCTCTCGGGTTGGTATACACCCGGAAGAGGAGCGGCGAGGTTGAGGGTGTAAAGGGCGGTGTGCTCAAGAGGTGCGCGGAAGTTTTGCCGTGAGATCAAATCGGTTCGTGGGATGCAATTCCTTATGAGTTCGGGAGTTTCCGAAGGGCATCGAAGTTTACCCTTCAAGACATCGTCGCAGTTGTAATAGGATACCACATGGTGGAGGACGCCTCGGTAGTTGACACTGATCGTCTTCTTCACCAAGCCCTTCTCCTTGAATGCGTAGGAATCCACCAATGAACCTACCAAGGCTCGCTCGACGTCTTTGTCCATGCCGCTCTCTGTCGAGGCGCTGCTCGCCATTGCTAGCGCAGCCCCCACTCGAGGGGGAGGACTCTGGGAAGACCGTTTCACGATACCATTTGCCGGGGCCTTTCTTTGCTTCTTTAGCGCCCGCTTCTTCTCGCCTGGTGGGAACGGTTTCTCCAGCTCGCGGTATATTAAGAAGTTCCCCAGAATCCGGCTAGGGCTCCAGTTCACTCCATCGGTCCACCGCTTTATTCCAGAGGCATGTTCTTCGTATATGAAGATGTTGCCACTCTGGATGAGATCAGGTCGCTCTCTATCCTGCGGCCTACGAGGAACGTGGTTAAGGTGACCGCTCAGACAGCCCTCGATGAGAACCAGGGCATCGACAGTAGACGATATGTAGCCCACAAAGGTGGGCTGAAGGGGAACTGGGCATCGAGGCATGATGCAGCGTCCCTTTCGTGAAGGTAGGGTTTCAAATTTCCAAGTGCGGGTGACAAGAGCCGTCTAGTGACGGCAAGCAGAGATGGAGATTCTCCCCACCGCTGGAAAAACCGAGGTTTCTCGCTCGATACGTGGTAAGACGACCAGGATGACCGCCCGGGTCGGCCACGTCTACCTCGGCTGCAGTTGGTTCGGGAGGGGTTAGAGGAACTAGACGGAACCCCTCCTTGGGAGCGAAGTGGTGGATAGGGTATCTGGAATGGCGAAACCTGTGCCTCCCTGTCTTGGATGTTGGAAGGCCCTCGACGATAGGAGGGTGCGAATGAAGGTAGAAAGGAATATCGCCACTAATGACTCGCCTTGGGCCTCAAAAGATGCGATGAACTCGACTGTGGGTAAGGGTGCACTAGTGGTGCGGTGGTTGGGGCTGGCCGGAGGTAGCAATACTGAGCCCTCGAACGTCGAAGATTTGTGACGATGAGGAGGGGGAGGATGTCTTTCCACGAATGCAACTGATATCCGATGATTTCGGTATTGGTATCAAGATGGTCGCGCTGTCGTCTGGTTGAAGACAGGGGGGTCTGGATTAACAAGAAGGAGGGGTAGACGCGAGAGTGTAAAGGTGTAAAGAAGTGCCGTAGTGCTGATTAGGGAGAAATAGCTCGATGCACATGTAGGTGCCTGGCAGCGGGGAAAGAAGTCGGTAGGATCCGGTGAGCGGTCGGCCTCCTGGGAGGCGAAAATGACAAAGACTATATCTGCAAGCACCGAGATAGAGGAGCTCCATTCGCTAATTACCTAAGAATAAGCTTTTGGTGCCTGTGGGAATGGGCTGAGATGGTGGTGTGGATGAGTTGAGGCGAGGCAACCCGGGCAGAGAAGTTGGAGTTGCACGGTAGGAAACAATGGAGACGACATTGAATACTGGAGGGGAGGGCAGGGAAGGGCGAGAGCGAGGAGGGCAAGGGCAAAGGCAAGGGCAGAGGAGAGGGAGAGAGCGAGGGCGAGAGAGGCGAAGAGGAAGGATCGAGGGAAAGAGCTACGTAGGAGGAGCAAGAGGAGGAGGAGGAGGCAAGCTCGGTGGGGACGATGGGCATTCTTCTCAGAAGGGGAGGGAATATCGAGTCCTTCTTCCCATGGCCGTCATTTCCGGCGGTTTGCCATCATGCACATTCTCTCCCCACCTTCCAGAGGTTCCGTCTATCCTAGATCAGACCAATGAGGTCGTGATCGCTACTTAGTGACATTGAGACCTGTTGCCGCTAAAAAACTTGTCAAACAAGACGGACATCTCGACAAAGTGCGCCAAAGGAGACTAGGAGGTGTGAGGATACGCTAACCCGAGAGCTACAGATCGCCCAGCTCTCCGCACCGATGTCCCGTTGATAAGGAAGAGGAGGGCAGAGCGAGTCGACTGATGAGACATGACATCGAAAACTGCAAACTGTGTGGGGGTGGGCGAAATGCCAGTTGATAATGGCATCAGGACGAGGCCGTTGTTACGACCACATCCCGAGTCCAGCACCGGACAACGAAAGCTACATTCATGTACAGCGTCCGTCTCTATCCCATCTAGCTGGATTTCCAGGTCTGGTCCATTGCACCTGATTGTCTCCAGCATAGAGCCGCTGTGCGTGTGCGCCTAGTCGACCGTGTACGGGTACGAAACTTACCATCGCCGCGGGCGGTAACGTAGTAGTCGCTGCGGTAGCGTCACTTTGCCCCCTCCTCCGCTCCCCGATCTTCTACCCAAGGTAATCCTCTACTAACACCTTGGCGTGTGTGGCTCAAATCGATCCTGCTTTACCTGATGGTGCTACTATATCGTATCTGATCTTCTAATCTTATCCCTTAGACCTACCCCGAATTGCACCATTGTTGGCCTAAGAGGCACTCTACTGGTGGATGGGGACACCGATGTTTTCAGAGCATTTCGATGGGAACGCTCGCTTCTCTCATGCAGGTTAGCCTTGTGAAACACAACGCTGCGTGGAGAATGCGTTAGGGACCTGCAAGTCATTGAGGCGAGCCCGGTAAATAGATTAATAGAGATGAAGAATGGTAGGGGAAGGGCGAGGAGCCAACAGGGAAAGGCAAAAAAAAGAGCAAGGGACGGGGTGGGAGCGGGAGAGGGGTGGGGTGAGGAAGATGAAGATGGGCTGGCAGGAGAAAGAGAGGATGTCCGAGACATGCTTTCCGAAAAACAAGGTGTGGTGAGCCAGTGCCTGTCACTGGAAGTATAAACAGCTTTGACAGAGAGCGACAACAAGCTAGCATAACGTCAGTAACAGAATCAGCAGCCATCCACGGGATGGGCCAAACTTTGACCCCTGCCCCAAGAGGAGCAAGGAACCTTGAGATGAAGGAGTAGGAGGTAGAAGAGTATCATCCCGTGATAGCCCTGTGTGCGTACATGTTCCATCATACGAACGCTTGTTTGCCGAAAAGTACGACGGCTGTCGGACTAGCCGGCATGTTCGAATCGACTAGCAGCTTCCTGTCCCTAGGGGCCCCCGATAGTAGCCACAGTGGTGACGACGATTCTTCAAATCACGAACAAATTTCCAGCGGGGCCTCAGCAGCCAGCCTGGAGTACGAAGTACGTCTCGTACGGGCCTATCGACACCTGGAGGGGAGGAGAACAGAACATCCATTCTTGCTCTGATACTGAGTACGTCCTGGAGTCTCTGGATCGATGTTTGCACGGACCAGTGGGTAGTGGATGGAGTTTTCCTCCCGGATGAAGCACCTCGCCCATGGCCGACGGATCCGCTAGCCCAAGAAGCGTAAGGCCGGCGATCGACCGGAGGCTAAAGAAGCCAAACGCCGCTCCCTGATGTCCCCAGCTCATCCAGTGAACGGTCCAGAGGGCAATGGACCTCTCCTTCGTGACGAGATGGATGAGAGCGAAAGATCCAATCCAATCGATGTGAAAAGAAGAAATTCCCGGCTAACGCTTCGTAACGACCAAGTACCGTGTTCTCTGTACACAATGAACAAGGCGGTGAGATGGGCGCCTAGAATCGGGTCGAACTTGGCTTTGGGTGACTGACTGTTGATTCATGGCTGATGTAAGGTGAAGATGATGTGATCCGGGGGGGTTTGTTTCGAAGGGGAGGGGCAGATGAGAGGAAAAACAGCCTAGGAGAAATGAAACATGTGAATCCGGAGACTGGCGAGGGGAGGATGAGGATTGGATTGATGAGAATCGAGTGCCGATGTTGGTCGGGTGGTTCTGTTTCTGAGGTATTCTGAGGTACTCTGGAGTACACAGGTACCTCTTATTAGTGGTGAAAAAAAGGACTCCGTGGGTCAGTGATGTCTCGGACACAAACGCAACTCGAGTCAGAGGTCTCAGCCTCAGCACTCGCTGGGTGCATTATACAAGCACATCCCATACTGGCAAGTAATGACCACTCGGCGGAACCTTGGCGGGGTGGCGGGGTAGAGTCGACGACATTGTAGAATATACCATCATCGGCTCTACGAAGTACGAACATACGCAGTCACTAGCCGTGCTTTGAGGAAGCTCTAGAGCCTCTAGTGCCAGCCCCCCCTTCGACAAGCAGGTGCGAGCTAGGCAGAGTCGGGAATAGGCGCTGAGCACTCCTCAGGCTAGCGCTTGTAAGCTCACTCCGCAGCAGTGTCCAGTGGCAAATGGCGAACATGGCGCCACCTTCGCTCTCCAGATAATTCGCCTGCAAACCGCTCATGCTCAGTACTCATCGGGTCGAGCAGACAGCTTATCGTTGCTTCTTTAGCAGGACTACACTCAGTAGTGTACGGAGTAGTGTTGTGTACTCGCTGGACCTTCCTGCGAGTAGTTCGTAGTGTACTGAATGTATGCAAACCATAAACTCGACCAATCGGTAGGCAGCCCGTTAGACGATTCCCGCTCAAGCATGCTCAAGCCTGGCCTGCAAAGCCTTCCTCCCTCTCTCTCCCGCCAAGGGATCCATGCAATGCATCGGAAAATTATGGCCTATGATGTCGCTCTGATTCTCCGCTTACCAGATTCAAAACCACCCGCATGTGGTACAAGTACGCGCAGAACCAAATGGAGGAACAGGCCTCATCGAAAATCGCAGTGAAAGTCCTGCTCCGATTAATCATATTTAATCACCGTATAATTGTAGGCCCTGCTCAAAGATGTACAGTGTTCCGCTCGTAGAGGGTGCCTCAAATCATCCATTGAGTCTGGCCCTTGCCTTCGGCGGCAAAGTGACGACTGAAGGTGGACGCTATTTCCCGAACCAAGGCTGGGCCTCTCGGTCCATCAAATCGTAGGCGGCGCCAGGCGTCTCCATTGGGACAGGTAGATGGCCACCGAACACCGTGGCCAAATCCTGGGGCCAGCTAGCGGCCTTTGACGTCGTCCGAGCCGTGGGCACGGAGAAAATGATGCCGCATTCCCAGTTTCGACAAGTAAGCCTTGGACGGTTGGTCGATTTATCCTTGACTAACCGACCCCTGGACATCCACATCCGATCTTCTGTTAGCGCGAATGACAGGAATAGTAGATCGTCAGCCCAAAGGACGGCGGGAGAGATGGAGGACTAGGGGAACATGAGGGCACGAGGCCAGATGGGTTCCCGCTTACCATGCGCTTTCGGAGAGATTTGCACTGCCGACATAGGCCCACGCCGAACCTGTTTCTCCAGGCTGTTTGTGCCGAACAAGTGCGACTTTGCTATGAATCAAAAGCCCGCGGCGCCTGCATACGCAATCCCGCAGCAGCTCACGGGGGAAACTGGCCGAATTCCACCAGCCTGCCTGGAAACATATCGTTCCTGCGGACTACGTCCAAGGTTTCGTGTTAGTCACAAGCCATCTACGGTTGGACGTCCTGTACAGGATTCAGCTGGGGACGTACTGCGGCTCCACCTCGACTATCCACCACTGTTTTCCGGGAAGGAAAGTATATCCGAAGATGACTTTTCAAAGCGCTGTCATTGCTTGCAGACGCCCTGCTTCCAGATGTCCTTACCACAAGCGCCTCGCCATCGGGGCCGCCGCCAAACTTCCCTAGAGGCGGACCAACCGCCTGTCAGCTTTACTCGTATCGGAATGGTGAGGAGTCCACATGTTATTTCCGTTATCTAGAGGCAGGAGCAGAGGGGAGGCGACACACCTTGAAAGGCCGAGTAAAGGGCGGAAAGATATTCCCGTTTCAAATTCCCTAGGGATGAACACTGAAAGCCTAATGTAAGCACTCAAAGGACACAGGCCATATGTAAGGCAGTATACCTACCACGAAGTCGATTTCGACCGGATCGGGTGATGCCAGCCCCAGGCTTCTTGCTATTCGACTAAGGCCACAGTATCCTGTATTATTGGTTTAGTCTTCTGTTTATTTAGAAACATGGTCGAAACAACAAACCAGTGTACTGCCACTCGTCTCCTGTATGCGAACCGCAGCTGAAGTTGAATACTAGGGTTAGAAGTCATGTTCCTTCTAGCATATTCCAAGGAAAGAAGGAGAAGAGGAGGACAGGTTCATGGAGATTCATGATTCAAGATAAGGCGGGTCGTACATTGTATGGACGAAACCGTATCGTTTAGTTTCCGCAAAATCGTAGTTCTCCAAACTTCGGACAAGCTTCTCATCAAGGCCTAACGCTTTGAGGAATCGGAAAAGCTCCAAGCTGAAGGTGGTCGGTACAAAGGGGATGGCTGCTTCCTGGCGAGGCAAGTCGATCAAGAACACAATCTGGAGTTTCTAATCAGTTTTGCAAATGACGTGGGTATTGGAAGGCTTGCTGACATTCTCAAGCACACCAGTTTCACCCCAGTCGTATCTCGTTAGGTTTCCCGAAGGCACCACAATCCGTAGATAGGTAGGGAATTTCAATAGCTGGATTTTGGCGTGCATTGCACCGCTACCATGCATGGTTGGGAAGCAAAACCGGATATGACTCGAGGGCACATTTGCCCGCATCTGGTCTTTCTAGAATGTATGTCAATGGACCCGGGATACGGCCAGTAGAAATTGGAGGAATAATGACGTACGTGGGCTTCATCACGAGCGAAGGCAATGCATATCAGCTTGGTCCGAGAAGGGTCGATTTTGGATAGTAGCCAGTCATCATCCCACTGGAAAGATGCGAGGACGGCCAACTTGAGCTCATTTTTCTGGAAGACTTCTTCTATTTTGATATCATCCCCGCGACGTTCGCACCCTTGCGTCCATGTCCTCTTCACCGCGCCTTTTGCGAAAGGCAGAGTTTGAGTGGAGGATTCCGTGTGATGCGTTTTGCTTGTTGCGGTTATGGCATCTTTTGAGGTTGTTTCTAAATGTTTATTTTTCGACGATGAAGCGCCGGAGATCTTCGGCCGCTGGGCAGGTCGGGATGTCTGAGGAGGCGGACTTTCCTGTTGTCTCTTCTTTCTTAACCTCTCCTGACGCTCCTGTTCCATTCTTTTGCGGTCAAGAAGAAGTGACCCGAACGTTGTCATGTGGGACTTCACAGGCTCCGTGGAAGAATCAGCTGGAACCGAATTTATTGGCTCCTGACTCTTCGTTTTTTCCTTTTGATGCTTGCGCACATGCTTGGGAGGTGGGTAGTCATTCCCAAGTGAAAGCGCAATTGCTCGTTGCAAGTCTTCATCTTCGTTTTCATCTTCGTCCGCTGATGAACTGAGATCAATGATTTCTGGGGAGTGATCTCTGTTGGACTTTCGCTCCATGATGAGGTTTTTCTTCGTAATAACCGTAAATTCCAAGTTGGTCGATGGTATCTGACGGGGCCCGAAGAAGCCAAATCCAACATCCAACTTCTAGGCGGTTCAAGTTGTTCGGTGCCAAACGCGAAGACACGTGATCTCGTGATTTCGTCATTCAAGAACAGGTTGAGGCTGGTTATCCTTCCCAGAAATCCAAGTTAGAAGACAGGCCAATTCATTCAATACTATGGATAGCAAGTACCAAATCAAGACATGGATAGTACTGCAGATATGGAGGGATGCATGCTTACACTTTGCAAGCAACGAAGATGTTCAGTAGCGCACTATATTTATGGGGAGGACTAAGATGTTCGCGAGCAGCTCTATGCCTCACGCTCTACTGCTATTTAGGTTTATCTTTCGTCTAAAAGGCATCTAAGAACATCCATAAGAAACAAGAAATAATCATTTCCCATCAATGCATGTCGACCAAAGAACGAAAAGATAAATTTGTTTTGAAGCCGTGTCACAATTCCAGCAGCACCTTCCTCTGTCATGCCATCAAAAGAAGCCCTGCTCCCTCGCCTTTGTGAGGTAAGGGTAGATACCAAACGATGATGATAAATGTGACCAAACGCCACTTGCGCTCCTGAAACCAAACCCATGAAAACCAACTCCAGAAGATGTACGCCAAGGTATGTAGTACGGTACGGGGTGACCCTGCAAAGGCCGGAAAAGAGAGGTATCAGGAGAATTCGGAGAATGAAAATTGAAAAATTCAAACTCGCCGTAGCAAGTTGAGGACTTCGAGAGGATCAATGACGGTGCCTGCCAAATCTCATTGCTATTCCGCTGGAGAGGGCCTGGTCGAATTACCGGGTACCGACCGACGAATCAAGGTTGAGTAATCTTCGAAGATTATTCTCCAAGGCGACAACATCGGCATCGCGGACATCAGATGACCCCGCATGGTCTGTTTGTGCCGTAGGCACCGGGGCCGGGGGAGTGTGAATCTTCGGGGCAGGTGCGAGAGATCGGGTTTGATGAATTTGAGTGGGTTGGGAAGAACCGAAGAGGTATCTCTTCAAGGCGTCCGACTTATCGGTCTGAGTCTGCAAGGGCTCGGTCGTGTTGGGGGTTCGAGTTTTCATCCCATTCATAGCGCTGCTGTTCCTGGCAGCGCGGATTCGTTCCTGATACGGCATTGTGTTCCCAAATGGGCTGTCGAGTTCTGGGGTTGACCTGGCCATGTCCGGACGACTATATCGGATGGGAGAGGGTGACTGCGCTTCAAGGCCGGGGGTTGCGCCTTTTCTAGTTGGTGATATAGATGTCGGGGAATATGGTATGTTCGTGCGAGGCCGGACAGCCTGCCCTCCACTTGCCAAACGAGCGCGCTCCCTCTCCTCGCGATCGGCCTTGAAAATAAACTCCAGGGGAGACTCGTGCGCCAGGGGGGATGGCGAGGCATGAGATGGAGTGGGGATTGCTGCTTTAGAACTCGCCTGGAACATGTCCGGGCCGGGGTGGTTCTCCTCCTTCAGAGCGGGTGATGCTGGCGCTTTGGAGAAGAAGCTGGGAAGCGGAAGAGACGAGGGTGCGGGAGAAGCATGAAATGTCGCTCCGGCGAAGGCTGTGGCATTTCCCGGCTTCGGTATCGAAGACGGTTGAGGAGATGTTTGCCGATTAGTCTGCGCAGACTTGGGGGATAGAGGTAAATGCTTTGGTCGAGCCTTGTCCTTGCCTCCCCGCTTTGTAGACCCTTGATTTTGTGAGGCGGGCAGGGGCGCTGGAGAGGCTGGAGTCGATTTTTTAGGCGTCCGGGGAATATTATTTTCCATACTTGACATGTCGTTCTCTGAAGCGTAATTTCTCTGTGATGCATTCTTGTTCTTGTTATTGCGTGGTGGATGGAGACGGCGGCGGCGATTCTGCGAACGCTCAGAGAGGGATGGATCTTCAGGCATGTTTGCTACTGAATTCAATGAAACTGCCGCCAAAGAACAACAATAAAGTGACTCCTTAGTGTCAAATACAATGTCTCTAGAATAAAAGAGAGGAGAGGAAAGAGAAGATGGAGGAAATGAGAAGGGATGGTTGATGAGTGATGTGGGTGAGGTGAGGTAAGGTGTGGGGTTAAGGTTGATTGCGAGGCTGGCAAGATGGGGTCTATCTCAGCCCTGGGCTTAAGGCTGGAAGAGGACTTGGTAAGATCGTGGCGAGGATGAAGTCGGATGAAGAAAGCGGATGCAGGTTTTGCTCATAGTCGCCCTTGGGATAAACAGAATATTGGAGGAAAGAGTTATTGGAGTGTGGGATAATGAATCTTGGACGAAACTGGAGCATATTCATTTGTCCTTGTTTGAGAGGGATTGAATTTGGAAGTGAGGAGGGGTTGGGAATCTGGGATTGAGTGGAAATAGAGTGACTATGACTGAACTGCACTGCCTACGAAGTACTTCCAACCAAGTTTAGTGTGGCAATGGCACCCAAAATCACAAGGAAAAAAGGGAAGAAAATAGAATAACCTGATTACATATGAACAGATCACATGCCTTGGTGCATTTCATTGTTGCAGCTTCAGTCCAATGACATTTCTGCATTGTCTCAAACTGTAAGTTTACTTTGTACCTGTGTATGCGTAGTCTTGTCGCCAATCCTCATTAGTCATCTACATTTTTTGCACCATCCCTCTGGTCAGGCTGCAAGACTGGTTGTTTGTTCCTTCCCTGAGCCAGGCTTCCTGTAATGTCAGCACTCCCGTGTACACTTAATAGGTATACTCGATGGAACATAGTACAATTGTAGGTACCCACAGAGCTCAACTGTACCCCTCCCCTTAGGCGACCGCCACCACCACTCCCACCACATCCTTCTGCTCTTCCATGCCCAGCAATATTCAGCACGAGCACTACACAATCTGAAGCAAGCTTGAGCAGGCTTTGTTTCCACTTTTCCTACAATAGGCTGATGTAGAAGGCGCTAGGCACCCTAGATACACCTTGATCCAGTGTTTCTGGATTTTGACTGTTTGCAGTCCATCAAGGTTGATTCCATCATCCAGGTTTCCTCCCGCATCGACTCTGCTCCCATTGTGGGGATATCCTGGGTTGCACCAATACTCACCGGCAGTACCTTCGTACGGTCGAATTCTATAAGGTATTGATGCCTAGACTTAAAACTCCTCGCGTCCCTTCCTTTACTAACGGCGCTGGCAATCTTAGTAGTCTCCGGCAAGCCTTTCCGACCATTTCCTCCCCGAACCATTACATTTATTGGACCCAGTTTTGAATCCAAAATACTACAACCATTCCGATCGACCGACTCACCCCCAAAACTTCCGGCTATATCCATCATGGCCGATGTCGACATGACCGATGCACCCGCGGGCCCTTCGACTGCTAAGAAAGCAGGCAATGGCGGAAGCAAGAAGCTAGATGGAAAGAAGAAGTTTGAAGTTAAAAAGGTACTGCGCTGTCCAGTTCCTCACGTGGGATGCGAGCGTGTTTAGCTCTACTGACTCCTTCATATCCAGATTCATGCTGTTGCTCTGTGGGCCTGGGATATCGTCGTAGATAATTGCGCGATCTGCCGCAATCATATCATGGACTTATGTGAGTTGCATCCAAGAGCACTGGCGCCAAAGTCCCCGAGTCTATGTGACTGACCCTCACCTCTAGGCATCGAGTGCCAAGCAAATCAGGCGTCAGCCACAAGCGAGGAGTGTACTGTCGCCTGGGGTATATGCAACGTAAGTTCGATTCCTTGCCTGCCGATGGCTTTGATTGTTCTAACAGAGACGGGATAGCATGCTTTCCACTTCCATTGCATTTCACGATGGCTCAAGGCCCGTCAAGTATGTCCGCTGGACAACAGAGATTGGGAATTCCAAAAGTATGGACGATAGTAAAAGAGCGCTCGACTCGGACATGATATGTTACGGAAGACGGGGGTTAAAGAGAGGTTGTGTTCTCTGTTCTCGACCTGTCAAGGCTGAATCAGGATAGCCCCCTTGGAACGAGCATCTACAGCGGACGAGGTGGGCAGAGCCTGTACCAGTTCAGGCGCGAATCGTGGAAAAAAAAGAAGATAGCGTACAGAGATGGAGATGGACAAGCGAGTACACGAGGGTCTGCGAGCGAGGAAGCGGTGCAATCCTAATCCTGGAGCACCAATTGAATCATTCGGGCATCAATTTATTGTAGGCCGGTCCCAGCGGGTAACCACTTAACGGGGTGTCTGTTGAAGAAGGGCCAAGGAGGAATTATGCCCACGAAAGCGAGAACCGTACCCGATAGACAAATATACACCGCTAGCTTGATATCTTGGAGGAGGCAACCGACAATGAATGATATGGCCTGGGATGAAAGTTAGCTCGAAGCTCCATTGGCGACATGAAGGTGCGGAACTCGTACCCCACAGATACTAAGGGAGAGAGTAGAGAGCTGGTCTGCTAGACGCTGGCCCTCGAAGTCCTAGAAGCAACATGTCAGCCATGGCATTGTCCGGGCTGACAATAGACGGGGTTAGTGTGGGGAGGACGAACAATCTGGCCCTCGGCAATGTCGCGTACGGAGTCGAGGAGTTGTTCGGCCATGGTGACGGCGTAGGGATGATCGAGCTTGATGCAACGGAAAGATGTTGTGTCGTGGTGTCGTGGTGTCGTCGAGAGGGTGGGTATTATGGCCGAGATGGCTTTCGGAGGGCTGAGATGGGCAATCGGAAGGTGCAAAAAAAATTATGACCTGTATTATTCCGTGGAATCGGAGGGAGAATCTTAATCAACAATATTCTCAAATGGCTGCGCTGGGCTTTCTCTCGTTAAAGGTGCTGAGCACTTCATAGGAGCGACGCGGCTGGCAGCTTTTTGGTGACAGATATCATCAACCTCCTTCTACCTGTGTACCTTCTGGAAGGACCGTTAGCGTCACAGGCTGCACCAGTACGATTGCCAAATAGGGCCACGATGCTCGGCCCACCCGCTAGTCTGCAAAGAATCGTCGGTACAAGGAGTACTTTGTACTTGGTGCCGAACGTTGATTTAACAAACGATTAATAAGCCTTGACGACTCATTGCGCCAGAACACTAAACTACAACAATACGAAGTCTTTAGTGTAGTACATTACGCAGACAAGTCGAAGAAAAAAATTGTTGTTTACGAGGGGTCCAGAAAAAAAGAAGAAAAAAAATTGATGGGGGCTAATCCAGCAATCCTTGAACATTAAACCAGAGTCGGCATTCCCTTAATATAAACTTCCTTACCCTCGTCCTGACTCCCGGACAACTGCGTCTTTTATCTGTCTGTGCTTTCCCAAACATTTCTCACTCCCAAATTCTCTCAGCTGCCCACTTTCATTTGCTTTCTTCCGTCTCTCCTGAGTCTCGAAATCTAAGTCCAGAAAGCAGCATTTAAGTACATCAGGTTCTTGCCCTCGCGCCAAGCCCTTCCTGATCTCTCTGCCACTACTCTGCATCTCCTCGATACCTGAACCCACCGATCAGATGCGGCTCAATTCTCAACTCGATTGACTAGTCCAAACTTCTGCATTGAACCTGTTCAACAGACGGCTTGAATCCTATTCTTTGGCCCCGTCTCGTTGGCTCCTCCTCAAGACCGTACCGATAGCGTCATCGCTGCCCATCGCCTTCGCTACCTCGCCGTTCCCGATACGGCACCTTTTGAATTCACTCTTGTCGTCGTTACACGCCGCCAAGTTGGCGAAACTCACGCTGGACCAGCTATCACCGATTCCTCGCTCGCTCCCGGATCCCGGTCTCCGGGTCTACAGTGGAGTGGCAAAGAAGCCACCCTAGCCATACTACCAATACTCTCGGCATACATTCGATCTAGCTTTGCAGTCACTCCGGCTCACAATATTCCCAGACGCCTCCGGCCCATCCTCTCTTGGGTCAAGAGATCTACAGTGGTTCTCTTCGCACTTTTCAAACAGAGGTTCAGAGACGCTTAGCACTTGTGGAGTGGCAGGCCTCCTGCCAGCTTCTACCGGTGGCGCACTATTGAGAACTCTCCGATCCTCTGCGCACCTCTTTTTCCCCTTTCATTTGCTTTCTTTTTTTTCGGTCTGTTGGAGTAATCTTACTCAATATGGTCTCTACTTGCTGAGCGACCGGGACCCTTTCCACCCTATCAGATAGTTGACCACTCTCATCTCAACGTTTCACAACCAACCGTGGTTGTCGGCTACTCTCCCAGCGCATCATCCTTGCGGTAGATCCCTTCATTGGAGCACTTGATTCTCTACCGAATCGGTCACCGCCAACATGTCGGACCAAGAGGAAGGTATCTCTGGACTTGGCTCCCTGCCAATTGCCGAGTTAGATGATCACCGCCATCCAAGTCGCTCAAGCCAAGGTGCCGAGAGGCCCAGAAGGGGCACCTTTGACTCGCTCTATGGCGCTCACCGTCATGAGCTAGAGGCGGCCCATGGCGGACAGGATGGCGAAGCAAACGACATCCGAGTTCGTGATTTTGAGGAAGCAATAATTGACGGTGGTCCCTCCTTTGACATGCCCCACGCGGGGCCCTCGAGCCGACGTCCCACTTTCGGAACGGTTCGGACTGCCTCGCCGCCAAACTCAGTGAAGGCTTTCGCCGAGGCACGACGTCGGGAGCACGAGAATTTGCTGGCGCCCGAATCGCGGAGTGATTGGCAATTGGATGATGAGGCACTTCAGCGCACCGCTTCTGTCGCGAGTCGCAGAAGCCTGCGTAGCAGGCCTCGAACTGTTGATGGAGATGCCGTGAGCTTTGTCAGCAATCAGTCTGCCCAGGAAGATGTGTGTTTTCCTGCCCAGGAACCGGGTCAGAAGGACCAGCTAGATATTGATTTCGAGTATCTTGAGGACTTCATAGCGGATCAGCGCCTCGCTCGAATTGCATCCCACAAGGAGGCAGAAGTCAAGGTGTTCCCTGATCTCCGACCGCATGGACCTACCGGCTCTGTGATCTCGATCCCAGGTACTGCCATCCCGGGAGAGGCCGACGGTCTCCATGAGGGGATCGCAGAGGACATTGTCGAAGGGAAAGAGGTGGAATCTCCATGCGAAACTCCAAAGGCGCACATGCCCCATGACCCAAACAGGATCTGTTTCTTTTCATCGGCGTGGGAGTCTACTATTCATGCCGCTGAACTAGGCGATCTTGTGCTCCCTGGTGAGGACCTTCGTAATCTGTTCATCCTACCGCAGCAGGATGAGGACGGTGTTTGGTGGCTGAACGTAAACAACCCGTCAAAGGAGGAAGTCGTTGCCATTTGCAAAGCATTCGGTGTCCACCCCCTTACGACCGAGGACATTGCAACCCAGGAGACTCGCGAGAAGATCGAGCTGTTCCCGTCGTACTACTTCGCCTGCTTCCGCTCCTTCAACACGGTTACCGACGAAGCGGACGGGTATGAAGAGTACGCCCCATTCAATATCTACGCCATCGTCTTCAGAGAGGGCACTCTAAGCTTCAGCTTCGCCCCGAACAGCCACGCCTGCAACGTGAGAAAGCGAATCGCCTTGCTGAAGGATTTTGTGTCCTTGTCCAGCGACTGGATTTGCTATGCTCTAATGTACGTGTTCCTTCTATTAATGGATGGGGGATGTGATCCCGCGCTCTAGGTATCCACTAACTCTGCCCCAGTGACGATATTGTTGATAGCTTTGGCCCAGTCATTCATCGACTCGAAACGGAGGTAGACTCTATCGAGGATTCAGTGTTCATGATCAGAGAAGATGATTCAAATGATTACCTTCGGCGGACTGGCCACGCGAGGAAAAACATAATTGCCCTCATGCGTCTAATCAGCGGCAAGGCTGATGTTTTGAAGGGGTTCACCAAACGATGCAACGAGAACTACAAAGTCACCCCCCGGATGGACATCGGCCTCTACCTGGGCGACATTCAAGATCACGTCGTTACGATGATGACCAATCTCGGTCACTTCGAAAAGATGTTGACCCGAGCACACAGCAACTATCTGACACAGCTGTCAATCAGCAACATCCAGCAAGTCACTGAAACAAACGCCTCGCTGAGCAAGATCACGTTCTTGGCTTCTATCCTGGTCCCGCTCAATGTTATTAGCAGCTCGTTTGGTATGAACGTCGCTGTGCCCTTCCAAAACACGGAATCCCTAGCACCCTTCTTCGGCATTATTGGTGTCATGATTGCGGTCTGCACGGCCTGTTTGATCTGGGCCAGGAGGCTTCGGTACATTTAGAGATGGTAAATTCCTGGTTGACATGAATGACTATGTTCAGCTCAGTCATCCGTGATTCCTCACAGCCTGTTCCCACAGCTTGAGTCGGTTGGTCTGGTGGTCGATCTGCTTTTAGTCCTGTTAATACAAGTTCTATTTTCTCTGGTTTGGTGCATACGAGACAGAAAATAAATTCACAAGAATTCACGTTTTTAGATACTCGTTTAGACACATGAATACAAGATGCTATGGCTAGAATTCACAGTAATTTCCTCCGTATTGTTGCATGCTGACGAGGGCCTGGCATATTAGACGACATCGACATCATCCCCCAGTCTCCAGTGCTGACTAAGCAGTGCTAGGTTCATCCTTGAACTGAGCTTGATAGCAGAAATTTCTTCTTGAAAGATCCAAGTCAAACCGCATCTTCAGCTCAAAGGGAAATCCAGTACACCTTTGCCTCTCCTAGTCATACAGACGATATATCGCATTCACAGCCGGCCAGATTCGGACCGGACCAACAAAGATAGCCATGGATACTACGCGCCAAACAGTCGAGGACGCTGATCTTAGCCGACTCAACGACCAGGACAAGGCCGAGCTTCGACAATTCCTCGCCCTCGAGTCGAAGAGGTCCGAGATTCAGGCCAGTACGTGCCATTCGTCTTTATTCTCTATTCCCTACCTGAACCTCTCTCATTTATGAAAGCGAGGAACTGACATTGACCCTCTCCCTTTCTAGATACTCATGCGTTGACGGAGGTTTGCTGGAAGAAGTGCATCACCGGCGCGGTCCGAGGACCCAAGCTTGACAAGAGCGAGGAATCCTGCTTGACGAATTGCGTCGAGCGAATCTTGGATATCAACTTCCTCACTGTTAAACACCTTGAAAAACTACGACAATAGACGGATGGCTGGAATAATTATCTGTGTGGGAATTCGGTTTTATACTGTCGCAATGCATCCTGTACAATAGATGGAGATTTGGTCCCGGGAGAATGGGATTTACGACGGGAGCGGGTGCATCATATACATCACTTTGTACGATAATAAGGAACATCTAGTCGAAGAGAACTGCACTAGTATCGCAGCGGAGTAGGCTTGTTTCCCCATGTCTACGTTCGGGCTTGATCGTTTGGAGCCAATTTTTTGTGCGCCATACCTAGGAAACAAACGGTTCACAGAACGCCATCCGATTTTTCATACCATGCTCGTGAATTGAAAAGACCAAAATACCACGATACCAATGCCCCGTCCTTCGCTCATTTATACAAGACCGAGCTTGTTGGCGGCGATGTCAAGAGCATCGACGTCGCGGGTAAGCCGAGCGTACGCCTTCTTGGAACCATCGGGCCTGAAAATGACAAGAAACGTCAGCGAGGTTGTTCGCAGAACATTGGTAATATGGGCTTCACTAACCTGATGAGGGTGTTGATCTTGATGGTGTCGATATCGTAGAGCTTCTTGAGGGCGAGTTTGATCTGGGACTTGTTGGCCTTGACGTCGACGATGAAGACGAGGGTGTTGTTCTCCTCAATCTTCTTCATGGCGCTCTCGGTGTTGAGAGGGTGGACGATAACCCTGTGCTCATCGAGGCGGGTCTCGTGGGGGATCGACTTGCGGGGGTACTTGGGAGCGCGGGCGAGCTTGAGGGTCTTAGGGCGGTGGAAGGAGGTGGTGTACCGCGCCTTGCTCTTCTGGTGAGAGTGAACCTGTTTGCCGAAAAAATGTCAGTTTTTTGGACGTTCAAAAGACGATAGCTTGTGTCAGCGAGATACATACTCCCTTGAGGACAGCCTTGGCAGCCGAAGCGGCCTTCTTGGAGCCCTTGGATGTCTTAGCGACACCTAAAAGATTCTAGCATCAGCAATCGCTCTGGAACAGAACTCGCAAAATCTGCTGCTGCATGATGCGTTTTTTTTTCTTCGTCGAGAGCATTTTATGCGAGGCGGTGGATATTCTCCTCCATTGGAATAAAAATGACTATCCTGTACCTTTCTTCTGATCCTTGGAAGACGCCATTGCGATGGTTGTTGCGGTGTTGTCGGTTACCGTCGAGTTTGTCGGGGATGATGGGCGTTGGTCGATGTGGTAGGAGGAGAAAGAATGCGAAAAAGATATCTGGGCTGTGAATTTTTGTTAGGGTTTTCGTTGTGGGATGGTGGGCTGTCAATTTCCCTCTTTCGGAATTTTTAGCCGATGATCTCCCGGACCACGACTCGTCGATGTTAGCGTCCTCGAAAGATGCGAGGAAGGAACAACGGGATACATACATCCAAGCCTCAAGATTATTGTCAACAAATTTCACCATTTCTATTTCATAAAACCTATAATTGTGTCGCGGGATCATGATTGTGTAGCGCCATTACAATGGGCGTGAACCGGAAGAAGACGCAAAAGTCTCTCTCACTCGGGCGTCCCCCTACCGCCAGGCCACCAAAAGCTGCGTTTTCTAGAAAGACCGCGAGAACGCTTATAAACCGGCATCATCACCTAGAGAAAAGGCGACAGCAGGCTATCAGGGATGGGGACGAGGGCAGTGCCGCCGCCGCCGCAGCGGAAATCTCAGCCCTAGGCGGCCTCGAGCGTTACCAACAAGCCAGTCTTCTAGGACAGAGCAAGGATCGAGGCGGAGACAGTTCACGGGTTCTTCTTGACTGGCTAAAGCCTTCCCTCTCAAGTAAGAACAAAGAGATAGGAACTCAAATACGAATGCTCGAAGTCGGTGCTCTCAGCACATCCAATGCCTGTGCTGCCAGCGGCTACTTCGAGACAGTGCATATTGACCTGAACAGTCAAGCACCCGGGATCCTCAAGCAGGATTTCATGGAGAGGCCATTACCATCTAGTGACGCCGAACGTTTCGACCTCATATCTCTCAGCCTAGTTCTCAACTTTGTTCCTGATCCTGCCGCCCGAGGTAGTATGTTACGGCGAATGACAGCCTTTCTGCGAATGCCGGGTCCATCGTTACGCCATTCTGGGGAGGCATTCCCGTCCGTTTTCATTGTACTTCCAAGAAGCTGTGTTTTGAACTCTCGGTACTGCTCGGAGGAGCTCTTTGGCGACATCATGGCATCCCTAGGATTCTCTAGGCTCGAATGGAAAATTACTGGCAAGCTTGTCTATTCCCTCTGGCGGCGCGATGCCGCCGTCTCAACACCAGCTCGATCATTCCCGAAAAAGGAGATCAATCCCGGGCCAAAGAGGAATAACTTCGCTGTCGTGCTGAAGGGCACGAAGGATGCCTAGCTTTCTGTATCGCACATAATTCGACTTAGTAGGAAACTCTCAAACAGCACAACCTACATGGAAATGAAGAGATGTAATGGTTAACCCTCCTCTCCCTGCCAAGGAGGAACGACCCAACCTTTACATGTCACTCGGTGCATCTCCTCTGACGATCGCTGCGAATCGCTCCAACGGCGACCCCCGGAGCATCTATGAACACACACTTCTTCTGAGCTATCGCCGGAAGGAGGGAATGCTGGATGCGTCGTCTAGCGCAAAAATCGGCATTTGCCACGGTCACAGGGCGGGGGCAAGCTCAACGAAACTACGGCTCTCTATCAAGGTGTTCAAAGTCACGACAGGGCTCTTTCTAACACCACCAGCCCTTGTTGGCTATCACCTTCGTTGACGCCCTCGCCCAAATTCTGATGGCTTGCTTCAGTCGGGATTATAAGCTGCTTTGTGCAAAGGGAGCAGTTTACATCGAAAATCTATAAGCACAAGGCGGCTTGCTGATTTGTCAATGGTCACAGTCACATCACAACATTGCGGGCCAAATATCTTCGATACATTCGAAGGATGGTTGGTCAATCGTGGGAATCATTCAGCTTAAAGCATCACACGACCACCGACTGCATCCTTTTTGAGGGGAGCGACATGGCACGGGTTAGCTCAAACCTCCCTGACGAATCGTATCAATGGATTGGCGGCAGATGATCCCGACTAAAATCCTCGTGGAAAATTGGCTAAGGTCCTCAGTCCCCCCAACAGCTCTGTGCGCGTTTACTCAGCTAGTAAACTCAGTGCATTGAAGTCGTGGATAGCGGACTTGAGGGCCTTGGGGTCGTCAATTGGGGCGTTTCCAGGTCGTACTACCGGCAAGCTACGCATCCCCGCTGCCCTAGCAGCCTCGACTTCCAGGAGATTGTCGCTGAGGAACAGCCACTGGTCTAGTTGGAAGTTCGGATAATGGGAAGCGATTTTGGTGTAGCTCGCGGGGTTAACCTTTGGGCCCGCATTGACTGTATCGAACCAATCCGTTATCAGAGCAGTCATGTCGGATGGCTGGGCAGTTGTATGCCCAAAGAGTAGCTTCTGGGCGGGGACAGAGCCGGATGAATAGATCATAATGATCAAGCCCGCATCATGCCAGGAGACAATGGCAGGGCCGACATCATCGAATAAAGGAGCGCGAAGCTTGCCGGACCTGTAACCTTCCTCCCAGAGATAACCTTGAAGGGCCTTGAGATACGGTGCCTTGACATCCCTAGCGACGAGATCCTCCACATGGGCTTTGAAGGCCTCTTGGTTCGACCGGAACTCTGTCGGGAAGGCTTGCCTGTACTGCGCGAAGGCCGGACTCTCCCAGAGCGAATCTAAGCCCTCGGAGAGAGCTTGAAGTGCGAATGGAAACTAGAGCGGGGCAAAGTCAGCGGCTCTTCCCTCACCAATCCGCCGTATCTGCCAAAACCCGTGCTTGTCTCAAGATCTAGAAAGTACATAGATAAAGAAACACATCAATTGTCATCTTGGATTGTCTCTGCCCAAAACAACAGCATGCTTGACATGCCGTCCATCATTCCCCAAAGGGGCACGCAGGAAATCTCTGCGCCTTCTTCCGAGGCATCTCAATTCGAGGCGGTGAGGGGCAATTGACGTACAAGGACATCCTTCACAAAGGAAATCGGACAAACAGTCCCCTCTTTGAAGAGGGCGGAAATTAGCCTTTTGATTCATCAGGGTGGACAGGCCAATTGTAGGGCTGGGGACTCGTACCAATATCAAGCAAAACAGCCTTCAGAGGACCAATGGCGACCATCTTGGCAAATATCCCTGTTTGTCTTCGACAAGCCGGGGTTGGAAGTGTTGGAGGCGGTGAGGGGTTGATTTGAGATGTTTTGAATTGGACAGCGACTGTTTTACCAGATCCAGGCGATCGAGTTTGGATGAACGAATGATATCATCCGTGGGAAGAAGATTTTTTTTTTTCAATCCTCCTTCCTCTTCGAGCCTCTATCCTTGGTGCAGTTGTGTTTTTCCTTTTTAATTTCGCTATCCTCGCCGAGATGCATGTCCGAAGTATGGAATATGAGATGGCGGATGCATCTGGCTGCTATGTGGGTTCATGCGGCTAGGTAGAGCACGAAGGCAGGAAGCTAAAATCGGGGGTCCAGGGCCGACCTAAGTACTCTTCCCTATTAATTCTGGTGCATCGGTACCTGCTTGAATGTGACTTGCTTCGGAAGGGTCTAGGGTCCTGAACCGATGCAACATGGTCTGCTGAAAAGGCGGTATCCCAAGCTTCGATCTCCACCATGACATACTCCTTGGGCGAAGCAAGACTAAAAGCGAACCATCGTGGGCTTTCGTCCCCCCCGGCTAGTGCAAATTTGGTCCTGCGATTCAGATTCGGAAAAACGACGCCCCTGATGTTGCACTCCTTCGAGAGGCCGATCCAAAAATCTGCAAGGTGCACACCGGGGATGTTACAAACGGGAAGGGTGGGTGACGGAAGCAGAGTCTCGGAAGGTGGAGTCGGAGTCCAATTTGAGCCATCACCTTGAGAACGCAGCAAATACCACGGATGGAGTTATTGCTTCTGATGTACGAGGTACTCTGCCTGCTTTGGAGTGTAGTAGGGTTACATACGAAGCAGCATGATTTTGGGAAATGGCGGTGAGGGGTAATAATTGATCCATTGGATGGATTGATGTAGAAGCTCCTGATCGAGGGGAGATTTCGACGGGTTTTCAGGCCATTACCAGCCTCCATTCACGTCGTTCCCTTTTCTGGCAGAGATCAAATCAATTGATCAAGTTGCCTCTTTTTTTCATGTGGGAAGTCTAATACTTCGTACGAAGGTACTTGGTCGTTTATTCAGAGTTGAGTGTTATTACTCCGCCCAACAATTTCAGTGGCTGGTTGCTTCCGCCATTCGCTTCCTCCATTGTCCTAAAACGGTTCAGTGTTGTTGCCAAGGTTAACTTTGATGGAAGCACTGTGATTGATTTGCCTGTGGGCTACCTCGGTATTCTGGTGTTAATAACACTGCCTGACCATAGCAGTCCGGTTCAACCGGAGCAATGGTTGATGGATGACTTGAAGATACTGCCCATCCACAGCCGCAGCAGCTTCTTAGAGACACTAGGCAACACGAGATTGGAGGCATTTGACTCAAAAAGGACCCAATTTAGATCTCTCAATTTCAATGTTGGGATGCTGACCAAGTATGCGTACACATATTGTGGCCTCTATGACTTTCCACGACACGCAATGGACCCCACAACTCTTCAAAGTAAGTCACGACATCAACGTGGCAATTTTCCAATCGAGCACCGAATAGGAACCTGCCATATCGCAGTTGTTGACTCCATTTCTAAACTGCATGCGCAATGGGAAGCATAAAGCTGTCCGAACGGATAGAAACGCTGCCAAGGATCCTCGTCATTGTCCGTGACTCCGTGGCGTACTTCCATTGTCAACTAAACTGCTCTATATGCATAGTTTACTTCGTAGACGCAACAGCATCTCTCTGTTGGAATCCATTGGTTCCTATCAAATTGTATCCAACGAAAACTCCTATCACTGTCTGGTCCTATTTTTCAGTAGTCGCCCGAGGTTTGTTTCTCAAGACGTACCGTGTAATTAATCCTCGACGATGGACGAGTCTCCAAACATGGTGTTGGATCAATGTCCTGCTCACCTCGAAACATTTCCTACTAAGTCGTTTATTTCGCGAAGGTCGGCAATGCAGGGTCCAGCGAAATCTCCTAGAGTCTTCTGATATACAAGTCGACAACCTTGGGTCTGCACTTGTAATTAACCAGTCCGTCGTCGTATTGCTCCATGAAACTTATTATGGGCCTGCAGACGAAAAGGAGTGCAGCGCCATGCATCCATCTCATGCTGGCCAATCGCTTGGGTCCAGAATTGTTGAATATGAAACAGAACCTGGAGGAATGCCTTGGACCAGCCCGTCAGCCCGCCTGGCAAGCTTTCCAAGCTTGTCAGGAAGTTGCACATCAAGGGGAAATTTGAAAGATCACTGATGCTACCATGTACCCCGTAGAGGAGTTGCCATATGAAGTACTGTTGTTTGCTTCGTTAGTCATTCGAACGGCTTGTACCTGCGTAGACTTCAATCTCAATGTCAACTTCGCGTTTCAATTGACGTTCCCACACCGCTCCCCGTTCTTGCGTTTCGAACTGTGCAAGTTGATCTTACTGTCTTCGAAGTACTCTGTGTTGTACTCCGTAGTTGTGATACGTCTGCTATTCCGAAATATTAATAGACAAAGTTGGCCCTTCCACGGCGATCACCAAGTATCCATTTCTTTCTCTCTCAAGAATGTACGTACGTATGTGGAAGGACGTTCTTGCGAATTCCATGATTGACATCATCGTGGTCCTAATTGGAAAGGACACATTGACTCTATCGGACCGTGCACGGTTCCCCCGGCGAGTCAAATGAAGACCAGAAAAAGAGATAACAAAGCACGAGCGACTCGAAATTACTTCATCATCGTCGAGACGAAGGTACTTCGGACGTGGGGAGGTCGCCTGCCCGTCGGTGGGGACTAGCGTCCTGCATGCACAGTCACCAGGTCAATTTTAGAGCGCGCAGGGGGCGCCACAGTGTCCAGAATGGGAAGCACCCTTCAATGGTGCCACGAAGCTGAGCTGGACGGAACCAACTGTGAAAAATCCGGGTACCGTAATTTACGAAACACAGTGAACCTCCGTATGTCGCTACTCCGTTCTGTACAAAGCTGCCACCGACACGGTCACCACCTGAACCTCGAAGTTTACTTTGCAGGTTCAAGAGCCCAAATCGCGTTCAAGGCGTCTGGCCGCGATGTACTCCGTACACGACTTAGTCAACAAGTCCCCCAAGTACGCAGACACGTAGTACGGAACTGCCGCCATCCTTGCCGGCGCTGGCTCCACGTTCAATGCTTTAGGGACATGGCATCTTATCTTAATCCGCACATCTCTCGCAGCTTCCAGAGCTTATTGATGGGGGGGCATGGTGAAAAAACATGGTGTGCACTCAAGTCAACTGGGAAGAGCTCAAGAACATTTCTTGGAAGCTGGTTTCCTGAGCGACATGTAATATCCGGAAAAACATCAATTGATATTCGTCGCACAGCCCAGGGCGTGCGAAGAACTAGACAGCCGTCCTCGACAAAGTACGAGGTACTTCGTAGTTCGCACACAAAGTGCTTACGGTGGGGATTATTTCAGTGAGTGCCTGAGTTGAACGGAACTAAAGTTTACAATTGCGGGGAGAAACGGTTTGCCTTGGTAAACTTAAACTACGAAGTACATAGTTTAGTTTACATGAAAGGTCAGTGGTTGGGGATGGTGTGGTCAGGTACCAACTATTTTCGTCTTGGTCTGAAGCTTCGTTATCCTTTGAACTTGCATGAAGCGATCCCCAGGCGGTGTACTCAACTGTAACGCCACCAAGAATGACTGCGCACTGTACACTACATCGTACATTCTGTCCCATCAATTGATGGATTCACGAATGTGGTGGCAGTGTTATACAGTAGCAGTCTGGTAATGTCTGAATGATGCATCGGCACAGTTTGAGGTGTTTCCTGCCATCAAAAAGGACGCAGGTCGTTTGACTCGCTTAAGGAGTCGTCCGACTCAACCAAGCCAGTACCAAATTTGCAGGATTCTACTATGTTCTAGCGAATTCAAAATCAATTCCTGAAGTAGTCGGCCTTTGTGAAAACATGCCCTCGAGAGCCTTCTTCACCAGGACCAGATAGATAATATTGAGCCTGAGTGGGCGTGTGAGCTCGGAGAACTGCCGAGAGATGCGACAACGGCCAGTTTCTGTTCCAATTCATACGGTGTGCAGCTCGACGAAGATCATGTCTGCCTCAGGACAAAAGAGTCGATTTCCCCTCCTTCCTTCCAGGATACATAGCTGAGCAGTAGGGACTACCTAGACTTGAGAGGAAAGCAGCTGAAGGCTGCGGGCTAGAAATGTACTCAGTGCGCAGATACTTGTACCCAGGAGCAAGGATAGGTTGGGACACCGTGTACGGAATACAGGCATGACCACACAGCCAGGGATGATGATGAATTCTCAATCGATGAGCCCAATGACAACAGTCGCAAAACAGGAGAGACCAACTGATCGACCCACTCTAGTGCCACTTGCCGCCATCCTGCTCTTATCACCGACCAATGTCCAGCACTCCCCACCCACCATGAGTCTTAAACGGTGGCTCCCGTAATGCCATTCTGTTCCATCAATCCGTTAAGTCGTGTGGACGGTTTCCGAGTTCCCCCTGCACGCAAACCCCTGGAGCCCACCGCCCAATCCTTTCTGGCCACCCTCCGCCGACCACGCCACCCTCGACGATGACTGGTTCCCCAGTGCCCAGGTTCCCCAGTTTCTACTATGTATTCTCGGTTGTGACTGTTATACTTCGTGTCTGACTCCCAATCACGGTCCACCTCTGAGCTGTACACTGCCGTACCCCACCACCCTTGACAGGCAGGGAGATACACGTTGCTACCGTCCCTCTATCCACCAGCCCGCCCGGACCTGACTGAGACCCTGCAATACCCACGCTGGTCACGCCCGCCTTATTATTATTACTCGATGCTTCCTCACCGTTCCAGTACCTTCTCCCCTCATCCCTTTGCCTCCGTAGAGTCATCCCAAGGGCCTCTCTTTCTCTTCTTGCCAGCTCCTTCTCTCATTCATTATAACTCGGTATCGCCTTCAAGTCCGGCTACTAATATCAGTTCGAGTCCTATTTGCTCATTCTCCTCCCTTTCCTTACTCGTACCTTTCCGTGACTTGTCCCTTTGACGAAACCCCTGACGACGATTCCGCTCTCCCATCTTCCCCGAGATCGAGTCTTCCGCCACCACTACTCGAGAGAAAGAAGACGACGCCCTTGACCCTTCGCCTTCGATAACGTGTCGTGCTCCCGCCAATCTCACACGAAAGCCGATACTTTCTTTTACTTCCTCTCTTCCACGCAGCCTTGGCTAGATTCTGCTGCCTGCCAAACTCGCCTGTCTCACATCCGAATAATTGCCACAGTCGAGTCACAGACTTCTCTCCAAGCTCGTCACGTCAAGACCAACCAACGACTTACACATCTTGGATAAACGTGCTTCCTCCATCCATCCACTCTTCTCGCGTGAAGTCTTTCGGAACACGATCGTGATTCTACCACCGTCAACGAGTCCCCGGCCTTGCCGCTAGTCCACTGGTAAACCCAAGCATCTTGAGCGGGCTCGAGCTCAGCTCTTCCATCGACGTTCCCCGACTCTCACTCTCGTCGCCTCTCGGATTCCTCTAGGCTTCCGAGTCCGCACTTCACTCCTAATCTAAACGGTGCCGTCCTCCGCCGTCCACACGCATCCATCTTGCAAAGCGTTCCCAGTTCAGCATCCTTGGAACAACACTCTTTATCTATCTCCGATGTTCTTATAACGACGTTTTCCTTTGTATTTTACAGGGCCCGCTTGGTCCGCCTCTATTTGCACCTTACGAACTCGCCCCTCGCAACCTCGAAGCATTCGCTCTCTTTTTCTTGTCTCTCTACTAAACGATAACCCATACGAAACAACTGATACGAACGACCTGGAGTTGCATGTCTCTTTTTTCCCTTGCTCTTTCCGCATATCCTGTATATCTCACCTCTCGACCTTAAAGATTATCCTTGCTTGACGACAGCCTAACGCACATTTTCACTTATATACCCTTCTATTCTCTACCAACATTTGTACTCTGTTACTTCCCTGTATCGCATCTTTTCTTTTCACCCTTTCTCTTTGTTTCAAGAACAACCGCTCAAGGACGGTTGAACCCGGGGGCCTGTACGATTTGCCTTTCGTCGTTCCTAGGCTCTTTGTTCTTGACTAGGTGGTGGCTTCGTCTCCATCATCGATTCTCTCCACTCGGCACCCTACTCGAGAATGGCATGCTTGAAGGATACTATCAGCGATGGCATTATTCTCGATGGTCGGTACCAGACCATCGCCCCTCTCAACCATGGCTCCTTTGGCATGGTCTTCATGGCCAAAGATCTGGTCACTGGCGAGACGGTGGCAATCAAGTGCTTGACGAAGAAGGCGGCAGCTGGCGAGGGCGCGAGTGACTTTGCCGTTGACGATAAGTCCGAAGAGTTTTCGCTCCACAGCCGCCTGGGCTCTCACCCCAACATTGTGAACCTCCTTCACGCTTTTGAAACCGATGCTCATCATTTCCTTGTTCTCGAGTTTTGTGAGCGAGGTGACTTGTACGAGGCGATTCGTGATGGCCATGGCCCTCTCGAGACGGAGCATGTTCGACAATTTATGCTCGAACTAGTGGACGCTGTTCGCTATATTCATTCCAAGGGTGTCTACCATCGTGACATCAAGCCTGAAAACATCTTCCTATCCAAGGCGGGTTCGATGAAGCTTGGCGATTTTGGTCTGGCAACCTCCGACAAGTGGTCCACTGAATCGACCGTTGGCAGTGACCGGTATATGTCACCCGAGCAGTACGATTCAGCAGGCGCTGGCTACTCGCCTGCTCAGGCCGACATCTGGGCTATCGGTGTCTGCCTTCTTAATATTCTCTTCTCTCGCAACCCTTTCACCTCACCAACGGAGGCAGACCCGTTGTTCCTCGACTTCTCCCGCGACAAACAGTCCCTCTTCGACGTTTTCCCATCAATGTCGCAGGACACGTACGAGGTCATTGTCCAGTGCATGAACCTCGACCCTAGGAAGCGGTCTTTGATCGGCGCCCGCGAGGCTCTTCTCAACGTTGTTAGCTTCACCACCTCGGATGAGACACTTGACGAATTCTGCTCTGTCGATCCCCGAACCGTCGCCACCGCCAACAATAGGGAGCCGCTACGAACACCATCCATCCAAAGTCCTCAGGTTGAGCAGGGTGGTGCGTTCCCATGGGCCAAGGCGCTGCAGGCGACCCCACGCCAGGCATTGCGCCAGTTGAGTGCCATTCCCGACTATGAGGAGGAACTGTTCCCCAAGTCGGAGGAGGCATCTGACTGGTGTTCGGCTACGGCCCAGACTCCTTCGATATCGTCTATGTTGGGCTCAACACTTGGTGCTTCCATGCAGTCGCTCACCATTTCCCGACCGGTGCGCCCTGCCCGCCAACAACCAACCATGCCAGGATCGCTTCCCATCACCATGGGAAAGCCAAAGAATCTTTCAGCTATGTCTTTTGCTTTCGGTGGTCGTGGCAAGGGTGCAGTATCGAAGAGCTGGAGTGACATCTGGGATGAAGACATTGAGGAAGAAGAGGAAGAGGAGCGCCAACTCCAGACATTGAAGGAACTCAACTCCAGGACCTGGAGCCATGAGAGCGAGACCACCAAGGTTGGTGTTGACGTGAACGGCGAGAACGTGCCAAATTCTAAGAGCGAGAGTCATGTCCACGACGAGCTCACAGTCAAGGACGTCGATGTCGACCTCGCCGCGGACGGCTTCTTCTTCCATGACTTGCCGCCAACTCCACCCGCCGAGAAGATGCGACCGCCGATGCTCGTGCAGGTGCAGGTGCAGGTGCAGCCGCAGTCATCTCCGCAACCGCGTTACTCTCCACCTTCGAAGCGCAACAATTTTGATAAATGGGCAGCCCTCGGCGAACGACGCCGGGGCTATGGTGGTGGAGTATTGGAGATGGATAAAACACCAGAATTGAGTAAGCCTAAGCGGCACCATGGTTTTGGATACAACACTCACTGGGGTATGGGACATTGGGATCATTTCAACTCCAACAAAACAACAAAGGATCGGGCTAAGGAGTGCCCATGGAACAAGGGACGAGACTGCCATTGGCGCAAAGAAAGGCGCATTGATCTCGGTGATATTGAGTGGGTTGGGGCCTGGCCGGAAGGACACTCTTAAAGAAGTGCCACCTTCATTTTTGAGGACAGTGCTCCACTTGTGGTTGGGTTCACCTTTTGGATCTTTACCTCCTCCGTCTCTCTCCTGGTGACGAAGAAGACTGACAAAGAACCTCGGAACTTAACTCGCTCTCTGCGTGTATGGAAATATTCTCCAGATGTAATAAATATACCAGAAGTACCCACTCACTTATACCTCTCCAATTTCATTGTGCGAGCATGTTGTGTAGTACTTTGCCCATCTCTTGAGCCTGAAAGAGAAGTGAGGCGCATTGTAGCAAGTAGTAAGTAATCAACCCTCGACGTACTCTGTAGGAAACATCTTCTATGCAATGAATTGTCCTTGCGGGGATTCCCCTTGCGGTCTTTTTGTCGGGGCTACTCCCATGGTAAAAAAAATGTATATATATATACATCATGATTTCTGCTCCCCGAACTAAATGACGATCACAAACCAGCAGATAGATCTCTCGACATGCCGTGATGATGCTAATGCGAATGCAAACCAAAGACGTTTCGCCAAGTCCGACATTAATGCTTCCAAGCAAGGGACGAAAACGATGCCAAAGCCAAAGAGGGATGACTACAGAGTCTAGACAGAAAAGAACAGAAACAAGTCGCAGGCAAAAAGAGCTATCCTGTAAATAGATCATAACAAGACATATTGAAGAGTATAGGTGAGGGAAAAACATGACAAGATGATGTATTTCTATGCAGGAAACGTCAAATATCCATTGGTGGAAGTAAATCACAATCGTGATGGCGCAGAAGGGATGGTGGGCGGGGGGTCTTAGTCCGCTCCGATGAGAGACTTGGGGAGGAAAGCCCAGATGGTGCCGACTATGGAGAGAATCGAGCAAACAACCATGAGGAAGTAGGCGCAAAGTCTCTCGCGAGTGGATATTTCGTGTTGGAAGAGTCGAAGGTAAAAGGCGAGGGGGAGACTGAAAGAAGTGGTTAGTCACGGGGGGCTTGGTTAGGGCCAGTAGAAACGTCTCAGGTCGAGACGAAGAAAGGAGGGGGCTGTTAAAGGAGGGGTGATGTTTGGCATCTCGGAATCCGGGACGCAAGAGCTTTTGGTAGACTTACATGGCGCAGATGGTGAAGCAGAGCGCGCTGCCCATAAAGGCCATGATGCTATCGAAGGCGGGAAAGAGGATAGAAATGACGAGGAACGTAGCCAAAGTAAGTATACGTGAGAAGAACTTCATAAAGGTCAAATAGGCCTCGCTTAGCCTGGTACCGTCAGGAGCGCCGTTGTTGGCATGATGGAGGGGATGGTGATGGTGGTAGCGGATGCCAAAGACCAATTCGATAGTGTTGATGATGGGACGGGCATTGAGCGGAATCTTGGTGAGAGGTATGATGGCAATGAAGACACACATCAAAGCCGTGAGGGCCTTGGGGTAACCGGTCGTTCGGAGGATGTTGGAGGTGATGGAATCGCGGACGTCATCGCCGAACATGAGGACGCCGGCTACGGCTGTGGTGGCGTCGAGAAGATACTGCGACATGCTATTTGTAAACCCCAGGACGTGTCAAATGGGAACCTCAGTCGAAAACTTACGGTGAAGCTAAAAGTGATCTCGAGGGCTTTCTTATACTTATAAGGGTGTCTCATGTCACGATAAATCTGTATTGGAGTTAGTAGGCTGTTTGTTGCCTTGTACTCGAGTTTTCCTTATCTCTTCTACGACTCACATTCGGGAAAATAGAATGACCGCCCCATGGACTAAGCAGCAGGCCGAATGAAAGTGGTAATGTGCTCCAGCGCTTCGGGAACATATAAGTCGCTGCGGGCTCTAGGAGAGAACCAGGCGCGGTGGGCTTGATGAAGCCGTCTAAAATGACAATGGTGACAACTATGTGAAGTATCAGTACCAGTATCAGTATCAGCATTCTTTGGGATAACGGCGGGCGTTTTACATACTTCCAAGACACGAGAAAATGCCAATCACACTGGTGACACTGAGAAGCCGGAGCGGTAGGAAATGCAGCGGGAATAGAATCACGCAGCAGAGAGTCTTCCACTGTAGAGCTGTTAGGAAGCCCGGGAACAAGAGTTCCATAGAGTCGGAGAATAAGACAACTGGGCAAAGGGAGATAGTGTTAGCTAGCGAGCAGGAATATGCAGAGATCTACATATGCTTGTTTGGGCAGATGACCATACCCAGAGCCACATTCGCGGCTATCAGCTCGAGAGTGAACAATACACTAGTAACAAACCTCGCTTTATGTCCGTAGGAGATATAAGCGATATCAGAAAAGGTAATGAGGCTTGGATCCAAGTCCATGCACTTCCCCAGTAGCCTTGCCGTGTAGCCGGTGACAACAGCACAGAGGAGCAGCAAAATCATGCCGCAGAGCCACCCAGAATATTTAATTCCGAGCGGCAAGCTCAGAAGGCCGACGCCAACAAGTACGCTACCGCATAACCAAAGTTAGTTGTCGAAGGAAAATAGCGAGATTATTGGGGGAAAAGCCAAAGATTTTACGAACTTGATCGAGTTAAAGATAGTCTGAGGCAACGTTGACTGACCCTCCACAGTCAACACAATCTTGCCATCCTGCTCAACCTCCTTCACGAGGATTGGAGGAAGCTCATCGATCAGTTGCTCTCCCGCAACAGGTTGAATCCACGAACGAGCAAACGAGGATCTCCTCTCAGAAGACTCTGCGGGAAGGGTGCCATAGGTGGGGTAACTGGCATAGCTCCCAACAAGAGGCGTGGCGAGGCTCGGTGGGATGGCGAAAATGGAACTTGAATAGCTACCGGGAATGAACGCCCCTTCCAACTCGGGATTGTACGCCTTCCTTTCCCTCTCCTGGAAATCGGCTGCGGGTTGTCGGTCGCCTTGCCCGGAGGGCCCTGGAAGTGTGTCGATCTGCTCATGTAGCAGAGAGGTCCATGGCTGGGGCGAACGTTCCCGTTCACTCACAGCTTCGCGGGGAGCTTCCTCGTCGGGGTAGACGAGCGGGGCCTGATCGGGGGCAAAGACGAGAGGGGGACGTTGTGGGAGGACTTCGGGGAAGCCAGCAGCTCGGCGCCAGCTCCGAGTGAAGGACCGGATGCTGTTGACACCACCATACTCGGCAAGGAGAGCAGGGTTGAAGTTCGAGGACCTAGTAGTAAGAGGGTCCGCATGTAAGCACGAATCAAGATATCAAACGGCTAGCCCATATACAGCACAGCAAAATCGGGAGGCTTCTTCTATGTACCGCATACCTTCGACGTCTCAAACCTGAAGGGTCGGTAGGCCAACGAGACAAAGACTGTGAGTCGCTCGCATCGGTTCTCGAGTGTATGCTGCTCCGGGCCGGAGAGATGTCACGGTGATGGTATTCATCCGCCGAGAGATTGGCGGAAGCCATGCTCTGTGGCAGTCCTGCGTGCGACAAGTGACAGACCCAGCGACCTCCCAGCAGCAGATGGTAGAGAGGGTCTCGTGAGCGCCGAGCTTGCCCTAGATTATAACAAAACCAACTCAAGCAGGGGGCAAGGCTAGCAACAGACAGCACACGGAACCCTAAATCGATCTAGTGAAAGGACTGGGTCGAGAGGAGAAGATATGTTCCAAACAAGAGGGTAGGTTCCGTGTATGATCAGATGACAGAACAGGATTTGAAAGAGAATCTAGAGATATTCGGGCGAGGACGAAAAGAACTAAATAAACTATTCGTACTTGTGGTATAGATGATCGATGTGGGGTTGGTCTGGATCTTGACTAGTCGAGCGGGTTAGGTACGGAGCAGTTGGAGTTGTAAGTTGATAAAGCGTGATCAGACTAGTCGCAGGACGCCGTTTCCCCCACGAACTAAGAAGCAAGAAGCAAGAAGCAAGAAGTCAGAAGCGCGGGAATCGTAGAACGAGCAATTGATCTAAACTACAGTATACGAAGTACTTTATTTCTTGATATTAATGGTGTTAAATTTTTTTTTTTCCCCTCTTCACGGGGAGTAAAAATTTGCAGAAGCTGCGAGTACTTTGTATCGGAGGCGATTGGAAGATTCACGGCAGCAATCTGGCTGGGGCTCTACACCAATGTGGAAGAATAGAGCGTCATTGCGCAGCTGGGAGGCGAGTCTGCGACGATTCCAATGCAACTTCGCAGCGTCTCGCTTCGTCGCGGTGGTGTAAGTAGTTTTAGTTTAGTTTATTTTTACGTGGTGCCCTCCCCCAATCTGGTCTCTGTCCTGGACCAAAAGTCCGGGGAGGTATGCCGAAGAAGGCGGCCGATGACACCCGAAGGATGCAGTTTTTGATCAAGCGCAGACGGCGATCGCCGGGAGACCCATGGCTGGTTTTTGTCAAGGGATCGTCAATGACAAGGTGAAAATTATCTTCTCCGGCCGATGAACCGTCTTGATGCGCATTCTTTTCCACCAGAAAGATAATTCAGAAGTGAAAAATACTTCCCGAGGCGGTTCTCGGCGGCTCTCTGGAGGGACTCGTGAAAACCTTGAACGCGGGCTGAAGCGAGGAGCTTTATCAGGACATGCCGCCATATCGTAGATCTGAGGGACTCCTTTCAACTGATACTGATAACGGATATTAACACCGGATCCTTGCGAAATCGGGATGCATTGCATCGGTTGTTTGGGGTGCGATAGCGGCTCAGATAGACCATACGATGCAGACGTTTAACTTGACCACTCTGGACTCCCTCAACTGCATGCCCCTTGGCCAACCCATTTGCTGTTTGCTGATCCTCTCACTGGACAATCACGCGGGCTGACTTCGAGGGCGCATGTTCTGTGGTGCTCTCTTGATCTCGTGCCGACATAGAAATGGACTAGCGTTTGCGTGGAGACATCAAGCTTCGAATCAAGTATGAGGTACTTTGATTTGGAGAGTCTCGATCTTCCAACTGCCAATCTTCAACGCATTTCCAAGGTGCAATGCGACCCCCTCTTGGCGCTACGACTAGCTTATCTTATCTTTGCTTGTACAGAGTACAATACCGGCCCAAGTCATCAAGCTTTTGACCCTCTGCAGCGAGGCTATTACCTAATAGCTTTTCGACTTAAGTGATGTCCAATTGGAATCGCTTTCATTGTTCTTGTTGCGAGTCTTGGTGTGTACACAGGTGCGAAGTACCATCGTTGCGATTTACACGTGAGATGAAAATCTGACTATTCGTTCTCAGCACTTCGAGTTCCAATGTTCTTACAATTGTATTAGCAACGTCCTTTCGTCGCAGTACCGTACGCAGTACAGTAGACCTCAAAGTGAAAGGCTACATACATATTACTTATAGCCGTATAAACAAGGGGTCGAGAGGAAAAGAGCCCCCATCAATACCAAGATCCCGTTCTCGACCGACCCCAATCGCGCGACCCGTCTTGCATTCCCCATCCGAGTTCCCAGATGTCTCTCGTCCGCCTAACGCAAACGCTCTTATAGCACAAGCCAGAGATTCCTCTCGCACCAATGTCGCCCCCAGCCGACCTTCCGTCCCAGCTCTCATCCGTCCTCTCTCTCCTCGACGCCTTCAACCATCGCAATAAGAACCAACACCGCCGCTCCGCCTGGTGGCAGCATTTCAATCTCCTCCGCCGCGCCGTGCGCAAACTCTCGGCCCCTCGCCATTATGCCCAAAAGCAGCCTGGAAGAGGGCGAGATCCCGGAGCGAGCGCAGATGTAGGCGCAGCTTCGCCGAGCTTCCTTCATCATATAAAATGGGTTGCAGGGAATGTCATCCATCCTTCATACATGTAAGTCAGCTTTGCCGCTAGATATGTTTCTGACCATTTTCCTTCCAATGGGCATATAAAACTCTAGCTCTACGCGAACCTGTCTATTAAACCAATCTCCCTCTCAAATAGTGCCTTCACACAACTCGCCGCCGACAACCAGTATGCTCCCCTAGGACTTGTCCTCCTCGGCATCCTCGCTCGGTTCAACTCCATCATCTCGCCGTTCCTCCCCCCCTCATCCAAGTCACAACCCCCACCCATCACCAATACCGCCGCCGCCGCCGCCGCCACTACCACTACTATAACTAAGCTTAGCCGCCGACCGCATTCCTTAGAGTTCTCGGATAGTCGCGGTAGCCCTTCGGAGCAAGACTTGGGAGTAACGGTGTCAAGATCGGAGTTCGCGGTTTCTCCTCTCGTCCCTGATACGGCAGACGCGGGCCGCGAAGAAAAACCGAAGAAGCGTGCCAGAGCCTTGCCAACTGAGGATCGAACACATCGAATCCCGTCCTTAACATCAGATACCGGACCCGAGGCAAAAATACAAAAGCTCAAGAAAAAGAAAGAAAAGAAAAAGAAGAAACAGGCCTCCGGTACGGACCTTAGCGACCTATTCGACAGCATCGCATGAGCAGAATCCACACGCACACACACCTACAATGCAATAGCACACAGACACACCTAGACAGACGCACACGCACACCTCTGGGGTATCCACAACCCCGACTTCCGCACCTTGTACGAGGAGTAATGATAATGAATTGACGATATGGGGAATACCAAACTCGGGTCATATCAACAAGATACAGAAAAACACACTGCGCATATTTGTAAAACCATATGGAGAGCCGAGGGGTTTAGAAACGGGAAAGGATAGTAAGGACGACGAAAAAGGGGGAAGGAAGAGAGAAGGGGGAAAAAAGAAAGAAACAAAAAGGGGAAAAAAAAAAAAATAAGAAAAATAGAGACAAAGATAACAACAAGAGAGTTTACCATACAATAACAAGTCCTCCCCCTGTTCCTACCTAATTTCTTTGTCTCCGTCCTTGCGCCGCCGTCACATTTCAACACCCAAGACAGAAGACACTTAGAACCAGATATTCCTTGCAATTACGCTGCCACCCCACCTCTTTTTAAAGAGAAACCACTCCTCGCCCCATCACACCTCCTTATTTCATATCGCTTATACACGTTTTTTATTTCGTTGCCGGCCAACTTCTTCCCACTATTTCACAATTTACGAGAGAGGGCGGTACGACCAGATGCGGGCCTTCATGTCTCCCGAACCCGTAGCGAAGTAGCCACCAGTGGGGCTCGGCGCAACAGAGATGACCGAGTTCTTGTGACCCTGAAGCATAAGCTGGGTCAGGCCAGTCCTGGGATCCCAGAACTGGACGCCGCGATCCTTCGAACCCGACATGACCCATTGGTTGTCTGGCGTGAGAGCGACCGACAGGACAAAGTCCTTGTGGCCCTCGAACGTCTTAACGCAACGTCCGCCCTTGGGACCGTTGGGAAGGCCGCGAGGGGTGCTGAGCTCCCACATCTTGATGGTCTTGTCCAAACTACCGCTGACAAGGTCCTTGCCGTTGGGCGAGAAGGCGACCGAGTACACGCTGTCCTTGTGACCGTCAGGGCCCTCGAGCCTTTCCAAGAGATAGCCTTGGTGGAGGTCCCAAACCCTGACGCTCTTGTCGAGCGAGCCGGCGGCGACGTACTTAGTGTCGGGGGAGATGGCAACGGTCGTGACGCCATCCTCAATGGTCAAGGTGAGGATGTGAGTGCCTTGCTCGATATCCCAAAGGCGGACAGTGCGGTCGCCACTGCCGGAGGCGATGGTGCGTCCGTCGCGAGCGAAGTCCAGCGAATAAATGTCTTGCTCGTGACCCGAGAAGGTGTTGCGAATCTGCTTCTGGTGAATATCCCAGACCTACACACATGGTGAAAATCATAGGTTAGCTTTCGAACTAAGATAGATAGAAAAAAAAAAAAAGAATTGTGGCTGTCATGGTGATGGGGACTGAATTGGTGATACGTACCCTGATCAATTTGTCTTCGGCACCGGTAGCAAGGTACCTGCCGTCGGGACTGAAGCAGACACTGCGAATGTAGAGATCGCCGCCCATATCGGCTGAGTCGTCCTGGAGGACGCAGAGCTTCTCGCCAGTCTGGACATCGTAGATCTGAGCCGAGCGGTTACATCCGGTCGCGACGTACTTGCCATCGTGGCTGAATCGGACGCAGCAGACTACACTCTGATGTTGAAGGGTGTGGACGAGGTCAATATCGAGGACGCGAGGTACGTGCTGGTTAAAGACGCAGATCCAATCGTCTCCGGCCTTTTTATAGTGGGCGGGGATCTGATCAATGTTGAGTTCGCTCAGCACACTGCCAGGCTGGGCATGATGGTTCATGCTACGGGGTGGCTCAGCCGAAGGGTGGCTGACTTGAGGAGACTGCGCGGCTCCAGGGTAGGGAATAGGCGTGTTAATCTGTGGCGTAGCAGGACCGACAGCCGCCGGGGGACGGCCGATAGGTCGCCTACCGGGAGGCGAGGCGGTGCTCTGCGGGGGTTGAGGGCCGATGCCATTCGAGACGGGGCCCTGGGGGTAGCCTTGTTGGAATGGTGGCTGCTGGGAGGGACCGGGAGGCGGAGGTACGGGGGGGAGGCCACCTGGGGGCGGAGGTCCTTGGCCGATCTGGCTATGGGGCCCCATCTGCTCGGGCTGGGCTGGAGGCGCGGGAGGAGGAGCGAGACCGCCCTGTCCAGTTCCCGTCATGGCGCCATTAAAGAGATTGCCACCGGGTGCGAGGACAGGAGGCTGCTGGCTCGGGCCAGGATGTTGTGGGTGGGCATTCATGGCACCCTGAGGGGCTCCTCCGCGGGCGGCGTCGAGTTGCCGGCGAAGCATCTGGATTTCTTCCTCGTACCTGTTGAAAAAGACGCCGGTTGGTTAGTTCATTGAATCCATACACACGTGGATACAGTTCAATTCGCGCGGGGCTGACCAGCCCAGAGAACTAGCTCAAACGGCTTAAATAGATGAAAGGCGGATGTCGCTCACTTTTGCTTCAGCGTCATATGAGTCTGCTCCATGGCGTACACCTTTTCGCGGACTAATTGCATCTCGTTGACTTGAGCATTGACTACAACGGCCCGGGGGTTAGCAATGGAAGGGAATACTCGGACGAGTGGAGAAGGAAGTTGTCATGCGTGGGCGCGTACTTTGATGCTCATAGCTCTCGCTCGCCCGAATGTGAGTGTCAAATTCAGAACGAATCTGCTCGAGGAGCTCATTCAGGCGAGCGTTGGGGGGCCCCATCCGGGGGTTGTGAGGATACATCGACATGGCGGAGAAGGCTGGCGGTTACCGCGCGCCAAACGGGGCTGTGGAATGAAGCGTAAATAAAGGTGCAAGATCGACGATGTAAATTATCGAGTACCGGTCCAGGCAGGACAGAGAGGTCGAAATTGATGATATTTTAAGTCTATGCGATGACGCGACGCTCGAGGGAAGGCTGTAGTGTTGAGGATATCGATGAAGCCAGATCGAGGAGGGAGGTGGTTGGTGCTTTTGCAGTGTTCCTCTGGAGAAAAAAAAAAAAGAAAAAAAATCCTTTGCCGGCCTGAGCTAAACCAGCTTGCAGCCTCCTGGCGCGAGGCAGGCTGTGACCCTCTCTAGCTGTCGCAGGGATGGTGTCTGGCTCTGGTAGGCCTGGAAAGGGATTGAATTGCGAAGTCGATGGGGGATCGTGATGAGGATAGCCGTGATGTTGTTTGCAAGGTTTGGCGTGGATTGGGGAGAAGGTGGCGGAAGGAGAAGAGGAGAAAAGGGTGTGTGTGCTGGAAGACGCTTTTGGGATGAGGCAAGCAAAGAAACAAGCAGTCGGGGGCGCAACCAGCAACGTGAGCCGAACTTTGTTCTAGTGCCATGGGTACTGTAAGTGAGTACACCACACTACGCTAATTCTAGTGTACGACCGTGGTTCGTACACGCCCCCTCCTTGTCCATGCCCAGTACTTCGTCCACTAGACTGCGCTGGTGTGTTTCCGGTACTGCGAAGTTGGGGGGACCTCAGTGTGGGGCTCCAATCTACATATTAAGTACCACCCGCATGGGGGCGTGTGTCATAGAATACGCCAGTATCAGGGGGGCGTCGCTGACTTGTGAGGTATCTCTGCGCTAGACCGGGCTGCCAGGTCGCCAAGAGGTACATTGCGGGTACTCTCTCCCAGGTGTAGAGATGTTGGTCTGTGCACTCGCACTGCAACCGCAGGAGACCTTCGACAAGTACAGGGGGTACGAAGTATCGAGGGGTGTACACTACATGACGGGAAGAGTCCACCCCGTACTCTGAAGGAAGGAGGGGTGGGAGCGGCGTTACCCAGCGCGGGACCCTGGCTCCAGTAATCCATCAACTTGAGCAATCCTTCGAGGGTTAACGCAGCATACTGCTCGCAGCACTGCATTGAGTGTGCACCAGGAATCCAAGACTTGATGCTCTAGTGTACATTATTGCGCTCCTGACAGGACTGACAGGACGAAGCACACCTTTCCAGCGACTCCAATTTCTGCAAGGACAGGCTCCATTGCCGCTACGAAGTACATGGGCTCCACCCCACTACTTAAACTACCAGAGCGCAGTACTTCACCGTGCAGTGTACACAACTTCATTCGCAATGTATGTTCCACTCTGTAGTGAGTCTCGCTCCGTAACCAGTAACCAGAGGTTTGTTCAAGTCGCTCACCGACCTGTCTGCCACCGATTGGGGCCTCTGCGGCTGGTTCTCCACACAATATGTGACTGGTCAAACAACCAGCCCTGTATCCTTGGTGGGTTGAGGTCACACATGGCAAAACATACAGGAGATGATCTCGGGGCACAAACAATTTCCACTCCATCGCCCATTTCTGCACGATATTTGACCTTGCTCGCCGCAAATGGTAATTGTACCATCGTGTACTTCGTGCACAGGTAGAGTTCCATTCCCAGAAAATTAAATGGGAGGACTGGTTTCCACAAGCCAGCTCCCTTGCCGCCTCAACGAGGCTCAACCTGCAGCCTTCATCTCATCACGATGGTTGCTCGTACTTCGGACTCGCGATCCCGAAATTAGTCCCATTTTTGTGGTTGAAGGCCGACGCTAGTTAAGTGTAGAATACCAAAGGACGAGGAGGCAGGCAAGATAACGAAGAGCGCAAACGTGAAGTTCGGTCCGACAGAGTTGCTTCCATTGTTAATAACGGATGCTTATGAAGTATTGATTGCCGCAGGAAAGGTCTTTTGAGTTGTTGTGATGACTGCTCGTTCAACCACCTCAACCGCTCTCCGGGCTTATCAGCCGATTGGGGTTCCTGGAAGCGAAGTTGAAGAGCGCGAAGAGCGAGGGAAACCCGTGCCCCGGAGGTCTTTCAATACACCGATCGGTCACAAGCAGATCGGGACCTGGAGTTTATCTGAGATGGACTAGTCAGTTTGGCGCTGCAGTTTCCCGAGCGCATGAGTTAATTAAGCAAAGCAGTCTTCGTAAAGGAATGAGGAGTCTCAAGTTATTTGGTGGTTTCCTTCTTCCTGCCGGCGGAAGGATGCAGAACATTCCGAGAAGTAACTGTCCAAGCGGAGTTTTCTTTGTTCTTCAGCCCCGTCGCACCATCCTCGAGCTTGTTTCTCATAATTAAAACTTCAGCAAACTACGAAGCAATTCATATTGAGGCAATCCCACAAATTCTTAGGTCATTGGTAGAAGTTGAAATCCCCCACCCCCTCCCGAAAGTAGTGCACAACCAAAACTTCCGGACCTAGGAATACACCCGGTCTTACGAAGTAAGTAGACTTTCGTGTTGTGTTGTTTAGCGTAAACCTTTTTGTCGAAAAACCAGGGGCACGAGTTAGTTTTCCCTTTCCCGCTAGCCATAAAGCGACTGAGAGGCTGGATGGCTTTCGTCCGATGCGGTTTCATAATCCATTATCGACGCGAGACTCTCGCTCCCATCTTGAAGCCATCAACCATCCCACGCAATCCTTGTCCATCATGTGCCTGCACAGATGCGTGCAGGGCTACCCACCAGTACGGGGTTTGTACGGAGGTACTTCGTAGTGTACGAAGTACTTCGCATCGTCCTGCTTTTTCTGTTTTATTGAGGGACCGGACGATATGGCTGCTCTTTGTGTTGCCCCAGATTATTCAGCTGAAACGGTCTCACACCGAAGTTAGCGAGTTGAACTATTAACTCCGATTCAAGACGGGCAGGCTGTCGTCAGGGACCGGGGGCTGAAAGTGCCAGGTGTTTGACAGGTGGTTAATTTGACACGTGCCCGGCAAAACATTTCAACACATTTTATTACGTAATACACCATCCCCGTGATCTTGGACGAACTTCCATTCACGTGAATTATCACATGATTTAAACAGTGGAAGCAATTCGGGTTTCCACCAGAATTTAGCCATACGAATACGAGAGCCGAGAAGATCGACGAGACGAGCATGACGCACAGAAATCGGTACCTGGAAATTCTCGAGCGAATTATATTGGGCCTAGATCTGGATTTACAAAATCACTCCATACTGCATCCGCCGGATCTATCAAGCAGGCGATCCTGATCAGGCCATTTCGAGCAGAAGTTCCCGGAGATGGTTATATATGGCCATATGTCGGAGCTTGTTGGGAATTGCTTTCACATGGGATTCAAGGGGCTGTTGAGCTAATTGAGGAAGGAGAAAGGAATGCTGCGCGTTCTGCAGGGCGCACGTTGCGAGTCCTGAATAAGCTCGAGGAAGGAGCGCACCTTACCCCGTATTCGTAGTTTACATACAATTTGTATATTCTGTCCAGGCAATTCTATATAGATTGATAAGGGAAAAGGATGCAGAAACAGCATTTGCGAGTCAGGTTGAAAGAGAATGGCAAGAACGACGCGGCTAAGAATATCAATTGGCCTCTCCAGACGCGTCACAGTTGGCTGCACTCCGCTTCTTGCCGTAAGATAGTCACAGTTCGGCCTGTGAGACAACGGAGCTTAAGGTTCTCGCCAGCTTGTTTTACTACTCTGCTGCCTAGTGCCTATCCCAATTGACCGACACGACTAGATGCGCAGATGCGGTGATGGCGGAACGACGGCAACAACGGGCAAGAACGGGCTAGAACGGGGTCGGAAATTCGACGATTCGACAGGGTCACCTACCCACACACATCCCTGTGAGAAAAAGAGTGGGTTCCTCCGCCGCATGTTCCGACCGTCGGTTTGTTGGGGTATATCGCCCGGTGTATCATTGATCAATTGGTGTGGTAGTGCCAGTGCTGCCAATTATTTATAAAATGCCGAGTCCAGAATGAAGACAAGCAAATTTATCTTGCGGTCCCCTCCCTCTTCATGCGAAATCCCCTCCTCTCTTCACCGCCAACCCTCCCTCCTTGAAGCTATATATACTTCCGTCTGTCTCGGTTCTCTTTGCTGGGGGGTTAACCATCGAGGCTTTCCCCGAAGCGCGTTCATGAGGACTTGAGTCCTTCCTCACACACACACACTCTCACACATACCCACGGGCTAAACGGACTTTTGGAGTTTCCCGACCCGGACTCGTCGCAACGCAGAGACTTTGCGCCGTTGGCTTCAACGCCTTTCTCCAACACCTGATCGATCTGTCACCTTACACAACCCTTCGGCGTGCCTATCGACATCATGGATATCGTTCTTGAGGTCTTGGATACGTACATCGGCGATCGTGTTTATGCCAATCTCATTCCTGCGCCTTCGCTGAACATACTGGGAAACTCCACCTCTACTACGTCGCACTCGACATGGAGCTACAAGCCTGCGACCTCGTACCTCTATCTCGAGCCTTCTGTGGAGGCTTATATGAGCGCTTGGCCCAGAGACAACATCTTTCGCCAGAGCATCAGCCTTTTCTTGATTACATGGTTCGTATTACATTCACTTTAACACCGGCCCCTCTTTTTGGTTCTCGAGACCCTCGATCATGTAACCGTCAGTGGACTGACCAATTCCTGTTTAGGATCTTCGGTCTCATTATATACTTCATCTTCGCGGCCTTGTCCTACGTGTTCATTTTTGACAAGAGGACTCTCAACCACCCTAAGTTCCTCAAGAACCAGGTCTGGCTCGAGTTCAAGCAAACCAACAAAGCACTGCCCGTCATGGCCCTCTTCACTGCACCGCTCTTTGTCCTTGAGGTCCGAGGATATGGTCGTCTTTATGACACCCTAGAGGAAGCTCCCGCCATGTGGTATAATATTGTCCAGTTCCCCTTCTTCATTGCTTTCACCGACTTCTGGATCTACTGGATTCACCGTTGGCTCCACCATCCTCTCATCTACAAGTGGCTTCACAAGCCTCACCACAAGTGGATCATGCCTACGCCCTTCTCGAGTCACGCTTTCCACCCTTTTGATGGTTTCATGCAATCGCTTCCGTACCACGTTTTCCCCTTCCTCTTCCCTCTCCAGAAGCTCGGCTACGTCGCCCTATTCGTTTTCGTCAACTTCTGGACGATTCTCATTCATGATGGCGAATACCTTACCGACAATCCCGTTGTCAATGGCGCTGCTTGCCACTCGCTGCACCATTCTAAGTTCGAAGTCAACTACGGCCAATTCACCACTTTCTTTGATCGAATGGGCGGTACTTACAGGAAGCCCGACCCTTACATGTTTGAGAAGGAGCTCAAGATGTCCAAGAAGACCTGGGAGAAGGAAGCTAAGGAAGTCGACAGGCTTGTCGTCGAAGTCGAGGGTCACGATGACCGCACTTACAGCTCCGGAACGAAGAAGAACCAGTGAGCGACACCAAGTGTGACGCTCTATTTACTGGAAAGTGGAATGAATAAATTCCTCACTCTCGAGTCAACTCCTCCAACACGATCTTCCTCGTTAACAACTAATTTAATCATATCCATGGTACAGAAATTTGGGTATATGACCTGGTGGTATTTCACACGTCTCTCTGGGTTGGATCATGTACCAAATTGCATTCATTGTGCACAATAACTTTCTTCGAACAAAAAAAAAGGGGAGAGGGAATGGGGGTTCCTGAACTCATGATGACCATGATACGCTCTAAAACACATCTGTTGGCGATATAGCCGCAATATTCACATAATTTGACTATTTTCTGCGATGTAAATATACAACAAGTTCATTTCTCTCGTTTATGGAAATCCGTTGTTATATATCGGGACAAAACACATTGAAATTGAAGACGGGGTGACGTTGGGTTAACGAAGTGGAGATAAGACAGATTCCGAAGCTCGAATTAAGAATGCCGGACATAGGAAACGATATGACGTTGAGCCAAGTAAAATACAGGATGAGGACCTAACCAAGGATGACATTGACCGCTTAAACATGTAGGAAATGTAAAACAAGTGAGTTATGAATAACTGAGGCGCTCTCGTTTGTTCACGGCCACCAAATGCATCGGCGGGGGGCCTCGTTGCAGGTGCTGAAAATCTTCGAGCCGGCGCCAGACGATGGAGTGGCCTCGTTGAAAAGTGACCAACTTCATGTGCCATAACAGACACGCCTCTACCTCCAAAGTAAATAAGGCTCCCTCCGGAGCGGCGACAACCTCTCTCAAGAAAAGCTAACGAACTTCGGATCCCTCGGCCTGCCATCGGGCCCGATGCCGTTTGCCTTGAACCGGTTCTCCATGTAGACTTTCCTGGCGTCGTCGAACTTGAGACGACGCCTCTTCATAATCTTGAGAATCTCAGCCTTGCTCTGGTCGTCAAGGCCGGCGCGTGCGTCGCCCGACTCGATGTTCCCGCTAAGATCAAAGGTGCTGCTCGACAGGCCAGCCTCGACATCGCCGTGGAAGCTATCGGGTAGCCTGGCATAAATGTAATCGCGGCCGGGGATGTCTAGGTCGGCGACATGTGGTATCCAGAGGGCGCGGGTGAAGTAGAGAGCGGTCGCGACGACAAGGAAGAAGACGGAGATGGAGAAGAGGAGGAGCATGGTTGTTGGCGTTGGGCTGCCTCAAGGGACAGGACTTCGTGGATTTGAATAAAAGAGTGTGTAGTTCGGATATCCGGATGCGCCGCGATCGACTATGACATTGTCTCTGGGCGTAAATATTGTTCCGCGACAATGACGCGGCGAGGCCTTTTATCAAGGGCGATGAGTTATTGATGAGTTGTGTGGTAAGCAGCTGCGCAGGTGAACAGGAGCGAGGTCCTCGAGTCTCCTGCTTGAGACTCTTGAGACCGATTTGAAGCCAAGCCTTCCTTGGGTCCTCGTCATCTGGTCACACCATGCAGCTGTGAATGGCCCAGAGCCGAGACCGTGGTTACGTAATAAAGGAGACAGCAATGCATGGAACATAGTGAATGGAATATTTGCAGCTGGCAAATTGCAACTTTTAAAAATTACCCCTGTTATCAGGTGGCAACGCTTCTTCTCTCGCACACAAATCCAAGCATTCGTGTGCCCCACTATAGCCCGGAAACTACCAAAATAGGCGAGCCCACACTTTGAATTTAGCATCAAAATTTCAACGATATTCACCGTCCTTACCCCAATACACAAACGATTCGAGCAGATATCGAACCCAAAAAACACCGGGAAAATGTCGTCCAACGTATCTGCTGATCTCATCTGGGAGGTTGTCCGTGAGTGAAATCTCTGCCAAATTCCAATCAGACCTCGAAATCATCGATGAAAGAGAGACGAAATTTCGCTGACGACGAAACGAAAATCCTACAGGCAGCCAGAACAAGTACCTCGTCAAGAGGAAGACCAACGGCTCTCCCCAGTTCTCCCGGGATCCCCTTAACCTCACCAACGTCCACTCCCGAAAGGTACGAGAATATCGGTAGAATAAGGCTGGGCTGGGAAAGAGGGCGGGAAAACTAACATCTTTTTGTCTCTGGATAGTATGCCGGTTTCGTGAACGACAAGGTACGATAACTCGAGCCCCGAACAGTCGCCTCGACGAAAGGAAAGTCCCAGAAAGAAGGACCGGATTACTGATGAAGTAAATTTAGGCCATTGGCATCAACGCCAGCGGCAAGCGTGGCATTTCTGTCGTCAGCAAGAACGCCGGCAGCATCAACAAGCCCTCTGCTTCTTACACCTCCACCGTCTTCGGCGACGCCAAGTCCAACCGAAAGTATGCGCGATCCTCTCCAACACCCAACATGCGACGGAATCACCCACTTCGTTGATTTTGATTTGAGCAATGCTGATTGCAGTTTCGTAAATAGGGCTTACAAGGCCGTCGCCGGTCTTGCGGCGAAGAGGGGATACCGTGGCGACCTCCGCGAGGCTGCCGTCCAGCGTGTAAGCGCCATCCGACGATCGCAGCTCCCCGAGAAGCCCGAGCCGGAGAAGAAGTTGAGGGGAAAGAAGGCGCAGCAGGCCCAGTCTGCGTAAAGACAGCAAAGGATATATGATGTTCTGAAATGATTGGCAATTGGGCGACATAAGGGAGGGGGAAAGCGAAAAATTGTTTCGAAGTGTGCCTTCGGAAGGACATGGGAGCACAATTTAGAAACTGGCGTTAACATGAACAATACCAAGTTCACCGACCAATTCTTTTCCGGATATTTGTTTTCTCTCCATCTCCAACTATGCCAGCAGCTGCAGTGGTTGGCAATGTGACTAGTCATTGTGCCCCTCGCCCCCGCCAACACGAGTATACCAAGTCGCTATGTAATTGACTTCACGTGTCTTTGCTGAAGCTCAAGCATGGAATTGTATCATGCGTGAGTTGTATTCCGGTGATCTGGTAACGAAGTGATATTGACCCGAGCGCGGAACGCTGGTATTACAATGAATTCAGTATCCATTCAGTCTTCTGAGACCTTCAGATGAGGGGCCATCGTCGCTGTGGTCTGGGCTCGTCCAAGCTCGTCCTCGTGCAGCCATGGACCGCACCGGCAAAATATACCTGCATCAAGCCCTCGTGGGCGGCTGTAACAGCATGGATAGCGTCCTCGGAGTTGGAAATTTCACTGCCTTGCCAACGGCATCATTCTTCAATTCAATATGGAGCCATTCGCGTTATAGGAATCTCACCAAGCTTCCCGATGAGAATCCGTTAGGTCCGTAGGCGGTTCAGGATAGCAAATGAGTGAGTGCCAGGTCGTCGGTATCGGAGAGAGAAAAAAGCAATGAGAATAAACGAGCTTCGTACAATCAAACTGACGAAATACGGTCAGCTTCTGCAGTGTCCCGGACAGAAAATCCGCTAGCAGCCAACCCTTCACGCACGTTATCTTTCCTTGCTGGGAAAATTCTGGAAGTCAGGTGAGAAGAGATACGCTAGGACCGACAACCCGTCTGCACATTTCACATTCACTTCGCCATTTACAGCCTCGAATCCGTCACCCCCATCCTTTGACAAGGGGGAAACGGGAGGAATGATGGTGGGGGGAGATCGATAAACCACCAGGGCGGTTCAGTCTCAATATGGACGATCTTCCAGCTAGAGGTAAGTCGATGACTCCGGCCTCGCAGACTATGTAATGCTGTTACAATTGAAGGTATTTTTCTTACGTATGAGGTGTTTGAGCTGAACCATGAAGTTTGAACTTCTGGATAAAATGCAGCATTTAGTACTATTACGAGACGAGTGATTGTAATTTGTTTTGTTTCTGGTGTACATACTTCGTAGTTTTGTTTGACCCCACCTCAAGGGTTCAATTGCTTGTCACGACATTGACTTCAATTGTTGGAAAGTTGACTTCCGGGAGAAGTCGAAGATGGACGAAAAAGACGCGGCTGCGAAGAGAAGGCGGCGTCCTCTTCCTTGGTGTTTTCGGGAAGGGGCATCAATTGATGTATCCACATGCTGCTGATTGCTGGTTAGCAATCAATCGAGGCTTTATTATCAAACGCCATGCTCGGAACTAGACTTCTTGTCTTCAGCTGTTTCCGAGGTAATGCGCGGTAACAGCGTGTTTTGGGGGAGCTATGATCCGTGTTGGAGGGGCAGATGGAGCAGATGGAGGGGTAAATCACGACAGCATTTGCCAGCTCCAGATTGACATTGCTTGTCCACCCCACTTTGGAGAAAAGCAGCAAGGAACTATGTAGAACTCAAGCTCCCGCAGCGTCCAGTATCCCCAAAAGCGCAAGGGGTTGTTGATATCATAGAGCGGTAGTAATTGAACTCGATTGATGCTCTGTGGATAGTTAAAATTGGCTTCCGTTTAATGTGGTTGGGATCTCTCTTGTCTTCGCGGACTAAACCCGTTACGCCTTCAATCACCGGTAGTCGGAAGGGACGAGGGACTTCCGCGCACCTTCCTCAACCACTTTGTCCAGTCACCACTATTATCCAATTGAATCGTCCCCTCCCCACTAGAAGCACGATTTGCAGTCTACAATTGTATCAATACTTCGTAATTGTACCCGGGTCTCCGAGTACTCTCGTACCTTCCAACAAGGTCCAAGGTCTGCCCCTCCATCGCTCATGCCCGTCGGATTTGAAACCTTGCAACCCCTCGTCGTGCACCTTGTCTTCTCCCAAACCTCTTTCTCTCTCTCCCCATAAATAACCTGATCTCAGTCAACTTCTGTTTGAACTGATCCTGTCCATCTTCTACATCTAAGAAACTCTTCAATTCTCTCAACAACCCACCATCATCATGTCTGACAAGAAGATCAAGGCCGGTAAGCCCTAACCCGCACTCCTCATCTAAATAGCTCGCCAGCGCGTAGCCCTTTTGATCATCATGGCCTGCTTGCTAACGAGCTCTGCGCAGTCGTTGCTGGTGCCTCTGGTGGCATTGGCCAGGTTTGTTCTCCCCCACCCCGCAAGAGCTAGAAACAGAGCTCTCTGTCTTGTATTGTGGACATGATACTTATTCAAATCCATTTCTAGCCCCTCTCGCTCCTCCTCAAGCTCTCCCCCCTCGTTGATGAGCTCGCTCTCTACGATGTTGTCAACACCCCCGGTGTTGCTGCTGACCTTTCCCACATCTCCTCCAAGGCCAAGATCTCTGGCCTTCTTCCTGCCGATGATGGTGCCAAGGTTGCTTTCAAGGATGCTGACATCATTGTCATCCCCGCCGGCATTCCCCGTAAGTCGAGCCATATTATCGTACTTTAGCGCCTGTGGTGGGGTGGAGACATTGAGTGCCGACGACTGAGCCGTCCTACTAACCCGAGGCTGATTAGGCAAGCCCGGTATGACCCGTGACGACCTTTTCAACATCAACGCCGGTATTGTCAAGGGCCTCATCGAGGTTGCCGCTGAGGTTGCTCCTAACGCCTTCATCCTCGTTATCTCCAACCCCGTCAACTCGACCGTCCCCATCTCTGCCGAGGTCCTCAAGGCCAAGGGTGTCTTCAACCCCCAGCGCCTCTTCGGTGTCACCACCCTCGATATCGTCCGTGCCGAGACTTTCGTCGCCGAGATCACCGGCAAGGCTACTTCTGAGCTGACCGTCCCCGTCATTGGCGGCCACTCTGGCGAGACCATCGTCCCCCTCTTCAGCCAGGTTACCCCCTCCGTCACCATTCCCGACGACAAGTACGAGGCTCTCGTCAAGCGCGTCCAGTTCGGTGGTGACGAGGTCGTCCAGGCCAAGAACGGCCTCGGCTCCGCCACCCTGTCCATGGCCTACGCCGGCTTCCGGTAGGCTCCGCCCCTCAGATAACACACTGCTCTTAATACATTTTCCACTAACTCCTGCCAAGATTCGCCGAGAAGGTCATCAAGGCCGCCAAGGGAGAGAAGGGTCTCGTCGAGCCCAGCTTCGTCTACCTCCCCGGCGTCCCCGGTGGTGCCGCCATCGCCGAGAAGACCGGCACCGAGTTCTTCTCCGTCCCCATCGAGCTCGGCGTAAGTTGTGGCCCTCCCCCTTAGTGGACCGTGATGGTCTTACTAACTATCGGACAGGTCAACGGTGCTGAGAAGGCTGTCGACGTCCTCGGCGACCTCACTGATAAGGAGAAGAAGCTGTTGGAGGCCGCCGTTACCGGACTCAAGGGAAACATCGAGAAGGGAGTCAACTTTGTCAAGAACCCCCCTCAAAAGTGAATAACCCCTACCTAAAAGTGATTTTTTGAAACAAGGCAGAATCGTGCATTACCGGACAGACGTCGAGCGGATAGATATAGCCGCATGGTAGTAGATGAAGCAAAGATCAAGACAAAAAAACAAATGAATGATGATTTTTTTTTTTTTATCTGACTGAGTGGCTGATTTGTTATCCTTCTTGTCATAGGCTGTGATTCAAGACTGATCCCGAATGCTGGAGGGAGGATGGTCATTCAAGCGGACCATTGGGTATGAGCCATGACTTTATGCGACGGAGTTGATGCAGAAAAGATGGTGCTGGGTTCCATAGAACACGAAAAACTATCGAGAATTGAAGATCATGTAATCATCTGCGGGTACATCAATGCAATGCAATGGCCAAGTCTATGCTAGCGACGGCGGTAATTCTACCCACGGCCCCTCGTTCCCCGGCAGAGGGCCCTGGCCGATGCGTTTAGGAGAGTGCGTAAGAGTAAATGAGATGCTATGAGATGGCCCAGGTTCCTCGTGCTACGATTTTTGGGGCAGCGTGATGATGCGGAAGATAGCCGCGGGCAATTCAATGTCTTCTGTATGGACCCTGGCGTTTATCCCCATTGCGGCGAGGGCGCCGCGTATTATCCCGCAATGAATTAGTAGGAACTATAGATGATTAGCCGTGTATTCCCCATATGAAAGAATCGCGGAAGTCTATGGACTTGGGAGGGGATTGCAGGGTGATATAAACGTACTGGTGCGGCTCGGACAACGGCTTGGCCGCCAGCTTCGGTGCTCATGCGTGATAATGGTCTGAAGGAGTTGTCTGTGAGAACGAAGACACCCTATTGTTAGAGAATCGGACAACAGTTAGCAGTCGTGTGCATAGGTCGGGATAGCCAAGGGGACGGAGGAGGGCCGGGAACGAAAACATACACTGTGGTTCGTTTTTAGGTTGTCGATCTGCTTCCTGAAGACGAGGGACCAGAGATCTTTGCATATGAACTTTATGACGTCTAGGGTGTCGTTGAAGCGTGGCCGATCTCGCGCGAACCTAGGCGAAGGAGATGTTAGCATCTTGGAAGGTTTGCAAAGGGGGATTCCCTCCTCGAGAGCTTGTCGCTGCCGTAATAGTTCGCAGCTGTCCCGAAGGAAAGGTCCCCAGAAAGGAGGCATGCAGGGGCGGCTATCCTGCCCCCGAGTAGGGATATGGAAGCATCCAAGAGCCCAGTGCCGCCGTTGGTATAACTAACCTCTCGACAATCCCCTGCCCCACGCGATACCCTAACATATCCAGCCTGTACGCCGCCGCTTCCCTCTTCTCCTCCTCATCTACCCTCCGCTCGGGGGGGGAACTGTTCGAGGTGTCACCATTAGACGAGGGTTCAGGCTCGGGTTCGAGTTCATTGGTAATCCGGTATGCGAGGGGGACTAGTTCTATGAGGAGGAAGTCGAAGCAGGAGACGTTGAGGAAGGTGGCGGTTGGGTCGGTGGAGTTGTAGGGAGGCATGACGGTCGTGCCAAAGGACATTTGTCTGGGAGGCTAGGCGTCGCGGTTGGGGGTTTGGGACTCGTGGCCTAGGGGCAGGCCCGAAGGGTTAGTGGTGTACGGAGATAGATGAAGGGTTCGCGCCTAGTTGGACCCGTCGTCGTTCGTTGTACTAGATAGAGTATGAGGGTCTCGAGGGTGTCGAGTCTGGGGGGGAGCCCGTATTCTCTATGTCGCGCTGGCGATGTCGAGGGGTGTCGATGGAACCTGTCGAATCCGAATGGTTTGCCGGAGGAGGTTTTGGGTTCGTGAGGCGTTTGGATATATACAGAAGGGTCCGTACTTTCGAATTGAGACACGGCGCTGGGATTCTCGGAGGTGTGTTGGGTTGACACTTTCAAATCGGATTGACGTTGTTAGGGAGCTTGGTGTGTAGAGCTCAGAGGAGTGCGCCTCGCCTATGGTGTAGCGCGGGGTCCCTGTCAGCACCGCTGAACGCACCCTTGGGCGCCCTCTTACTGGCTGCGCAAACTACGAAGTACTGATCGAACGTTGTCGGTGAGGATTTACCTGGCAGAATTTCAGAGCTTCGGATCAATATGAGATCCTGAGCTCACGAAAACAGTTCATCGAGTGGTTTGCAGGTCGTGATAATATATATTTCATCGTGAGAAGGAAAATATCAAAATACCCTAGCCTAGTTTTGTGTTGGATCATTCCATTCCATACCCTGCCGCAAAAGTCGACACCACTGGATTTGATAGAGAAAAAAAAAAAAAAAACCATGATACTCAAGAAGGACGCCAAAGAAATGATAGACCACATCACCCCCTTCATTTCCTGCCCTTCACCTTCCTATCGCCGTACTTGGGGAACACAATGCTGGACTTGCGCCGCTTCTTGAGCTTCAGCAACTTCTTGGCTGTCCGCCGTACTTCCGCCTTGTTCGCGGCACCATCGACGTCCATTTCTGGGGAAAAAAGTTAATACCACAATACCACACAATACACAGCATGTTTCAAAGCCTATGAGGCCTCACAGACTGTTTACTTGGGCCACAACTTACCCGTAGCTTCCTCAACTTGCTTTGAGTCGTCACCGTCTGGATGAGATGAGAAGAAGAGTTAGACCGAGACACCATGAACATTCCCCGAGGTTCGCAAAACAAACCATTTGATTCGAGATCATCCGCCTTCATTTCCGTATCCTTCTGAGGCTTCGGTTGGCTGGCGAGTTCCATCAACTTGGCGGATAGGCGTTCCAGCCTCGCCGACTCAGCGGGACCGAAGACATTGGACTTCAGCCGCTGGTTGTTGGTTTTCCTGGAACTGGATCTGAGACTCTTCGCCATTCTTGCTGTTTGGTGACTTAATATTCGATACGCTGATGAAAGGGTGGGCTGAAAAGGCCAACGGAGGTAATCAAAAATATCGATACTCGATCTTCTCAGAATCCGTTGGTTGTCTTGTTCCGAGCAGACTTATTGTCGTTGTCGAGATAGTGAGCCATTCATCAATGTTTGAAGCGGAAAAAAAGTCACGGATCCATGGTGGGGCGAAAATTAATTTCTGGGTACAACAATATTATGGCATTCTGGTATTACTCGGTACATTTTGGTGGTTGTGCTAAAAGTTCGCCTGTCGGGATCTAGCCTCAAGCTGCCGCCGCTTGACTCCTTCGGCTTGAACATCGAAAAGGACGATCGCCTAGACCTGCCACTCTAACTTCATAAAAGCCCGAAACACCTCAAGTACTCCATCAAGCCCATTGTAATTATTGCAATTCCAACAATTACGATTTATGTTGGCGGCAAGAGGAGGGACAGGAGGGAGACTAATAGTAGTTGAGCCAACCAGGAACAGGACACACCTAAGCGCCGACTCCCAAGCAAACACTTCCGATGTCGTGTAACCGCATCATGATGGGATTCAGGGGTTGGTAAGGTGAAGAGAGAGAAGACCAGCCGTTCGGCAGCAAATACATCAATAGTAGAATCCGTGGGGGAAGACTTAGACTTGTCCTTTCACAAATGCTCTCGGTCCTTCTCTCTTCAATCTCTCTCTAGATTACACAAGATCATGGGGGAAAAATCGTATTGATCATACGTGCACTCTCTTCGTTTGCTGTTCCTTACTACACCCTCCTCCCAACTCTCCCTCACTTCGTTCTCCTTGATCATAACATTCCAAAAAGCGAAATGATCGACGAGGAATGGAGATATTTCGCACCCAGCGGCGGCATTTGCCCCGGGGGGCCAAGCACATGGCATATCCTTGACTGGGATCAGCGACGCATCATTGCTGTGACAATGGACGAGGAACAGGAGAGTGAAGATCTTGCCATCGAACACCTCAAGAAACATATCGACGCTCTCGCCCCCGATGTATACGCCATCCATCTTTCGCCGGACGGCGAATTGACCTCGGTCTCCACCGATCCCGAAGACGATGTGACTATCTGCGAGTATCATCCTCCGCTAGAGGCGATTCAAGTCCCTGGCGATATCAAGACTGTGGTCCGTTCTGATCTCCTCGAGCTGGATCGACTTGGCCCAAATGTCGACCTTGTTTCGTATACGCCATGCGCCCACGCAGCCGAGACAAAGGTAGTCTTCAAGTACTACTTCATCTTCCAGTTCATCCACAGGCGGTGGCATGAAATGAACTTGTGGATGCGCCTCCCCTCGCATCCAAACATTGTGCCCATCGATAGGCTTGTGCTAGACGAACTTCGAAGGGGGTTCGTCGGATTTACGAGCCTTTACATCCCTGGCGGCACGGTATGGGAGAACACGGAGCGTGTGTTTAAGCTGAACTGGCTCCGGCAGTTGACTCTCGTCATCGACGACTTGAATCTCAAGTACGGCATTGCCCACCAGGACGTCGCTGCGCGGAATCTCCTTGTCAACCCGGAGACGGACGACCTCATGCTGTTCGACTTTAATTGGAGTGGCCGGATCGGTGTCCCTATCCTCGGTGGCCTCGGGTACATAAAAGACCGAGACGACGTAAAAGGTGTTATCTTTACTCTTTACGAAATCATCACCCGCGACACGCATTTCCAGTCGGTTCGTTGCGATCTACAAAACCCAGACGATGTAATGGGGCTGGAGGAATGGGTGCAGCATCCTGATGTCAAACTTGACCATCCCGTTTCGGAGTACCGCTCGGTATTAAACGAGTGGGTGAAGAAGAGACGGGAAGGGAAACAGATTGCCATTTATACAGAGGCACCCGAGTATATTGACTGGCCACCATTCCCGAATCCGCTCCCGACGGACGAGATATCCGGGGCCCCGCACGGGGAGTTCAACGTTGTACCAGGGGTCCCCCCGTGTAACATGCGCCGCTGCGATCGAGAGAAAGGCATTGAGGTTTTGAATTGGCAACGCCCTGCGCAAAACACACTTGGGAATGGAGGTCGCCTGCTCGCGAATGGTCAGTTTGCGCGTAGGAAGGAGTGTGTGAGTGCGGCTGGTCCAAAATAGTTAGCTAGGCGGCCGCCTAGGCTAATGCGTTTTGTGTGTCTGTTCCCCTTTGGCGTTATAAGTACCTTGAAGCGCTGGTCCCATTGAAAGCGAGGCATGCCGCCACTTTCCTAGTTATGGTTTATTTTATGCTTCAACAGTTCCTGCATGCTGCGTAGCTAGCTGCCTTGTGCCTCACTTGTCAGCCCTTCTTATACAGCAGCACCTACACCTGGAGCAATGCTCAACTTGTCCCAAACCTGCAATCCAGTGGGGGTGCCCGCAATGCCTGGCCTCTTAGTCTACTTCCAATTTCTCTAGTATTTCGTCGTCGCATTGTGCCGCACGAAGGATGGCATCCTCTGCACTCTGCGATCGTGTCCGCAAAGAGAAGGCACAAGGTTATAGCGAATCTCCCGGTCGATACGGACAATACATTGAGCCAACTATGCTCCGCTGAGATTCACGGATTCAAGCACTCGCAACATCCTCACGTTGGAGACTGCTGCCTCCAGCGCCGTGGCATCGGGCGACATCTTGCGTAGATAAGCCGTCTTCGTTTACAGAGAGAATATCCGGACTGATGATGATAATATAGGATTTGTTGAATTCCCGCTGAAGAGAAGATAACGTTTCTTGGGCCGACCATGCCAGTTTGTTGTGCGCGACACAGCTTCGCCGAAGCGATCGACCGACCAACCATAGTAATATTCACAGGCAGCCTGGGCTGGAGGCCACGACTAGCGGGCAGGTGCCTTAGCAGGAAGTTGGCGATCAATCCCCATGTTGCTTGCGAATAATTGGCATAATGTGGGCTCAAGAGGCGGGAGTCCGCCGAAAACCTTCCGCCGAAAAAAGCAATGAAGAAAATATATATTATTTGAAAATTAATTAATATGGAAATCGAATAAGTACTTATTCAATAGAAAGAGAGTTGATGGAAGAGGGGGAAAGAGGTTGGGGGGTTTTTAGAGTACTTGTGTTACTTGTGCTTGTTCCCACGGATTAGATTTTCTGCCGCCATCCACCGCCCAACTTCTAGTGACATCAAGCGACGACAGGGCTGCTCGACTACCCGCCTTGAGTAGAATCCCACGACCACGATCTCTCTACGTCCAGCATCCATCCGCCCGAATCCATCCTATCTACGGCTGCCTAGTTCTTCTAATTGGAGCACACAGAATTTTTGAGGGTATAGTAAGGAATTTGCCATCACCTCGCCCTTCACATCCGGGACAGACCCGACGAACTGACAGCGGAGAAACAGGTTCACGCAACTATGCCTCGAGAGAATACCTAGCAGAGAACACCAAAAAACCTCAGTCTTGAATCGCCGTCCGGATCTCAAAGACGCAGCCATTCGTGCATATGCCTTTTACCTCCGTTTATCCCGCGCCTTCCTATCGCTACACGAGTCTCCTCGAACCGCAGGTACAAGCGGCGCACCGGATCCACACATCCTCCTTCTCTTACTCTCTCAACTCTTGGGACACGACTTGTGTGGCTGTGGCTTAGCGTTGAAAGGGAGTTGGGGCAGAGGGGCTTTCTAGGACGTGCCTTCGCAGCCTTGACTGCCCTTTCACTTCCATCGACCTATTCCGCCCGATCAGGTCTCAGAATTAGGCATCAGAGTGTCTAGCCTCTGTCCTGTTCTCGTTTCTCGTTGCTCGCAAGCACAAAGGACGGTGCCCCCGTCAGCCTCTCGCGCCTTCCTAGCCCTCTTGATTCCTACAAATATCCACCCCGCGGAACCGAGAAGGACCTCTCTTCAGGGTCCTCGATCAAGACAGCTTTAAACATGTCGCAACCTGGCATATCGAACAGTGACGTTGCCGCATTGATAAAGATCGTCAATTCCAACACTCTACTTAACCGTCAGTTACAAGCGATATGTGGTGCTTTTGGCCAGGCGCGTGGCGGTGTCAAAGCTGAATTACGGGCTCGGGTCATTAATTGTGAGTTCGTTCTATGCCTTGAACTTGACTTAACTTCTCACATCTTCTCTACTTGCTAGTGATCATGGATACGTATAACAAACAGGATACGTCACGTTGGCGTGAGTTGAGAAAGAATATAGAGCAAAACACAGGAAGCCGACTTCCGCCCGCCCCCAACCCCCCTGTTCGCCAGCCAAGCTATCGCGACCCAGGGATGCTACAATATCAAGCACCATTTCAGCCCAGCTACGCCGCGAGGCCAACCCCAGCGTCGAGCTCGTCTGGGTCAATGGAGCTTGCATTCAGCCGAAGCCCCTTTTATGAGATCCGGAGCCTTGTTGGCGGAATCAAAAATTGTCCCGGTACGAACCTTTCCCATCTCACGCCGCACCCTAAACTGCATCTCACTTGACTAACGCATGATTCCTATGCATCCGTAGCTATGAGCAGTCATAGGAACTCTGTCATAGTTCCAATCAAGCTTGCGGATCACCCTGAGCTGCGGCAGTGTCTAGACGACAAGGCGTACCGAGTCATGGTATTCTGTGCCGGTGATGCCAATGGTACTCAAGACATCTCCTTCCCACATCAGTCGGAGTTGAAGGTGAATGGCGGTGAGGTGAAGGCGAATTTGCGGGGTTTGAAGAAGAAGCCTGGCTCTACACGGCCGGTTGACATCACCAGCCATCTACGCCTGCTTCCAAACTACACAAACAACGTGGAGCTAATATACGCGTTGACGACTAAGGTAAGAAGAGCACACAATCCCAAATGGCTCGATGAAACAATGTCGCGCACTGTCAATTCCCCTCCGGTTCCCAGTTTTTATTTCGGATTTTGTGTTCGGCCTCAAGAACTAGCCTCAACTAACCACCTTCTCTGGAAGCCGTATTATTTGGCGATTTACTTGTGTAAGACGGTTAGGACCGATGACCTTGTTGTCCGGATAAGGAACGGGCAGAAGATTTCGAAAGCTACAACACTCCGAGAATGTGAGTCGCAGGACTTTGCAGGACCACATTGCCATTTACACTTTTGAGCTGCCTGTTTATCACTAACACCTGGGGGGAATCGCAGTGGCCGAGAAGTCCAAGGATACGGAAATAGAGACGACTTCTCAAGTCATGTCTTTAAAATGCCCCCTTTCGTATATGCACCTCGAGTTGCCCGTCAGGGGGCTTGGTTGCACTCACATGCAATGCTTCGATGCCACGTCCTACCTTCAGTTGCAAGAGCAGGGGCCACAATGGGTTTGCCCAATCTGCAATCGGCCCGTGCCGTTCGAGCAGCTGGCTGTAGATGAGTAAGTGGATGCCTGTTTGACCTAACATGACCTTTGAGACAAGGACTCTCGCTAAGGGACTCATAGATATGTCCTGGACATTCTATCCAAAACGCCGCGGGATTTGGAGCAGGTAACCATTGAGCCGAATGGGGAATGGAAGATTCCCGGGCCGCAACGGGCGACGCCTAGAAAGAGCACGACGGCGAGCTTCGACATAATCGACGACATTGCCGAAATTTCAACGCCAAATGGGGCGAGGGCCATCAAAGCCTCATCCACTCCAAGCATGTCTGTCGGACCTAGTATTGGAACGCCGTCTATGGTTGATTCTCGAGAGGGCACGGCGCCACGGCCGTCTGGTGGAACAAGCACCAAGCGGCCAGCGCCGACGGTGATTGATCTCACACTTTCTTCCGACGACGAGGACTCAGCACCTCCTCCGCCCAAAAGACACCAGCCTGACTTCGGCGGTCTATCCGGCTATCCCACGAATGGTCATTTCTGAAGGAGGAATGGCTTTCGGGGTGTAGCCCTGGATTGGAAGGTGCGGTCTGAGATTCAGAATGGTACATATCTGAGGAACGGAATACCCTCTCTTCCTCCCCCTCCTCCTCCTCTTCTTCCTCGCCGACGCCGCCATAAAAGGAGGCGAAGAGCCAAGGATAGGCGAGGAGGGGGAGGACACTAGGTCGAATTCGTTGTTTCCTTTTTTTTTCTTTTTAGGAGCTCCTTGTAGGCTTGGTTGGAGCCTGCTTGAAGCGTTTTGCAGATACCCCGAGGACATTTTTCTGGCGCAAAAGGTAACGATGGAAATAGAGGCATTCGAAGATTAGGAATTAAAAAATAAAACTACGGACCAATTTTGAATCCGAATCGGGAATCGAAGTTCGAGTGAGCCTGATGATGTCCTGAGTGTAGCGAGTGTAGCGATGCATCGGCAAGTCGGCGCCGAATTCAGGGGACAGTGCATCACGTGATGCTTGGCAGGAACAGCCTGGACCTCTCGCTAATTAAACTACAACAAGGACAGACAAGTCATTCTCAGCTGCGACAAGTGGGTTCCTTGCTCGTGTTAGCAACGAGCTTCTGTCCAAAGCCAAGTCGTGGCTTGTTGTTCTTGGAAGAAGTGTCCCTCAAGGTTGCTCGACCGTGGTCACCCGTGAGTAAAGAAATTATCATCTTGCGTAGGGACACGATAGAAGTAAGTGTCTAGTTTCCCAAGTGAAGATCAGTGACACCGCGCTCCTCACTAACACCTTCACTACTCTCGCCCAAGGATCAATTAAGATTGGGGGCTCCGACTTATTGGATTGTGATCGTGAGATTGGCGGATTCACCGGAGTGAAGGCAAAATTAAACTCGCACCTCAAGCCTGCCATGGAGAGCGATTAAACCTCGTCCGATCTACTTTGTTTATTCTTTTTTTTTTCTTTTCCTTAGTTGGGCCTTCCGCCAAGCTGTTCCCAGCACATTTCGGAGTCCGAGAGTGAGCCAACACGGCCGTGTCCCGCGACGCTGGGTTTGCTATGGCGCGCCTTCTGTTGAAACCCTTTCTTGTGGGCGCCAACATTTTGATCCCTTTGGCGATACTTATCTTTGCGAGGGGATTCTTTCCTTATAAGCCGTTTATCCCTGGTCTTGCGCAGTATGAGAAACTAGAGTTTGAGAAGGTGCCCGAAGCACCCTTTGATCGGCTCATCTTTATGGTTATTGATGCCTTGAGGAGGTGAGAAATCTGGCCTTTCGCTCACTTAGCTTCTTAAAGGCCTTTTGGTCAACTGACGCTTCTGACTAGCGATTTTGTATATCTCGAGGATTCTGGCTTCGAGTACACCCAAGAGTAAGATGCATGAGCTCTTCTCCCTTGACAATTCTAAAGAGCACGAAACTCATATAGAATCAATTACAGTCTAATCCGAGATGGAGCCGCAATTCCTTTCACGGCATTCGCAAGGTCACCTACCGTGACCATGCCTAGGCTCAAGGCCATCACGACCGGCTCAATCCCGTCCTTCCTCGACGCCATCCTCAACATCGATGAGGGCGACACGACGTCGAGTTTGGCGGCGCAGGATACTTGGCTTGCGCAGATGAAGGCTAAGGGAACTGGAAAACTGCTTCTCTACGGCGACGACACGTGGCTGAAGCTTTTCCCTGAGACCTTCGATCGGCATGATGGGACGTCTAGCTTTTTCGTTGCTGTAAGTCGCGCTTGATACTATGCGGGCTTGACTCGGATTCCGTTTTTCTGACATGGAGTAGGACTACACCGAGGTTGACCATAATGTGACTCGGAATATTGCTGGCGAGCTTCAGAACCAGGATTGGAATACCATGATCCTCCATTATCTTGGTTTAGATCATATTGGCCATAAGTCCGGGCCCCGAAGGTGTGTTCTCCGCTTCTTCAACTCTGTTTCTGGGATCCTCGCGACTAACGCCGTGGTTTCTAGCTCAAATATGTTCCCGAAACAACGCGAGATGGATGGTATTGTTGAGCAACTGTATACTGCTATGAAAAGCCAAGAGCACCTTTCATCCACGCTACTCGTCGTGTGCGGAGATCACGGCATGAACGATGCCGGAAACCATGGTGCATCCTCTCCCGGAGAGACGTCTCCGGCCCTTCTCTTCATTTCTCCGAAGCTGAGGTCCATATCCTCCCGTCCGCAGACACCCGTGCCTTTCAAAGAAGATTTCAAGTACTACTCGACCGTCGAGCAATCTGATCTAGCTCCAACCCTCGCAGGATTGCTCGGCTTTCCAGTACCTCAGAATAACCTTGGTGCCTTTATCCCGGACTTTTTGCCACTTTGGGAACACAGTAGGCCATCTCGAATCTTACTCTCCGCTTGACGGGTTATCGGCTAATGTATTCTCTTAGAATCTGACCAGGTCCAACTTCTGATTCGCAATGCGAGGCAAATCCTCGGTGTTGCCGCCGCCGCCTTTGGGGAAGACTTGTTTGACCTCAACTCGGCATCTAACCCTTGCGCTGACGTGCGGAATGATGCACAGAGGCTAGCCTGTCAATGGCGTTCGATAAACATACAGCTTGCTTCTGCATCATCGCATGAAGAACTAGGCTCCGAATGGATTCGTGAGGTGACGGAGGTAGGAGACTCGGATTTCAAGTATCCCGGACCGCACTGACTTATGAATATAGTGGCTTCGAGACGCGCAAGATCTCATGAGCAACATGGCCAGTAACTACGATATGGGCAACATATTCTTGGCGGAAGCGATCATTGTGGTGGCTTGCGTTCTCTCAACGCTAGCCTTGCTTTGGTCTGGTCGCCCTCAGAAACGGTCTCTATTACCTTTCGCGTCAATCACCCTCGCATATGGCATTATGATGTTCGCCAGCAGTTACGTCGAGGAAGAGCACCACTTCTGGTACTGGGCGACTACAGCGTGGATTGGTATCCTGGTTGCTAAGTATAGGAAGAGGTGAGACTTAAGTCCCTCCCTCCCCCCCCCCAACAACAAAAAAAAAAGAAGATTTCTTCCCGCTGACAATAAGATCGCTTTAGCCATAGCGGTTTCGAAAACTGTATTTGGTTCACCTTGGTCATGACTGCCACGAGACTAGTCAGAGGCTGGAACCAGACAGGCCAGAAATTCGCCGGCAACCCCGATATCGTGAAGACTTTCATAGCCACCAACCCAAAGTTCCTCTGGCTCTTGGTGATGATCACGTACATCTGGCTCCAAGCGCGACTGCTGCGCCGGCTTCCCCAGATTATGCCCACTTGGATTGCCGTGCCGTTTGTGGTTGCCCTTGTGCTGACGGCATTTAGCTTCAAGCTCGCCTTCACCCATGAGGATTCTCCCGAATTGGTGGTTGAGCCCATGTCTGACCTGTATGCTGCCCTGCCGAACCTGTCGCTTATCACTCGGGCTAGACTTGTCTTCTACCAAGTCTGGATTATGGCTGTGTACGCTCTTGTGAACAGTCTTCGAGGTGGCCCCCAGGCGAAGATTGGCTTCGGTACGTCTGAGTTTTCGTTCTCTTTTGTTTCCAACCGTGCTGACCGAACAATTTCTAGAGCTACTTCACCACCTATACACCATCATAGCCCTCACCCAATCCCGCGTAACCAACATCCCCCTCTTCCTCCTCCACGCCCTCCAACTCCGCTTCCTCCAATCCCGCCCCCTCTCCATCCCCGACCTCACAATCTCCTCCCTCCTCCTCCAACATACGTCCTACTTCGCCTTCGGCGGCACAAACGCCATGTCCTCCGTCGACCTCTCAAGCGCCTACAACGGTGTCAGCGGCTTCAACGTCGTGGCCGTCGGCGTTCTCACCTTCATCAGCAACTGGGCGGCGCCCATCTACTGGAGCTCTGCGACGACACAACTCCTCACTTGTTCGAGAGGCGGCGACTCCCCCAAGGAGGAGAAGACTTCTCAGAGAGAGGAAGAGAGTACCGACGCGTTCACGCGGCATGTGACGTATCTCACGGCGTTTGTGGCGTGGAGCGTCCTGTTCGTCATGGTGGCTTGTACGGTGTTAAGGACGCATTTGTTCATTTGGACGGTGTTTTCGCCCAAGTATTTGTATTGCATTGCGTGGAGCTTGGGGCAGCATCTTGTTGTTAATGTGATAATTGGAGGTGTGATGTACTGGCTTGGGACTCGGAGCCAAGGGGGATAGAGGATGATAGGACGGGATCTTTAGAATAATATAGACAATACGCCGGTCTTCAAACCTACGATTTTCTTTTTGCGTAACACCCGTGGCTGAGTTATATATGCAATGGTTATTAGGTGGGAATTGATCTTCGTTATGGTAAGATGCCTCCTTCACTTGCTCTCTGAGCACCGGATAACTGAGCTCCTTTCATTTGGCAGGCGGAAAAATCGTAAACATAAACTGAAAGATTTAAGTATGTAAAACAACAGACCCATTAAAACTCGTTAACGCATCCCGTCTTCACAGCACCCATATCCCACATAAGAAAATCCCACCCAGTACCTCATTTCTACTCTGAACGACCATGAAACGTGAGAACGAAACCATACGCAAACACTGAACCAAAAGGGGGCAAAAAAAAAAAAAAAAAAAAGCTCCATCACTCCCCATCCGTAAGCAAATCATCGACCAAAGAATCCCCGTCCCGCTGAACAACCGTGACCTCCCCACTCACATCCTCCTCCTTAATCACCGGCTCCGCTGCAACGATCGTCTTCTCCTCCGAGAGCACCGTCCTGTCTTCGCTGCCGTAGACGGACGCCGACGCCGACACGGAGCGGCTGAGGCGTCTCGCGGCCGCGGACTCCTGCTGCTCGGTGAGGGTGTTGACGATCTTGCCGAGGCTGACGTGGATCTTGTACAGCGCGTTGCGGCTCGTGGCGTCGGTGAGGAGTTTGCTGTCGACAGCGGAGTCGACCGTTTCGTAGAGGTCGCGGATCTTTTCTTCTGTGGAGGCGGGGGAGATGTAGAGCTTGCCGAGGAGGGGGGCGATGACCTTCTTCTCGTCCTCTGTTGGGTTGGGGGAACAAAAGAAATTTAGTAAATCTGTAATTGATAGAGGTAGGTCAGGACGTGAAAACTTACTGCTCATGTTTCCGCTGAGCTTGTCCAGTATAGCCTGGGCGAAGTCAAGATGGACATCGCCATTGACATGCTTCTTCTCACTATCGAGCGAGAGGGTGGGGGAGTAACACTTGCGGGGATCTGTCCAGTCAACGAGACAGGCTCCAATGGTCGTCAAGCTCGCCATCTCCTCGTCCACATCGGCATCATCATCCTCAAGACCCTCGCGCACATTGAACAGGGAGTGGATGGCATCGAGAGCAATGCTTCCCATGAGCTCCTGGTTCTCTCGCCTGGAGTAACAGAACACGGGGAGGAAATAATTGAGGGCCTGCCTGACGGACTGATTGCTCGCCGTGGAGGGCTCGAAGTAGGCCACGATAAGGGTCTTCAGAAGCTCAGCCGAGGCCTCGGGGTCTGTCACGATGCGACCAAGGAGGAGCTTGGACGTGGCAAGAGTGGCTGCAGCTTGAACCTCGGGAGCTTTGGTTCCCGACTTCAGAGCTCGAATGTAGACTTTTAGTAGCGTCGGGTTAGCTGTGAGAAGTTGCGCGCCGTGCACGTTGAGAATGTCGGTAAGAATATGAAGGGCCGTGATCTGAAGCGCCGCATGACCCTTGGAGAAGAAGTGCATGAACAGCGTCAGATTCTCCTCAGCAAGCGCTTTGTCCAGTAGAGAACAGAGACCGAGGCAGACAAGGCCACGCTCCCTGACAGGCGCCTCGTGGCTCCTGACCGCGGGGACAACCAAGTTATTCAGCATGGATACAAGATGATCGTTCTGTTGAAGGTTGCCGCCGACGTTGGTAAGCATGCACTGGACGATGTGAAGACACTTCATGTTGATGACAATCTCCTTGATGGCCTTCTCTCGGGCTTCCTCTTCACTCAGTTCAACGCTCTTAGCGCGACTTCCGTTGTTGTTCACCGTGCTGGCGCTACTGACTTCCGATTTGGCCGAGTGGAAGCTGTCCTCAACGTCGTCCATGGGCGGGTCATCGACAATGGTGTCATGGACGTCCGCGACGGCTTCGAGGACGACGCTGCAGAATTCCCTCTCGCCCGCAGCGTCGGGGGAGCACATGTCCCTGAGGACGTCAACCGTCAACTTGGTAATTCCATCGGGCAACTCTGGGATCGACAACGTCTGGCGGAGAAGTGCAAACATCTTCCTACGGCCCACCTCATCCGAGTAATCCAGCGTCAGGGCGATATGCAAAAGTTGCTCGACAATGAATTCTTGATCGACTGTGTCTTCTTCCTCTTCCTCCTCGACGTCCTCGGCCTTGGCGATGCGTCGTAATGCTTCGAGCAAAGCGTTGATGTATCGTTCGAGGTAGAATGCGAGCTTCGTAACCTCGGGCAGCTTCTCCTCGACGAGACTCTCGTATTTTCCGTTGCCCTCGCTCCGGCAGAAGTCGTTGAAACTGCGCGCCATAAACACTGACTCTGCTGACAATGTCTCCCAGAAGTTATCGTCAAAGGCTACGGCATCCCGGTAGTCGGGCCGTCCTTCCCAGAACCCTTTCATAGCCTCAAGCGCAACGCCATTCTCGACGGCCGAGTTGACGACATCGATGCGCTCGAGCAGCTCTAGCAGACCGTCGAAGCTGGGTGGCGATGGCTCCTGCACACCATTCTCGGCGGGTGGTACTCCAGCACAATCTTCAATCCACCTTTCCCGGAACAGCCTTGCAGCGGCCTTGCGCACATTCTCGTCGCGGTCGCGCAGGCCCCATCGTAGGAGCTTCTCCCTCATGGAGAGTGAGAGATGGCGGAAATCACCAAGGGCGGGGAGAAGGCGTGAGTAGACGGCCCTTCGAGTAGCCGCATCTTGATCACGAGCACGCTCGAGAAGGTAAGGAAGAGTACTGGGAAGGATTGGAAGGTTCACGAGAAGCGACCTCCTCACGTCCGCACTCGGATCGTTCTGGAGAACTTCTAGGAGCTTTTCTAGGAGGCCGGCGCTTGCGTCATCGTCGCTCTCATCCGAGTTGGCGCATTCGTCGCCCTGGTTACCCGCGAGACGACCAAGACCGAGGACGGCCTGTGCGCGGACCATGGCTTCTTTGTCACGGATTCTCCTAAGCAGACCGTGCCTTAGCCTTTGGAAGAGCTCATCATCAATGGCGTCGAGAGAGTTGACGACGTGTGATATCAGCTGCGTCGACCGATACCGCACAAACTTGTCTTTGCTAGTGAGAAGTGGGAGGATGGTATCAAGAAGGAGGGTGGTTAGTTTCGTGCTGGGCGTCTCAGGCATAACACTCGCGTCTTGGTCAATGTCGCCGAGGAGCTCGTTGTCCTTGTCGCTAGCATGCCGTAAGAAGAGTCCAACGAATCTAACAATTTTCTCTCCTACGCTCTCGGCCTTCTTGACTGGCATAATCCTCAAGACGCACCGCACGAACTCGACGTTGAAATCTTGTTCATCGAAATCGCCGGGCGTTTGCTTCTTGGAACTGGCGGGTTCGTAGCAGCAGGCCTCCTGCAATTTGCGGAGGTTGACTACCAGCTTTCTGTGGGACACTGTGGTCTTCTGCGCGTCGCGGAAGATGGCCGCGACTTTCGGCCGCAATCCATTTTCTGGGGTCTCGGTGGGAATGTCGACAATTGCGGATGAGGCGCGCGATGCAGTGGACGCTCGTGGTTCTGCCCCTGATGTCTTGCGCGAGGCCGCGGTCGAGGTTCTCGTGGACCGAGTGGAGGCTCGGGCTGGCATTGTGGAAACGAGTATTGACAGCGAGATTATTATTCACTATATTCGTCGACAGTATCTTCTGTTCCTTATGAAAACTGTGCTACCTAATGCCCAGAGCTGGTAGGCTGGTAGTTATCGTCGTTGATGGTATCGTTTAGACGTCAAATTTGAGATTGATCTGAGGGGGGGCCATTGTATACATCAACGGTTGATGTTGCCAGTAACGCGAAGCTTGATTGTTTGCGCCGCGCTTTGTCAACAAACTTCCAGATTTGGAATGGAGCCTCGTTTGATGCATATTCTACCCCACTCTGATACAACGGCCTGGAGAGTGCCTGTCTAGAGCCGGAAAATAATCGGCAATATCACGATAAGAAGTCTAAGAATTCCTTATCGGAGATTTCTTCGACCTTTTTTTTTTTTCTGAGAAAATATGTGGGGGGAAATTTCATAGATCCCATTGAAGGGAACTTCAACTCAAGCCGACCGCAAGCTGGCCAGATTTTTTCCCCCCTCTAATCCCATTTCTAGAGGCCGTTGCGGATTACTTCTATTCTTTTCTTAATATTTTTGATCACTAGTCAGGATGGCGCCCTCACCAAGTACCCGAAAGCGCCAGCGGGACCAACCCGAAATCGAAGACCCAGCTCTTCAAGAGCTCATCAAAGCCGACACCATCCCCGAGAATGATGATAGAGTCTCGAAGAGGCAGAGAATCGAGGGCCGGCGATCGCTCTTTGTGAGGTCTCTGCCACAGGGCGCCACCAGCGAAAGCCTCACAGAGTTCTTCTCTCAGCACTACCCTGTGAAGCACTCCATTGTCGTCGTCGACCAGAAAACGAAAGAGTCCAGGGGCTACGGCTTCGTCACATTCGCCGATGCAGATGATGCCAAGGAAGCCAAGGAGAAGCTTGACAAGGTCGAATGGGAAGGAAAGAAACTTAGGATCGAGATTGCTGAGCCTCGGCACCGTGAAAAGGGAAGCGATGGCCCACCTGTGGATAGCGAAAAAGCGAAGAGAATTGCCATGCTGGAGGAGACCCGACGTCCCGCCAAGCTAATTATCCGAAATTTGCCATGGTCTATCAAGAAGCCGCAGCAGTTGGCCCGTATCTTTCAAAGTTTCGGCAAGATCAAGTATGCGGATCTTCCCAATACGAACGGGAAGCTGAAAGGTTTCGGTTTCATTACGTTCCGGAAGAGAGCACATGCAGAGAAAGCCAAGGAGACCGTTAATGGGAAGGAAGTCGATGGCAGAGCTATTGAGGTTGAGTGGGCCGTTGATAAGAATATTTGGGAGGGACAGGCCGAAGAGGACGAACCCGAGAAGAAAGATGGGAAAAAGAAGAAGGACGAGAAGAAATCCGAGGCCAGCAATGAAAAGGCCAAGCCCAACGCTTCGGAAAGGGAGAGGACCCCCACTGCCGATGAGGATCTAGCCAACTTTTTGATGAACCACATCGATGACCTTGAATCGGAGTCTGATCAGGAAGACCTGAATGAAGAGGAGCTAGAGATCGACTCAGACCCGGAAAATGATGATGACTCCGACGACTCCGACGACGAAGCTAACCCTGATGCGGACACGGATGACGACGATGGCGGCGCTCCTGTCTCAACCAATGACAACAAGAAGAAGCAATTGATGACGGACAATTCTTCAACAGTATTCGTCAGGAATCTCCCCTACACGGCAACCGATGAACAACTCAAATCATTTTTCTCTCACTTTGGCCCGGTCCGATATGCTCGCGTCGTGATTGAGAAGTCTACTGGCCGAGCTGCTGGGACAGGCTTTGTATGCTTCGTCAAGCAGGAGGACTGCAAGGCCTGCATACGCAACGCTCCCCGCCATGAACCAAAGACGATCAACATCGGCGGCAGCCTTAAACACTCGATCCTTCACGACGAGTCCATCGACCCCAATGGCAAGTACACGCTCGAAGGCCGGGTGCTTCAGGTCGCCCAAGCCGTGAGCAAGGACGAAGCCGGCCGTTTCGCGGAGCCCGAGGACAAGAAGGCGAAGGACAAGCGTCGCCTTTTCCTACTATCCGAAGGTATGATTGACAAGAGGTCTCCACTATACAACTTGCTGGCGCCCTCTGAGGTCAAGATGCGAGAGGCGAGTTTGGCTCAGCGGAAGAAGCTCGTCCAGGGCAATCCGACCCTCCATCTGAGCCTTACTCGTCTTGCCATTCGAAACATTCCGAGAAATATGACTACCAAGGAGCTGAAGGAGCTGGCCCGCAAGGCCATCGTCGGATTTGCCGTTGATGTCAAGGAGGGTCGCAGACAGCCGCTCTCGAAGGAGGAAATCGCCCGTGGCGGTGAAGAAGAGAGGGAAGCCGAACACCAGAGGAAGCTCAAGAACAAGGGCGTCGTCAAGCAGGTGAAGTTGGTTTACGAGACGAAGGACGGATCAAAGGCCTCTGTGGAAGAGGGCGCCAAGAGTCGTGGCTACGGATTCATCGAATTCTGGTCTCATCGATGTGCTCTCATGGGTCTTCGATACATGAACGGCTACCAGCTACAGGATGACAGGGGAAAGAAGCAGAGGCTCATTGTCGAGTTCTCCATTGAGAATGCGCAAGTCGTTAACCGGAGGAAGGCCTTGGAGGCCAAGAGCCGCGATAAGACACAACCGCCCCACGAGAAAAATACCACTACAAAGTCTCACAAGGCCGGCGGAAAAGGAGCTTTTGGGCCTGATAGCAATAAGAATTCGCAACAGAGGGAAGGGAAAGGACCTCGAGGAGCTGACAGGCGAAAGGGAAAGCATGGTGACGGGGAGGAGAGGACCAAAGGCGGCCAGAGCAAGGAGGAGAGGAACCAGGAACGAAAGGACGACGTAAAGCAGCAGTTGATTGCACGGAAGAGGATGATGAAAAAGAAGAAGGCCAAGTCACGGGGCTAGTCTGTCTGTAGTGGTGGAAAAGTGCGCAAAGGCTGTTTGGTATTTTTGTGTGCGGGAGTCATGAAGCATCTTGTATCTAGCATCGAGCTCAATACGAAGGAAGGAGCCCCCAGAGCCACCCATCCGAACCCGATTTAACTATATAGCTCCAAACAAAGCCCGGCGCTCTCAAGGGATTCGCCAGCTAAGCTGCTGTTTAATACCCGTCCCTCTTGGCAGCTGGTTGAAAGCGCTCGAGGTTACTCCGGTTCGAACCCAGTTCGGACCAGAGTGTAATGGGATTTTTCTAGTAAGCTGGCAACGGCGGGTCCCGAATATTTTTTTTCCTGATTTTCTATTTTTATTTTTATTCTGCTTCCTTGTTTTCTTTTTCCTCTATCGATTGCATTATACGTTTTCCTTCAAGAAGTGGAAGAATATCTTGTCTCCTTTTAGGAGTCGGTGTTCAGAAATGAACTCTCCAGTAAAACTACGTCGATATTTCTTGTAAATTGATGGAATAGAATAGGCTGGACGATCGAGAACAAGTACCCCATGCTTTAGAAAAAAACACATTGCTTCAACTCTTTCAAAAGTCATACACGATTGCAGATGTGATACAGGAGATATATACATTGGTGGTATGCTGAATCTGACGTGGAGGGGAGACTTAGAACCAATTTTGTAATCTGTTAGAGCAGGCAAGGGGGGGTGAAAACTCCAAACCAAAACCAGATCCAAGGACACCAGTAGCAAGACACGATGATCTATTCCGGAGTTCCGAGGCCTTATTTCCAGAACCACCCCGAGTTTCCGTCCGAATCTGAAACGTTCTTGCTGTCCTTAGTGTTATTGTTTCCTCCGGGGCCGTCCGGGTTGTGCTTCGATCCCTCGAGTCGAGGCTGCTCTTTCTCCCGATCCGGAGGCGGACTATGTACCCGAACATGGACCTCCCTGCCAATTTCCCGTCCTTCTTTGTCGAGTGTACGTATCGTGCGCTTAACGTGAATATTTCCGTACTCATCCGTATACTCCTCCTTCTCCTCCACCTTCTCGCCCTTTTGGCTACCGTTGACGGAATCGTAGGAGGATGACCAGGAGGATGACCAGGAGGAGGAGTGGGAGCTGCTCTTGTGGATCTCTGACACGCCGTCACGCGCTAGCTTTATTAGTGTGCTCAGCGACTTTGCGCCCTGCGAGAAGGCAGACGAGAGCGAGGAATACAAGTCGTCAAACGTATCGGGCTCCTCGCCCTTCTCGGCCTTGTCGGCCTTCTCCTTGTTCTTCGAAGCCGAGAATTGGTTCTCGATTGAGTGGAAAAGACGGTCTAGATCCTCGAAGAGGCTGTGGCGTGGCCAGCGCCTCGATTCCCGATCTTTGCCTTCGGAGTTCGAGTCCGAGTCGGAGAACCACCTGTCCTCCGATTTCCTTGCCTCCTCCGCGGCGCGTGAAAACTCCCGATGAATAGAATCCCAGACGTCATGCGACCAGATGGGTCGAGGGGAGAAGGGTATGAAGTTGCTATTGTCGAGGAGTCTTTGTGAATGTAATCTCCGGACCCAGAAGGAGGAGTCCTCGCCATCAGGGTACATCTCCCGGAGCATCTTGCGCATTTGGTAGCGTTGATTTATATCCATGAGCTGTCTTCCGGAGACGACATGGAGAAGGTCTTCGAAAGCGTCCTCGAAGGTGAAGGTGCCATCTTGGAGCTCGAGGGGCGCATCGTTAGGAATGGGTTGGGGTAGATAATGGAGGTTAAGAGGGGAGTAAGGTGAGGTAGTGGCCCAGAAGAGCCAGGCAAACTGGTCCGGAGCATCCATGGTTGATGGAACGAAAGGACGTGTCGTTCGCTGAAGTGTTTGACGTGATGTCGGATAAATCTCGTAAGAAGTGGTTGAAGAGTGCGGGGAGAGGCACTCAGATATTTGATATAATCAATTGACTTAGACGCTGTCTTGGAATTAATACACTCGTTAGCCTCCGAGGCTATCGTTGGTCTGAGATGCCAATACAGGGGAACAGACGCAGAATGATTCCTCCCGTAAGAAAATATAGATATGAAAGAATGGATAGGCTGAATACAATTCTGGGATGGGAGGGATTGATGGGACTCGAGATGTCTCGTCGTCATGAGATATGGCTCGATTATAAGACGTCGGGCGGCAGCACTTCACGTGATACCAATGAATGTGCTGAGCGGGATCTGATCCATGGAAGTTGGCAGAATGTTTCGGCGGAGCGTCCGGCAGAAGAGTGGAATATTAGGTCATGGTCTCATGGAACAGCCCAAGGAACAGCCTGTGGAAGAGCCCGTGGAGCTGAACGGTTGCTGGAGCTGGTGGGTGGCGGACACCTGCAGCCGGGTGCAAAACTAGGCCTGGTCACAGAAGGGTCCCGCCTCAAGCCTAAAGGGAAGCCGCCAGGCGGAAAAACTACTTCGTACTTCGTAATAGTTCGTACTTCGTAGTTCGTACCGCTAAAATACGACCCTGGCTCATTGACATTTGACGTCCGTTGGTGAATTGGAACCACCAAATGGGCTGCTGCATTGATGCAAACCAAGCCGGCTGGCCGATCATGAAATCTCACGAATGCCAAGAAAGCCCACTACTATTACCACCTGCAAGAACCTCATCATCGTCATCGACCTTATCGCATCAGAGAGGCTCTCCCATATCGCCATCGCCTCGTGGCCTTCAACCCGCCGCATGCACCGAACCGATAAATGCTGCTGACATCGATTTAACAATTTTCTTTGTCCGTCTAGACCTCGTCGGCTAATCCAAGCGCGAATTTCCCCCCCTTCTTTGACCGAACTTGCTTTGCGCGGGCCCGATCCTTCTACGCTCCTCGACGCCCCCCTCCCGCACCACGCATCCCTTCCAGATGGGATTTTTAGAGTCGCGAAACGATTCTCCGTTATCGAGTTGTGTGTGAGAGTAGGGACACTCTACCATCAGGCCGTTTCCGGCCACCCGGCGCGAGCCTAGCTCGCCAGCAGCACTTTCCTCTCTGGCCTACGATTGGCAATTCGCCGAGAGCTTGACTTTCGGTGCCCACGATGGCTCTCCTGTTCACGAGCGGCTTCGCCGGCGTATACTCGAATACGACCTTGACGGACCCTCCAGACGACCAACCCCCCGACGAGGAGCTTCGGAATTGGTCCTCACTGATAGGCATCGTGACGGCAATCGTCGGCAATGTGCTCATCGCCTTGGCCCTTAACGTGCAGAGGTATGCACATATCAGGCTCCATCGCGAACGCCACAGGATAAAAGAGCAAGCGAGACAGGCCGAGCGACGGGCGAAGCATTCGTCTTACAACGCTTCGTACTATGGGGCTTTTGACAGCAACGGCTCTCCGGCAGAGTCACCTGCGAGGAACGGTCTAGTCGATTATGACCCTCCCAGCGGCGATAACGGGCCCAGTGCTCGTCGGCCGTCACAAGCTAGGCCTGCGCCTATCTCGCGGACCACCTCCGAGCTATCAGATCCTCCGTCCTCCTCGTATCTAAAGTCTACGTATTGGTGGTTGGGACAGGTCCTGATTACGCTGGGCGAGATGGGCAATTTCCTAGCCTACGGCTTTGCCCCTGCCTCTATCGTGTCGCCGCTCGGCGTGGTGGCCTTGATATCCAACTGCATCATTGCCCCGATGCTGTTCAACGAGAAGTTTAGACAAAGGGATTTCTGGGGCGTCGTTATTGCTGTTGGCGGCGTGGTGACGGTCGTGCTAAGCGCGAGCCAGCAAGAGGCCAAGCTGGATCCTCATGACGTGTGGGATGCAATTACGACGCTCGAGTTCGAAATCTATCTAGCCGTGACAGTTTTTCTCATAATACTCTTGATGTGGATGAGCTCCACAATTGCCAACCGTACTATTCTAGTTGACCTGGGGCTGGTTGGCCTATTTGGTATGTCGCAAGTCCCAAGTCTCAGGCTCTTGATGAATTCGAGATGAAGAAGCCATCCTGCAAGCCGAGTCCCCTCATACTAACATCGAAATCCGACTTAGGTGGCTACACTGCACTAGCTACTAAGGGTGTCTCGTCCATGCTCTCTTCTACGCTATGGAGAGCTTTTACGACACCAGTGACGTATGCTCTTCTTCTTATTCTTCTTGTCACGGCGATCATGCAAATCCGATATCTAAACAAGGCGTTGCAACGATACGACTCAACTGTGGTTATCCCGATTCAATTTGTCATGTTTACGCTATGCGTTATTATTGGTAGCGCTGTGCTCTACCGAGACTTTGAGAGCACAACTGTGACCCGGGCTATCAAGTTTGTTGGCGGTTGTCTCTTGACCTTTTTCGGAGTGTTCTTAATCACGAGTGGACGGCCACCCCGACACGACGATGACGAGGAATTTTACCACGATCTCGACGACGCGGAGGAGGCTATTGGGCTCCTCGAGCAAGACCAGACCGGCTCCAGCAGCTCTGTGCGATCGCGCAGGTCATCCCGGTCGTCTCGATCATCTCGGATTAATTTTACAGACGCCTTTGTCAAGCCATTCAGCATCCAGCGCGACAGCGGCGTCCCGACACTCCGGGCCCCTATTTCGGGAGCACCCAAACTGTCGTCATCGAACGACGTCGGACAGTCGGCGCCTCATCCCTGGCGCGCATTGTACGATGATGACATCAGCGCAACCCACCACACACAATCGCTACGAGATCCAGCCATGCCGCGCCTTTCCAGGGAAAACTCAGCGACGTCGGATAGGCTCTTTACGGAGCCGTCGACGCCACGGAACGGCGGCGCGGGGTCCCTTCAACAATATGTTGACGACCAACAACAGCAACAACAACAACAACCATTACTAACACAACAACCAACAACGCCGACGCCAAGGCCGTCGACGGCTAAACTTCACAACCGACACCTTAACGGCCCGTTGATATCACCGTCTCCCCTATCCTCAACGGTCTCGGCCGTGGTAAAGGATACTTTGAGGCGACATGGGGACAATCCCATGATGCACAATACGTCGCTGAGCCGGATCAGGTCGAGCATCAGGGCGAGCTTATACATTTCCGACGACGACGAGGAAGGGCATGAGGAGAGGCGGGGGAGCGGTGCGAGGGAGCCGCTCTTTGGAGACTTAACAGATGTTGAGGAGGGCAGTTCGCTGGCGGAGGGCCGCGATCGCCCGGATGACCATGAAGCGAAGAAGAGGACTCGGAGTCTTAGTGATACCCTGGGTGAGCTTTTCAAGATTAAGAGGAGGAGGGAAGACGAACATGGAGATGGCGGCGAAGAAGAGGATGGCGACGCTGGATCTGATGATAGATGAGTTTCTATCTTGATCGTATATTGTGGGACTTACTAGGTGGCTTTTTTTTTTTTTTTTTTGCTGTTTTCACTCTCCTTCTCCTTTCATTTTGCCCTCATTTTTCTCTTCTTTCTGTCTTCTAATAGCGGGCAAGGCATCCATTTGCATCCAAACTGAACTGATATTACTAGAATATTTAGACATAATCTTTTGTTTTGATAGTTGAGCGGTTGTAACAAGCAGGCGGAGCAAATGTCATTCCAACAGGGATTTCTGCCGACTCCCATTCTCCATCCCCGTGTTGTTGTCTTTCGGCCCATGTGATTGACGATCTCGCTGAGCTCCTCGGTATCCGCCTCCGATTCTCACATCTGATTGCAGATCGGCGCCAGACCGACGCCTCTTTCTCTGTCTTTCATAACCAAATCGAGCGTCGTGCATTTACAGTTTCGAAGCAGGACAGAAGAAGAAAGCAGGCCCGAGGAGATGGAAATAGGGAAAACTTGGCATCGACTCGGTTCCCTCCATCCGGTGGGTTATGAAGCCACGAAGGTGGCATTTTTCCCCAGACCATCCCCAGACGCCCCCGGATCTAGGCATCTCTTGCATGCGGACTCTGCCGCATGCTTAGTCTCGTTGCCGCGTGCCATTTTACGAAAAGAATCCGGGGAAGGGATAGAAAAATTACGGGGTTTTAGCCTCGCCTCACCTCACCTCACCTTATCCTAGGGCGGCCAGCTGGACCTTTTTTTCTTTTACGATTTCGCTCTTTCCCTACTCCGGTGACTGGAACGAGATGTCTTGCATATTCTGGAACCGGTGGACGGCCTAGAGTAGACGTGGGCCGAAGTGGAAAGAGGTTGCATTGCTTTGCCCTTCGGCCCATTGACTCCATTCTCACGATATTTTCTGGGGATGGTTTGGACGACCTCTGCGCCTCCCCTACTTCGTAAGACCAAACCTACGAAGTATACGGAGTGCGATTCCGAACCTAGGCCAAGCTTAGTACTTCGTACAGATACGCAGTCCCTTTCTAGATAACTTGCATGGAATCGAAGGAAGGATTCGTAGCTCTCCTGCAGCGGGACGCAATATCACGTTTCTTCTCTTGCAGTCTTACTGCAGGACTGCAGAGAGAGGAAAAAAAGAAAAGAAAAAAAGTTTACCGGTGGCTGGCGGAAGCCCAAAGCGAATCAGTGGCTCACCAACCCCCCGTTACATCAAGACCATGATGCCAATTTCGACTCGATGCAGCTCCTACAGCGAAGGGAAAGGGCTCTTACTCTCTCCCTCCGACTTCGTAGTCATAGCTGCCCTCTGCCTTCGCCACGAGCTTTTGGGACGGGACAGGCTGCGACGTTGTAGGACAGTCGACCTTTCCGTCTGCATCCTGAAGGATTCCCAAAGTTCGGGTTGGCGGGAAGAGAATGACGCGCACACCAGACGTCTTCTTTTTCCCTCGCTTCCCCTGTGATTATGAGCTTTTTCGGTAGAAGGAAAAAGATTACAGGCTGAGGCGAGCTGCAACTCCTTCCCACGATGCTACCGTGGGAAATCCTCTCCGCAACCACACGTTTTCGGGCTGGCGGGAGCGAGCAGCGCAGACCATTGTTTGACTTGTGGGAGGGACGGGATGAAGGAGAAGGGAATGTTTGTGGTCGTCGCACGCTTTCTTTTTTGTCTGTGGAACAGTGGGCGTTCGATAGTGCGACTGCACGAACGTGGCATTTTGTGCCTTGCTTATTGAGATGGGACGGGAAAAAGCGTGGGATGAAACGTCGAAGCTGCCATTCTCACACCATGAGGAAAAAGTGTTGGTGTTTTTTTCTTGGAGGGGGCGTGGATGGTTTCAGTGCGAAGTAGGGATCGGCGTGGCAAGCCACACCCAGACATTGACAAGATGGGGCGGCGAATTCGATTTGGTGGTTGATATTGGGGATCTGGGATGTTGCCTGGGGGAGAGAGAGCATGGACATGGACTCGATGCCGCACCGAGGTAATTTCACTCATTTTCATGATAGTTTGCTGAGTTACTTGGAGGACTACGGTTCAGGAGAAGGAAGATCCCAATTCCTCTCCCCGGGCGGCTAGAGAAAAGTTGCCCGGCTCGATGAGCATTGAGAATCCTCTACCCAGCAACCCCAGTCGACCGAGATGTAACCCACCGCCCGATGTTGCTTGCTCCCTTCGAAGGCTCGAGGCATCAAGGATGTATTTATTATGAGCTGGTTGAACTAGTTCCAAGGTTTTTGGCACAACCCGTTGTGCTGGGGAGAAAAGTGCCGCCCAGCTGTAAAATTAGCCCGGTGATAAGTTATCTCGTTTCCAAACATTTGCGCGGGCACGGCTTCGCTTGGTGCCGTCTTTTACCAAAGTTATCATCGACTATTATTATTATTCGCATTCCAGGTTATAGGAATGCCTGCTCGTAAGCGAGACGGTACGACAGCTTGGAGCTCGCCAATGGATAGCAACATTGAGATAACCGAAAGATTGCGTCAATGGCAATGCGCACTGCGTGGTCAGTCCACTTGGCCGCGGTATCTCGTGCGGGAAGGTGCCAACGACGCGCCCTCGCCTGCCACATTGAGAGAAATAGGAGAATGATCAACAGTTCCAAGTTTGAACCTGTATCGCATTGCGTCTGCTATGCTGTATTACTTCGGAGTTCGGACGAAGCACGAAGCGAGGTAATACGACAGAAGAATTGGGAAGAGAAGAAGAAAACGAAAACCGGTCCCCCCCTTGCGTTCAATTGTCGACTTTGGATGGTTGGAGACAGGGGGTCCTCTCATTGCTCTTTGCGCACGGGCGGGTTCACGTTAGTCCTGACTGGTCCATCATCGACATGGGCACACAGTCGGCTTGCCATGGTGGACATTGGACGATGGAACGATGGACAAGGAATAATAGTTAAGTTTGTATTGTTGTACAGGTGGCTGAGGGGCAAACTCCTCGTTCACTTCACTCCTCTGGTACTCTTCGAAGTGTACGAAGTTGTTTACTTCGTACACTAGTGCTACGGGATGCCGGTACCGGGGAGAGATAGTGGGATGGGAATCCGTTCTTGTTGCTCCATGAATCTCAATGACGATCCTGATAGACATGGGTTGTAGATGGCTGGCAGGGCCCAGGGGTTACCTGTGGTTCTCTCGCTGCGGTGAGCACTTACTTGCACTGGGCATTGCAAAGGAATTCAATACACTACACAGGTATGTCAGTCCAAATCCAGAAGCTGGCGAGCTGCTCACTGGCAGCAGAATATGACGAAATCGGCAGGTTCGTGGGGGCTCCTGCATCTGAAAAGGAATCCTGCGGATATTGATCTTGTCCTCGTCAATATTTGATGTCCGACTTACACACTAATGTATGTGCAGGAGTGAATAGTTCACTCAAGGATCAACATCAGCAAGGGCTTCGCTTCGTACTGCGACTGTTTTCATACATAGTCAGCCCTTGTTCTTGACCGATGTGATAATGTGATGATACCCTATCATGGCACCAGAATGCCAGGTTCAGTCCCTGCCGCCACAGACCAGGGGTAAAGCAAGCTCCACGACGAAGCCGAGTCTGGAGAGACAGAGGCACAGGTCGCTCGAAGCTCAGAGCACAAGACTTGTCATGTCGGAGCCTCGGAGGGATGTGGAGGGCAAAGTCGACAGATTCTAGAATAAGATGGACCCAAAAACCGCGCAATCTGGAGTCTCCGACATCCCCCCAAATGACCCCCGTGCGCCAGGCTGGCCAGGCTAGTAGCTGAAACAGCTACACTAGTTTCCTTCAACGCAGGCGTCCCGAGTAAGCAAGCATCTAGGGCTCAAACGAGTTAGCGACAGATATCTGTTCATGTTTGTTTCTATTCTGTATTAAGGATTATATTTTTGGGTTCTGGAGCATCGTTTTTTGCTACCGAGCGATGTCGTTGAACGGAATTAGAACCGAGGGTGGACATGCAGCATCAATGCACGTCGAGCTCATCAAAAGCCATAGCTCTAAGCTGCAAGCTCTTGCATAGCTAATTTGAGACGAGGATACAGATTGTTGGAAAATTCCCTCTTCCTTCTTCTCTTTTCGCTTATTCGTAAACGTGATAGGCTGTTTCCATATTCGGATTCGAGCACTTGCATTTCTCGACTCTTTTGGAAGGCCTTGGAAGGCCGTGCAAGACCTGCGTCAAGCGGGATTGATTGCCTTAGGGAGGACGATTGATCATTGAGAGAGTTCCATCTTGGAGCTTGAGCTATTATGCAGTGTTATTGATGATGACTTTATGCACTAGAGATGTGCACTAGGCAACGGGCACTATTAGCACAACTGTCAATAGTTTGGCCCCCAAATGGTAAGTGAGCACGTTTCTCCTCCACGCTTGACATGGACACTACAGGTCGCAGTCACAGGTACAGTCCTTTCGCAGTGTAGTGTGCTCATACAAGGCCGCATCGCACGATAGTCGTCACTCTCGTCCTCCGTAAACAATCCCGATCCCACGTTGAACTACGAAGTAGTGCAACTTGATATGATTGCAACGATTGAGGACAAACAACCTCCAAAGCTAAACCTCTCCAGGCCTCCCCTGAATAGAACATTGAAGGACTGCGCTCTCAGGTCAGCGTTCCTAGCTCCTCGATTGCCGCCAGCCTTTCCCTGCTAAACCGCCCCCCGCTCCGGAAACCCCGCTGTCGCTCCAAGGATCCTCCCTTTAACAGGATGGATCAGTTTGCTCAGGCACAAGATACACTAAAATGTCGTTGGGCTCAGGCGGTCAGACACTGATGATTCGCGCCCCCAACTGTCAAAAAGTGCAGTGGGACCAGCACGCGGCGCTAAGACACCCGGGCGGCCGACATCGTTCAGAAGCCCCAAACACTCCTTCCATCACAGTGAATTCGTGGCAGTGTTTCAAAACGCGACGAGCTAAGATATTTTAGCTCATCGTCGGGTTACCGGCCTAGTGGCTCGCCCAATGGACAAATGGAGGAGAGACTCGGAGCATGCACGATGAGGGGAAAGAGGGATGTTGC